GGCCCAAGTCTCCCCTCCATCCTTCCTTGCTTTCCAAGTTTCCCTCTAGGGGAGAATTGAAAATCTGCCTAATTTAGGTCATCTTAAATTTGGAAGGATTTCAAATTCAAATCTATTTGAATTTGAATACCTTCCTTAAATATGATTGATCTAATTTGGGAAACTTTCCAATCTTTTCAAATCTGAATTAATTAGAGATTCTCCTCTAATCCTCTTTCCTAACTCAACTTCCCTAAGTTTAGAAACTACTTAAATTCAAATGCCCTCATATTTGAATTTAAAACTCTTTCCCAAAATCAGAGATATATCTTTGGAAAGGATTCACCTATCATCTCAATTAGAATCATAATTGGGATTAGGATTAAAACCCCTTTCCTAATTTAACTTTCTAAAACTAGATCCTAATTATTCCCTCAAATAATTCTCCAATCAATCCCATTGAGGGCTGCCGCCCCCTTCCCCTTTCCAATTGAGATCCTGGAATTACTCAGCTCACCGTCTAGGAAGGAAATTAATCCCAGGTTGCTCCTGCTGCTGTTTATCGAAGTTCTCCCATGATGTTCAACTAACTTCCTATCATCCAGGGAAGAAAAATAAAAATAAAAACTCTGAAATCAACACCACTCAAAGTACTGTTCAGATTTCTGGACAAAGCTTGTGTGCTGTCCAAGAATTCCAGCCAACTCCATGGTTGTCCAGATTTGCATGGAACAAGGAACTGCTGTCTAGATTGCAAGGAACCAGAAAACTGCTGTCCAGAACCTCTCTGGGCTTCAATCTGGTATCCTCACTTTGTCGGCAACCACAACAATCACCCATGAGCTTCGTGTCCTCCTCCGTTGGTTGCTGTCCAGATTTCCTGTACATCGCCAGGTTGCTATCCAGGGAATTTCAGCTAGCGATCCTGCTCTCTAGAAATCCACCCGTTGCTGCCCAGAACTGTCCAGAACCACTGTCCCAGGTTGGATACTCGCTGTCCAAAGGTTTGAGCATGGATTTGTTGCTTCCGAGCTGACAAAGACGCCACCAACTGCTGTCCAACCTTGCGAGAAGATTGAATCTTCGCAAAGGTTGAACTCTTTCCTTTTCTCTTACCTCCTTCGTTTATCCTTGCTTGTGGTTTTATTTGATTCATGCAAAATCTTGTCAAACTCCGCTAAAAAGCTTAGTGTTTGATAGGAAGGGTGTGAGAGATCTATCATAGCACTACTCTTATTGTTAGATTAAGGATTTCTTGTTAGAACCCATCTCGTATGCAACGTCAAGAGTAATTGATTATTATATGGGTCTTTAATTTTTGCAAGTAACTTGGCCTAAGCTTGTGTTTACCGCTCTTTGTGTTTTATTTTATTGTTTAATTCATCATCAAGCTTTAATTAACTTGCTCTTAATTATCAAGCATGCAAAATCCTTTATCTAAATCAAATTGTCATACATGTCCTGCATCAGCTTATTCCCTCTCGTACAGACTTAAATAGATATAGTGTTAAGATTTATTGGAGTTTGCGTTGTTGGGATGTCAAGATGAAAGAGATATTTCAATAAATATATCTTCCAATTGAGAGTTCTCCTCATGAAAATGTGTTTGAAAAAAAACTTTACTTCTCATTAATGGTGATCTCTCTTGAAATAATTTTTTTTTGTAGCAGGACGATAACACATACCCTTTTTTAGTAGAAGAATACCCAATAAAAACATGTGAGAACTTTAAGATCAAATTTACCCCTATATTATTTGTGGATGTGAACATAGACAATGCACCTAAAGTTTTTTGGAGGAACATTTGAGAGGAAGTTATTTGTGGAGAAGAATTCAACCAAATAGTTTAGAGTATTCTATTGATTAGGTATGTGAAAATTATGACGGCTTCTTTCCAATATTTTTTTGACACTTGATTATAGGGGAAAAAAAAACAGTTCTGGCGACTTCTAGGATGTGGTTTATTTATTTCTTTTTTTTTTTTGCCACACCATTTTGTTGGGAGTAGCAGGACAAGAGAATTGAAGAATGATACTTTCATTCTAGAAGAAGAATTATAATGTATGATTAAAATAGTTATAAGCATTATAAATCTAAAAAGACTAAAATACCTTAATGTTAGCATTGAATTATTTTTGTATTATGACAATAAATATGAGCAAAATAATGTTTATACCAGATTTTTGTTTGATAAAATATATCCATATCATCTGAGTGCAACTATCAAAGAATGTGATAAATCCTATGGATCCAAAAATATTAGGGATTTTGGAAGTTTCTCCAAATATCAGAGTGAACAATAAAAAAAGAGCAGAGAATCAAAAATAGCTTTAAAAAAAAAACACGATGACATATGACAATTTCATAGGTCTTGCTATGAAAATTTCCATATTTACATTCAAAAAAGAGAAGGAAATATGCATTGCAGGGCTTTGAAAGAGGATTGTCCTAATCTATAATGATATTCCCATATAGTTTATAAATTAAGTGTTAAAATGAAAAAAAAACATCATAAGCAGTTTCAGTCTTCAAGAAGACATAGCACATTCTTTTCTCTAACTTGCCTAACTGTCTTCCATATGGTGAGGTCCTGATAAATATATTGATTAGCAAAAAAATTTAACTTGCAGGGGTGAACCTTTGTGATTTTAAAGATATTCAAATATTTATTTGTCTTGCAACAGTTTGTTAGGAAACCACAACTATTTTTTTTTCTCTATTGCCGTGATAGGATTTTTAGGTTCGAAAAAATGTTGGTGTTGACTTGTATATACGCTTCAAAACTAATTTGAGTGAGCGTAACTAGAACAACGCCTGACCTAATGCAATGTCACGTGAAACAAGTTTCTAAGCACTTTGATTGCGGCTGAAATCCCTCAAACGTTGTTAGTTTGTGAAATGAATTACATCAGCACATTCAGGATGCCAAATTTACCCAAGGAGAATGCTCACACGTGACTTGAGCGACGTTGTGTGAAGAAACAGACTTTTCCGTTGCATTTAGAAAGTCAAAATTATCGAGAAAAGACACCCATGTTGTATGGGTTGTCGCACGAGCGAAACACAAACATTGTTTTTTATTCTAAATATATTATTAAAAATTTTATCTAATAAATCTTATATATATTAAGATTGAAAAAAATCTTATATCAAACCTAATCTACCTTTCGAAAATTTAACTCGAAACTTAATCCATTAAAACTCTCCCAAATAAATGGAGAAACCGTAGCGAAAAATTTTTAGTGGTAGCAATTGGCAAGATTAGTCATATGGTCAATAGCTCCTAAATCTAAACCTAAGTGTGAAGAAAATTATTTAAGGCATTAAAAATACAAGAGTTAGTAGTCATAAAAATTTTAGCCAAAGAGTATGATACAGATGATTTTTCCAAAGAGTTAAATTCTTGGGTTTGACAATTTCTTTTAGATTGGGACTTTTTTATTCCGCAAGATAGGCCATTGCGTAGATGAGTGTTGAGAGCTTAATTTTGATTTCATAGATGAAAGTAGTGTCCTTCACTTCTGAGTATATTTGTTTGACCGTGAAAAACTTTTTTTTTTTGCGGTAGATAGAAATATGTATGGCACACTGATACAGTATTCCACAACCAACTCAAGATCATAAAATCAACTTCATCCCAAAGTACAACTTTGGGTCCTTCAACTTCGCAAGAGGATACATAAGAAGATGGATATTTTCCTTTCCTTTCAGAAGGTCTTTACAGTTTGAGACTACTCAAATAGTTTTTTTTCCATTTAAGCAATATGAGGCCTAAGCCGCCAAAGTTCTCATTTATTTTGATTTTCACCCTTCATGATGGTTGACTCATTGGAAGAGTAAAACAAACAGTCATACTAAACAAAGGTTGGAAGAAGAAAATCCTAATATCGCTCTAATATCTTGTAAAAACAAATGTATATACTACTTTGAATTTTTATAGCTTTTTCTATACATTGTAAGGAGATATATATAGACTTTTGAATAAAATAGAAATAAATTGAAGCTAATTACAGAAAAAGAGAGAAATATCCCAAAAAGATTGACGGTAGAGGGAGCACATATATTGCAATCATAAGACTATGCAAGATTGATCTAGTGGGTAGAACTCTTAATCAGAGTGCTCAAGGATTCCTACAAAGATAGGTTGACATGTGTGTCACACCAAGGGTGGGTCATGCGTAGGACTAGGGCAGGAGCCAATGCATGCATAGGGTGTGGTCTTCACAATCTCCAATATTATCTATTTCTAGTATATATGTCTATATTGAATTAAGATACACTGCATAAATTGCTAGTATGCTTGTACTTTACTTTGAAAAGAAAATGACACTGCATAAATTGCTAGAACATTACTTTGAAAAGAAAATGGAAAGTTAGTTGATCTGATGTGCATTTAGACGAAGAACAGTATACATTTGAAAATTTCTATTTTCACCTATTTAAGTCAACTCAAATTCAATATCATCCATAAGCTTTATAGCATGAAAACATATGATGTTGGCCGACCATAACCTCCTATGTCATATATAAATATATATATATATATATATATATGTGTGTGTGTGTGTGTTAAGAATGGTTTGAAATTGTAGGTATTTTGTTGTTAGAAAATTTCCATGTATTTTCATAAATAAGAAGCCTAGAATTTCTGAAACTTACTGTTCTCAATTCCTTCTCCTCCAGCACCGTGTCAAATTTATGCATATATTTATCAGATGCACTGCAGAGTCAAACAAGAATAATATTTACCATTTATAGTTAATTCATGTAAAAGGAATTGGAAATGGGACATAGTGTAAATTTAACTACCTTTCTATTTGAAGCTGAAGTTCGAGACATCTCTCTTTCAATTCTTCACAGTAGTTACTTTTTTCCTCCAGTTCAGCTTCAAGAGAAGAAAACTTTTGACGGGTCTCATTTAGCTCAACCTTAGCATCTGTAAGCTGGTTGCCAAGATCTTGACTTACTAGCTTTTGATCCTCATCCAGTCCGCTTGAACCCTTCAATGTTCTCAGTTCAGTTTGTAAATTGGAAATACATTTTTCATACTCTTTAAATCGAGTAACTGAGTGATTCTTAGCACTCACTGACTTGAGAATTTCATCAAGATTTTTCTTTCCATACTCTACATTTGCCATCTGATGTTTTAGTTTTCTATTTTCATCTCTAAGCTTAGACCCAATGATACCCATTTTGGACAAAATGTAAAGGCCATCACGGATAACCTTGAATTTATCATGAGCACCTGCTTTACAATTCACTCCCTTGGAGCTATTAACTTCAACTTCAGTATCATCATCCCAAAATAAAAGATCACCACCAAAGTTTTTCTTAATTGTTTCTTCCATTTCGGACACATCTTGAAGAGAAAAACAATGATCACTTATCCATCCTAAGGTTGAAGCTAATTCACAAACGAACTTCTCGACTTCAGCCTGTTTGCACAACATAACGTAGCACGCATCAATAAAACGTTGAAGCACCATAGTGAGTTCAGAGCTTTCCCAAAAAAAGATGCATGTTTTCTGCATTGTAGATGATGCAAGTTTATGACATGGATCAATGTGTCGATCATTCAATGAAATTAAGTTTTCCCCATCGTTAACCGGCATTTCTCTCGGTATAAATCCTTCAATTAGATCTATTATTCTATGCAGCACATTTTCTATTTTTGATTGAAGTGGTTGATTGCCTGTTTCACTTGGAAGAAACTTCTTCGTCCCCAGTAACCCATCTGCTGAAGTAAAGGACGAATGACAAGGCCCTTGACATGCATTATCTCCAACAAAAAATGGATCCAAAGGTTTTGCCTTGACAGTTGTTTTGTTTTTATTCAGAGCAGTTCTAACTTCAAGAAGAATAACATCCAGGTTAAGTTGTGTAGTGTAATGCTTCTCCACTATTACTTTTAAAATATCTTGAAGCCAAGTAGGATATTTTTCATACTGGATAAAACATGACTGGCCTCGAAGATCAAATTCACCAGAATTATATAATTTTTCCACCGGAACTAGCTCTTTACTCATGGATTCTAGTAACTCTGGTTTTAAATCAAGTGATTTTGGTGTCAAGAAAATATATTCTTCTATACTTGATCCTTCTTCTGGCTTATCTGCACAGACGATCGCCAGCTTTTCCATTTCCTCAAAATCATCCATGAGACTTGATTGCAAAGATCCTATAGCTGGTTTACCAATTCTAAAGTGCTCCAATTGGAACATAAAAGCAGATTCCCATGATTCAGGACATCTTACAGCATCTTTGTTTCCACCATGCTCAGAAACTGATGCCAGAGTCAGCTCATTTGTTACAGAGCTGTTTCTTGCTACTTCAAGACAAGTTGATCCTTTTGACAACTCCGTGAGTTGCTTTTCAGCTTGGGATAACTTAGAGGCTGTTCGTGCAAACATTATTCTAGATAACTGTAACTCACCGCTTTTCTTCTTCAGACTTTCTTTAAGAATTTTGTTTTCATCCTCAATTCCATGAAGTCTAACAAGTTGCTTGCTCAGTGCATCATGCCCAATCTCTTGTGCCAAATGAAGACAAGAATCCATTGTATAATTTGAATTTCTTCTTGTTTCAGGAACAGAATTGCCGAGCATTTCAACCTCACTCCTCATTTTAGCAATAGCAGCAGGACCTGGGAGCCGCTTCCGGATCATGACACGCAATCTATGGCATTCAGATTCTAACCTATTGATCTTCCTTGCACTTTCCTGGTGCTGCTTCTGAGCACATTCAGCTGATCTCAGATTAAACTCTCTCTCCTGATTACGAATAACAAGTTCCTTCTGAAGCATACGGACCTCATACTTGAGAGATTCATTGCTTTTCTCAGAAAAATCAAATCTCTCCACAAGTGCTGCAAAGTCTGTTTCTGCCCGAGATTTAGACACATTTAAATCTTTGATAAACTTTTCTTTCATGTCCAGGATCCCACAAAGATTGTTTTTTTCTACAGATAATTGCTGAAGCCTTTGACTAGCATCTGCTAACCTCTCTTCCAAAACTTGTGTTTTTTCTCGCTCCTGCAACAAATTTACTGAAGCATCATTAACAGTGCGATGTTGTTCTTCCTTGAGAGCATTTAACTGCTGAACACATTCTTTTAGAGCAGCATCGATGTTGGTTACTTTTTCTTCAGCAATGACTTTCTGACGCAAAGCATCATCAAGTTCGAGCTTGAAGGATAATGCCTCAGCTTCTGCCTTTTTCCATCCTATATTCAGCTTGTAATTGTTAATTTCTGGGCTTTGATGCATAACGAGAGAGGTCAAACATAAGGAAGGGAAAACACCTGCAATGGCTTCCTCAGCTACCTGTGACTGTTTACCTATAAGAGCATCTTTGGCATCAGACTCATTGCGAGCAGATGACAGTTGCTCATTTAAGTTCATTAATGATCTCTCCAGCTCTAAAACTCTCTCTTTCTGCAAAAATTCAAATATATGTCACTACTACCAGATATGATGAAAAGTGCTTTCTTTCAAAAAAAAGGAAATGTCAAAATTTTTATTTAGTTTGATGTCATGAAGGTCCACAAAGTAATGAAATGGGAAGCACAATTTAAATTTCATTGATCAGTGTAACAGTCTATGTTGAAAACATCGAAGTGATACATAAATCATTTTACTTGCGATCTGAATTTTTTTTATTATATGTATGCTGTATTGGCAGGTCAAAACAACCAATATTACAACGATTGGGGTGTGCGAATTCTTTCTTCTCATGCTGTTCAACTAGTATCTTGTTTGGATCCATTGAAGCTACTCATAACTTAAATACATTGAAAGAATGTAGAACTGAACTAAAACTAGTTCCATGCATGCCCAATAAGAGTCATTAGTAAGTTTCATTTTTAACATGGGCAAAAAAGAAGAAAAAAAAAAACAAGTTTCTATTTAATGGCAAAATTCCCTATGGCAGAATGTATCATATATGATCTGCACATCACCATCATCAGCGGCGTTATGCTAACTAATAACTTAATGCCCTATGTCATACTATATAAGGTATTATATGCTTTAGCCTAGTTTTCCTATATCAAGTTGAACCACATAATCTTATCATTTTTCATGTAACTTTCTAGGACGTCACTGTTCACACAATTTTTGCGTCGACTCGACTCAGATCGAGCCGATTTGAGTCCAATTGGGCTCGATCTTGCTCGATCAATTTGATTGAGCTTCGTCGAGCCCAAATCGGAGCTAAATTAAGTTCAATTAGACTCAATTAAATCCAATTGAAATCAAATCAATCAAGATCGACCCAAATCGAACTCAATTCATCCTCATGGGACCCGATTAGATGAAAATTGGAGCCAATTCGAGCTCAATTTTATCAAATTGACTCGATCGGACCCAATTGGACTTGAATCGACACAAATCGAGTCTGATTAGGGCTAAATTTCAATCCAATTGGTTCAATTTGAACCCAATTTGACTTTCCAAATCATAATTTTGAAATCAACGGCTCTCAATGTCTTAAAATCGGTATGCTCTATCACTCCTTCAAATCCCTGATCTTCTGGGATATACAGTAGCTCTAGGCCGTCAGTTTTCATGAAATTGGGCTATACAAATTCGAGAGCAAAGCTTCTGGCATGGGTGTTCTTTCCCCTTCTGCTTGTGTACGTCAAAAGAGAGCGGTAGAGGTAGAGAGTGAGTGGACCTTCAGTTTTTTGTGTATACCCAAGCGGAGGCGAGAGCAAACCGAGCGGACCTATTCCTTCGTGAGTCCAAATGAGGGGGACATCAAAGGAGAGACCTTTCGTTTGATGTTTCCATCCATACCCGAGCCAGTAGGAGTCTTGTGTGTGTGAGAGGAGTGGAGCTGGTCTGGAAGACTTATGTTTGCATGCATATCCAGAGCAGAAGCCGAGCAAGGGAGTTTGTTTGTTTGTGTGATCATGCATATCCAGAGCTAAGGCCGAGTGTGAGAGAGGAGCGGGCTTCCTGTTTGTGTACCTCCTGTGCGTGCGACCTAGGCAGATCAGAAGCCTGGGTACCGATTCTACCTCCTACGAGCGAATCAAAGAGTCGAGCAGCTTCTGTCATTTCCTAGGAGTGAATCAAGCAAGGAAGAAGAGTAGGCTGTTGATCCTATCATCAAAATTAGTGAGCTAGAAGTTATGGATGTTGTTTTCCTTCTATCAAGGGGAAGAAGTGAAGTGAAGTGGAAGGGCCATTAAAGTGTTTGGAGGCTGTTTGCTTATTGTAGAAGTTTCCTCCCCATCGCCAATTCACTCAGGCAAGCTCGTGACATTTAAATCAACTTTCAGGAGCATTCAAATAGAAAAATCGACAGTTCGGAGCATATTGGACAGAAGATAATGCTTTCCATCCCTCCGCCCTCCGCCTTTGCAAGGCGAATGGAAATCCGATAGCGCCGTGACATAACCCGACAAGGTAAAATCCCTTAAAACTTAGAAAATCTCTAGGTCTTTAAGCCGTTGATGTGTGGTTGGTGCTCCAAAACCCCTTGGGACCTTATAAACCCTTGTAATTAATTTCTAAACCCAAGAAAATCCCATGTTTGTTGTTCTCTTTGTAAACTGGTGGAAATCCCGTGATTTCCATCCGTTTACTCTCATGTGAGAGCTAAAAGGGCATGCCGGTGCACGTAAGGTGTTTGGATTGATATCCTATACCTCTAAATGCATGAAATAGCATCTTATTACATTCCAACAACGTCACTTACAATCAAACCCTAGGTTAGGTGATATTATTTGATGTGGAATCGAATGTTGAGGTGTAGATTCTCTCCAAATATTGCAAGCTATGTTTCTTTTCCTAAAATCACGTGCACGACAAAATTGGCATAAAACATAGAAACTTGCATTAGCAAAGAACTTGTGGATATTTCTAAAAGCATTGTTGGATATTCAAAATGTATTCAATATTATTTAAAAGGTTATTTTGGTAACATATTGTAGGATTTTACATAAATTCTCAAGGATTCATTTTGTAAATCCTAGAGCAAGTAAGACCAACCAAACTCATTTTGGGTACGTTGCAAAGCTTGCAGAGAGATTGACAAGTGACCGGTTGCTCTATCATGCAAAATCCTTAAAATTGGAAACTCATCTTCATGCATTTCTTAAGATAATCAAATCATGTAGATGTGTATTTCCTATCCTAACATGATTCAAAATCATGTGTCATAGGTCTCTAGCTTGGATCACTAAATCTCCAAAATTTGCAAGTTTCTAAATATGCTCACCTAATTCTAAATGCTTATAAAGCTAATTTGGAGTGTTTGTGGTCCCCCGAAGGCTCATAGCTAATGCCCCATCACACTTCGAACTTATCTAAGCTTGTTATGTTCAATTCGAAAATTGAAATGACCAAGTGTAATAGAAAACAACATGGGCAATTGATAAGAGAAATCCTAAGAGTTTAAAACCTCTTCTATAAGCTTTGAATGAACTAAGTCGTGACAAAATTGACTTAGAAATCTCTCCAAAGCCATAGGCAACCTCTCCTATTTAAAATGAATCTACAACACTCTAAAAGAATATAGGGAGCTCTCTTTTAAATGCATACCTCTCTCATGCTCGATATTTGAAGCCTCCTCAAAGCTCCAAGTATTACATTGCATGAATTTTAACATACCTTAGGAGCTATTGTCAACCCCCTTGTGTATGATGTTAGGAATTTCCCTAAAATATTACATGCATCATGCCACAATTCTTGATCTTGGAGCCAAATTCCAAGTTATTCTATCTTATTTGTTGGAGGCTTGGAGCACAAAGCCTGCAAATAATCCTTTTGCATATAGGATTTGAATCCTAAGTTTTCTCCATTTACTTAGCCCAAATTAAGTGAGTGGTCATCTCTCTTTGAACACAAAATGTTCAAAGAGTATCCCCAAGTCGCAACCCATAAATTGCATATTGCTTCTCATATTTATCTTACTCAAGTTTGATAGATAATCATGCTTCATTAAAGACAAAATTCAATGATCCATCTTCCAATTTGCAACCCATAAATTACAAATTGCTTCCCTTTTTCTACAACTCAAAGGTCATAGAAAATCCTCTCATTCACTCAATCCAACTTTGATGAATGAACTCCTTTCTTTGAACACTTGAAAGTTCAAAAGAAATCATTGTGACTTGTAGTCCAAATATGTATATCACCTTCTTGCAAATGCCAAACATAAATTAGGTAGATAATTACTCATTGAAGATAAAATTCAATGGTTCTTTCTTGGTTTGCAACCTCCAAGTTGTATACTATATGCTTCCTTAGCTTGAAAGCCATAGGAAATCCCCCCACCTCTTGGCTTGTTGTTTCTCTAAACCAACATGAAAGTTTCCAAATGACTTACAAGGAATTTATAAGAGTTGTGGCTAAGCATAGGAGCTCCACTCGTGCCTTCCTTTCATTCTCATAACCCAAATTAGGAGAATGAACTCTCTAACTTGAATAGCCAAAAGTTCAAAGGAACTCTACATGATTTTTAACCAAACTTATATCATCCCCTTATGTTTGCTCTTCTATATGTAGCAAACTAAGATTTTATTATTGAACACAAAATTCAATGATTGCTTCTTTATTTGTAGCCCCAAAATTACAAATCTTCCCTCACTTCATGGGCTACAAAAGCCTTAGAAAATTTCCAATCTTAGACCTACACTCTAAGTAACCTTTTCACTTAACAGAGTAAGTGACTTCCTCCTTCCATGACATTTGAAACATATCATTTAGATGTCCTTTAAGAGTTTCTTTCTGTTGAAGTTCACCTTACATCATTAGGTGAATTTCACAAAATCCTAAGTCAAACCCTTAGGCATGTCTACTTTACCATATTCGGTGGATATTTCTCTAATCCAAATATTAAGAGAACTTCAAAATTACCAAAAATTACATAGGTCTCATTTATACAATGATTAATCATTCAACTCAAAAGGTGAAATGCCTACATCATTGAATCTTAGGATTTCATAAGTAACAGGCTCACCTCAAAGCAAGCAATGGCTACTTTATGGGTTCTTCATAACCCTCCTAAATATAAAATGAATAAAAATCAAATAAAATCTTTAAGTCACAAATAACATAAAGTAAAATCACCCCTGGATTAAGATTAGATATCTCAATTCCTTAATAAAACAAAACTCATTTGTAGTGACATACCACACAGCTAACACACACTTAATTGCACAACCCCTATGCATGTTAGAATTATAAATTTTCTTTTTATGCACATGTGGTTGATGTTGTGGTGTGATGCTATTGGATTATCTGCGTTGTAAGCATTTTCTTTTAAGTGGATATAATAGAGATATATATTTGCTTCTTCTGCAGGTGGTCATGTCCAAGAGAGGATGCAATAAGTCATGATTATTCAAATAATGTTTGCTTGCAGGCGCTGCTTAAAACCCCCCAAGGAGGTATGACCAATATGATAAAAACAAAGCTTGATACTTTAAATTTAGGATAATTTTGTGATGAATGTTTTGTCATATAAATTGCTCCTAATCATTTTCTTGTTTTGTAGACTCTAGCTTTTTTTTTGCATTTTAAAAATATATTTGTTAGACTTATGATGCATATTTAAGTCTATGGGATATAGTTATAAAAGAGATGAAGCTCAAGACCCATCTAAAAGTCAAAGCTTCAATACCTCATAGGCTGAGTCTGTAAAAATATTTGATTTTGTTGTATAATGGCATGCAACTCAGTTGCCAATAATAGTTGTAATAATTTGGACATTATTTATATTTATATTTTGATTGATTTTATATATATACAAGCATGTTTTAATTGTTTAATGAGTGCGCATTAGAAATACATGCTTTTTTCAAGGTTTCTTCATTTGATTTTGCTTAGGGGTGGCCTGGACTTGAGTTATGCAGTAAGCTATTAGGATAAAACTAATGTTTCTACCACTTAACATATAAGTAATCTAAAATCAATCATAGAAATAACCATTTTTTCAAATAAAATAAATTTTGTATGGCTCCTTCCAAAGAGCTAAGTTTTCAAAGTTAAAATGATCATACATGTTCCGTGTGTCACATGTAGAAAGTCATAATTTAAGGATAAAAAATATACATTCAGTGAGTCAACATTGTGCATACCCATATGGTCAGACAATTTGGCCTCAAAATCAAGTTGTAAGTCATATCCTCTAAATAAAATAGTCTTCCATACTCTTTATATGCATTGAGACTGTATTACATGATTTTAAAAGCAAGGGTTTAGTTGGTAGCCCTTTCTATGCAAGGTTGTAAATCTAGAAGTCGGGTTGACTATGCCTTATGTGAGGTGTAGTTCATAAGTATTTCATACTCTGTTAGACTTAAGTTCGAGGCATTACCTCTCAGCTATTCTCATCTTAGCTCTAAGATTCAAGACTGTTGTTAACTTTTCAATCACTTCATAAGCCATCATATTTTGGGCATTTTCTTCAACATGTGTTGTTGAATATAAACCCTAACATTCTAAATTAAATTGGTTAACTTAAACAAAAAATTAATTTTAAAATATAAAGTCCAACATATGATAGTTTGAGTACCTCTGAATTTCCTCATAATCAAGTACTCCTATATTCTCATTTCCTCCCTTTGGTTCTCGTTCAAAATCTGATTTTTAAATTGATCGTTCATCCTTGAAATTTTTAAAGAGCAAATCTTTGAACAAAAATTTCATAAATTTCAAAATGAAAAGATTAGCCAATATTTTGATGACTCTAAAAAAGAAATAACTAATTTAATCAAAAGTGTTATCAAGTAACAAATATTCGAGATGAAATTAACCATATGAGCTTGCCTCTATGAGGCATCTGTACCCCAGAATAAAATAAACTCTGTTCAATCAAATATTGAACAGGGAAAAATCTCTATTAAAAATAAAATTGAGTTTTCTTATTAAGTCCATAGCAAAATAATATTTTTGTTCATCGGGATAATATATTATTTTCTATATAATGCTTGATCACAAAATATCTCAATCCATTAAGGATGACAAAATTTCTCCAATAGTCACTCATCTTATGAGTGCTCCACTATGAACACATATAACAGTGGAGTTCACAAAGGAAATCCATCCATTGCACCAACAGAACTTGTATATTATGGCATAACTCTTTACTTAAGTAACCCAATAAATATCCTTTCCTCTACTTTTGAAGTAGGATTTGATTAATTCATGCTCCACTTTTTTCTCCTGGAGTATATCATCCTACAAGCACGCCAAAAGCCATTCCTTGTTCAAGCATCAGCTCTTGTAATCACTCACAACCCTCATCGAACTACCCTCTTTAGATTGGGAATGTCATAGATGCTTTGACATATAATCTACTAACCTACCATTACAAGTATAAATCAACCAAGTTATTCTCCGTTATCTTATCATCAATGATGTTACTTTCATCAGCTTTAATATAAATATAGATGATGAGCAATTCTTTATCCGTACAAGCACTCAAACCAACTAAAAATGTCATAATATTTATAAATCCTTGAACTGAATCCAAAGCATTCATCCTTAGAAAATGGTTTGCTTTAGTTGTCATAAACTCCATCAGCTAGTAGGATGGAGTTGAATTGTATAGCACTAAGGCTTCATAACACACTTTTGTTTCCAACTACTTCTACCTCCCCTAGTTCTCTCTGAGAAAGGATACAACAGGGATATACTGATGAACGATTTAAGCCCATTAAAGAAAAGCAACCGAAAAGGCTACATGTGAAGCTGATGAAATATTAGATCTAGGACTTACAGTGATGGCTTTTTCTGAAAGTTTTCTCCTCCAAATCCGTGTCTTGGATTCCATACTTATAAATAAACCCTGCAAATAAACATTAAAATATTATTTCTCTTAAGAAGGTGAAAGTAATGTAATGATGTAATATTCCCATCATGAGATTCATCAACAAGAGGATAAAGGCCTTTCAGCATTGATTTGTTCAAATAAATACAAAATTAATCTATAGAAATGAAAGAAAATTTATTTGTACTTGCAATTTTATTTCACGCACATGGATCATGATAGTAGGGAAACAGGTACATAATAATACTAATGAAGACCTTTATAAAAGTTAGACAAACTCAATTCTCTGTGCATTAACTACAGAAAGATTAGAAATGGTGAGAGTTGTGGGCCATGGATATGATTCCCATTTTGAGAAGCAACCAACGTAACTCAAATGGAACCACATGCCCATCCAGAGATGCATCAAGCCAGAATGGTTGTAGTTGCCTTAGGCAAGTAACTCGGGTTCAAGATGGTTGATAACCTGTAATCCTGTGCACTGAGGAGAACAAGGTGCTAGAACTGAGAACTTCACAATCACACCATCACAACATTCAAAAATATAAATGTGGGATTTGAGTTAGATTACTCGTTAAAGAACCGTTAATTGTGCTCAAGCAATTTTCGACAACCTTTTAGTACCTAGAACTTGCTTTGGCGACAGCCCATTCACAAATCCCACCAATCATGGTAGGAAAATTTTTTTCGAGCCTCTCAGAGAGACATGTGGTCTCATACCTTAGCAACTGAGAAGAAGCAGGGTGTAATGATTCCTAATCGACAAACAGCTGCTTGTGTCAGTTGTTAGGTAATCTCCAAGTGTGATCCATTGCATTGTACCTCCGCCATTGGTAGTGAGTAGGCATGTCTTTTGGACTAGTCAATCTAGCACCAGCAATGCAGTTAAATTAGAGAGCGTTAACACCAACAAAAGTAATCAACCAATATACTCTAGATGTGTTGACAGATGATATTTGCATTCAAAATACTCTTCGGAAAGGGGCCTAAGGTTGAAATATTTAGCATGCAACTCAAGTTGACAAGGAAAAAAGATTTGAGTTTGAAATATTTAGCATGCAAATCAAGTTGACAAGGAAAAAAGATTTAAGTTGCATGTCAACTTGCATGCTATTCATCAATGGCGGAGAATATCAACATAGATTTTCTCAGATTAACTTGCATGCTATCTGAGAAAATCAATTGAAACTGTACGAGATTAAAAAGGTTATTAACAGTCTAAACAAAATTAGGCTTTTGCAAATTTGCAAGGCTGCCATATTTGACCTTAATTCTTGGACAAAGGCCTCCAGGAAACATTGCACCATATCAAAGAACTTTTGAAAAGCAAAAACTGCAGAGTCATCAGCATCAGCTCCAAGCCAGAATACACAAGAATGTCCAAGCTCGAGTGTATGATTTATCACAACAAGAGGCCAAGTAATCACCTGATGCCATCACAGGTATAATGTTAATTTAAAAAAAGTTTATTAGAGTTTTATTTGACATTTCATCATATAGGCATAATTTTCATTCAAAATAAACCCGCTAAAATTTTATTCAACATTGGCACATCACATTCCTTCGTCTCTGAGGAATTCACCGAATCCTCGGTTTAAATACATCAACTATGCACCCAACATTACTAATAGCATTGCCCAATGGAGCGCATATAGATTTTAGCATAATATATAAATCAATCAAAGAGAACTATAAGAAAAGTTTTGAGGTCAATTTAGTCTTATTGCCACTATATAAATTAGATACAATCTTAGGGATGAATTTGTTATCTATCCATTTCATCTTTATAGATTATTGTAAGAAGGCAGTCAAATTCAATTGTTCTGGTGAAGAAGAATTTAAATTTGTTAGAGATGGAAGAATATCATTCATGATGTCTCATTTAAAAACTTGTAAATTATTAGAAATAGGTCACCAAGATTTTCTTGCTCAAATAAAAGCTATCACAAAGAAGAAATAATTATTGAAGAATGCACCAATTGTGAGAGAATACACATAAGTATTTTTAGATAATTTACCTGGTTTACCTCTAATTTGGGAGATAGATTTCTTAATTAAATTGATGTCATGATCAGAACCGACGCCGATGTAGGTGGCGACACAGCGACGGACAAGAATGCGATAGCTGTCCGAATCGGGCACCTCAAACAAACTCAAGACGTGCTTCTTGGGAGGGTAACACCACCTGAATTTCTTCATGATATAGAACCCAAAAACAACAGAGTAAAAACTCAAATATTATTCATATCCAAATCTGCCCTATTTCAAGTATTGACTATGTATTTATAGACAAATGTAGCAACATAATATGCTACATTCAGTAGAAGAATGTTATATTCCTATACAACCATATAAACTACCAAATGGAATTAAGCTAGCCTTAAGTTAAAATGTTTTAAGCCGCTAAGCTCCGGCGTCATACAATCGGGGTCGGAGGAACTTCAGACTCATAAGAAGATGTCTGGTTGGCCACCATAAGGAGGTGAGTTTGGTTGGCTAAACCGGTCTGGATATTTCCACCCAGTATCATTCTCCCCGTTTATGAGAGATTTCAACATAAGATGGAGTCGATGACAAATGGGATAGCGGGCAAACTCAGAATGTGTCTTTAGTAGTACCTGCAAATGGCACGATTCAAGAGTTGAGTTGAACTCGACACCAAATGGATCGATCATGCAAATATCATCAGTCACAGCGAGAGCCTTCATGAACTTAGTGTCGGAACGTGCGAAGGTACCAAGGAGGTTACCATGTTCATATCGATTCCATCATCAATGATGGAAAACACACCCAGTGCCTTATCATGAATAATATGCATGACTAACTCCTACTGGCGTTTCATCTTGCTATCGTCATTATCATCATATGCGGGTTGCTCAAGATCAAGAACTCCAGAAAACATGTCGTCATCATATTTGTCATATATGAGCTCATCATATAAAGGCAAAGATGATAATTGCGACAAAGGATCTTTAAGCCCACTGAAGATGGACTCAATCAAAGGTGCGGAGAAGGTTATGGAATAATTAATTTAAGTGTCATTTAAGAACAAATTGTCATTTATTCACTAAGTGTCAAATCCCACGGATAAGGTTATGGAATATTTCTATTAGTTATGATCACTTAAATCAACTATGTACTCAAAGATAGTTTTTGCTTATGTGATAGACACAAATAAATGTGGATGACAAATTAAATATATTAATCATATTTTTAACTCTAATAAGATTACATGTTTTAGATATATTGAATCTATTGTTCAAAGTGATGGTGAAATAGATGGAGATATTATTAATAGAATTCAAGTTGGATGATTGAAGTGAAGGGATGCATCGGGCCTATTATGTAATAGAAAATTACACCTCGAACTTAAGGGTAAATTCTATAAGATGGTTGTGAGACCTGCAATGCTTTATAGCATAGAATGTTGGCCATCAAAAGAGAAGCATAAAATTAAGTGTTACAGAGATGAGGATGCTCAAGTGGATGATGAGGATGCTCAAGTGGATGAGTGGCTTCAATCTTAGATTTGGGAAGCGAAACAAGTATATAAGTGAAAAGATTGGTGTAGCCCCAATGACAAATAAGATTAGAGAGAGTTGCCTTAGATGGTTTGGTCACATAAAACGTCGGCCTTCCGATGATCCTGTTATTATAGTAGATGTATTAGATTTGACCTATATTAGAAAAATTAGAGGTAGACCTAGAAAGGCTTGGTTAGAAAATATAAGAAATGACTTTTGTTTTATTAGATTTAAATTAGAATTTGACTCTTAACAGGACACAATGGAGAGAAAGGATTCATACAGCTGACTTTACATAGTGGGATAAAGGCTTGATGTCATTATTATTGTATTAACTCTAACAAATGAAGATCATTTGTAATCAAAGTGATAACTCTGGCTTCTCTCAAAAAAAAATTCATGGCAATTTAAATAGAATATTTCCTCATGAATCTCCATACTAGATCAAACAAAAAATACTTCAGGAAAGCCAGAATCAATTTATAGAGATTGTTGCAGCTTTGAAACCTAATTTTGAAGATGACGAACGGATGTTTCAGGCTAACAATGATGACTATTAGAGATAAGGCCATGGCAGACAGCTGGGCCGACATGCAAAAACTATTGGATCTAGGTAAATAATGACACCATTATGCAAAGGACCTTAGGTGGAAGAAGCCACATGATTGCACCAATAAGTCTGCACAAATGCATAACAAGATGTTCACTTAATGGGTCTCATACCTTTTGTTTCTTTTTGTAAAACAAATCAAGTGGCTCGAATTGAAGGAGATTTTGGTTTTACTTTGCTTTTGAAGGAGATTCTCTATCTCCAACATGTAAAATTGAGTTTAATTTCAGGAGAAGTCCACCTGTAAAATATACCATTAATAGATGTGTTTCTGCCAAAAAAAGGCAGACTAAGTTTGAGTAAGATTGCTCATAAAGATGTGCTTGTACTTCCTCCTTCCTGCACTTTGGTTAAACAAATAAAAACTTGCTTCATGTATATTCATGCATTATTTTTTTTTTTTGGGTATCACATGAACATCAGAAATCATGTGATGGTTCCGATTAAAGAGACCTTCAGAAACCGAAATTTCACTATTTTTCTCAAAAATCAATTCTCACCGCTCCATAACATAGCCATAGCCTGTCATGCATTAATCTCCTCCCAATCAAATTTTCATAAATGACAAATTTTAATTAAGGCCAACTACTGGGCATAGGGCAAAAACAGCAAAGCGATTTCTCTAGGACTTCTACAGACAAGCGGGTCAAAGCCATAGGAGCTCACAGCCCGCAAAATAGCAGTGCACCAAAACCATATCCATAGTTGTTACCCCAGAACACATCACTTCAGAATCAACCAAATGCCAGTAGAAGAACAACAAACCCTTTCTGTAAAAACTAAAGAAAGGACAAAAGAACAAACTTGAGAATACCCTCATATACTCCTATCAATGTCATAACTCAACCACCTCATGAAAAAACTCAATAAGAACCTGCCATCGTCAGAAGTATATAGATATCTTTTTTTTTTTCGCGGGAAAAAAAAAAAGAAATTAAATGAATGAAACATTATCCAACGTATTTGGCATGCATTGAGCCAGGGAAACAAAAAAAAATGCTAGACTGACCTGGCTATGTTCGGCCCTACGACGAGGCGAGAGCGATGAACCAATTTCACTCAGCAGGAAGCGAAGAAGATAATGAAGTATATAAAATAGGAAAGGAGAGGACTTTACTTCTCTCTTCCGACGAATGCTTCTCGGAACCGTTAAGCCCAAAGCATTTACAGCAACCGCCCTTATACTTCTCAAAGCTCAAAGCTCAAAGCTCAAAGCATTGATATTGATTTATGATGGAGAGAAGCAGATGCCCTTGGATGTCTCTTTCTAGTGTGACTGCGCGTGTGCAAGTGGGTAGGGCTACGGTACAATGACTTTCAAGTAAAGGGGATAAAGCAGCAAACAGCTCTTTTTATGGGGAAACGGAAAAAGATGGAAAAGGGTGGAACTGTGGGGGCATTGCAATGTGTGCCAGGTTGGTTCTGTCGGCAGCGAAATGTGCGCCACCAACGGCGGGGAGGTAATGGTTTTGTCACCAGCTCCCGCGATTAGCCGTCGGCGAGAGATTTCCCCTGTTTATTGCTTTAAAAGATGAGGAATCAATCGTTGCTTTTCGCCTTCCTCTACCTTTTCTGCTGCTAATGGTATGTAGTGTCATCGCATTGGATTCCAAACTTTTTGCTTTTCATTCTGCATGATGAAATGCTGTAGCCTACATCCACGGTTCAATTATAGTAAAAATGCTAGAGAGCTGGAAGAAAGAGACGAAATTTTCCTCTAAAAAAAGGTAAAATCTTAATAAATTATTCGAATGTAAAACATGTTAATGCATGAAGCAAATTTATTTATAGGCCCAATTCCTTATAACGTTCTACGAAGGTCTTCAATGGGAGCCGAGCAATTAAATGAGAGAGGATAAACATTTAGTTGGTAGGGCGTTACTATCATATGTTGATATCCCATCATTAGGTTTGATGATTGATAAGAGATGCTTGCAGATAGGTTGGATCCATGAAGCTCAATGTATCGAGAGGTGGAGAAATTATTGTGTACGCAATCCGAACGTGTTCGAATGTGCGTACACACTGTTTATTTTGTTACGTATTTTTTTATACATGATTTTTTCTATGTATTTTTTGCGTATTTTTTGTGTATTTGATGAGTATTATTTATTTGCTACTTATTTTGCCACGAAAAAATTATGTATCAAAAAATACGCAACAAAATAAGCAGTGTGTACGCACATCGAACACGTTCGGATTGCGTACACAATAATTTCCCCTAGAGGTGAGGAAGGCTAAAAACATACTTCTCAAATATTAAGTTGCACTCACCAAGAGTTATGGGTCACTGAGTAGAGGCCATGGTATACTCTTCAAAATTCTCTAAGAACTCTCCATAAACTCTTTCGGGATTTTCAAAATTTGCTATGAGCTTGTCAGCTTCATAATGAACCAATCAGACCCCTGATCCAACAAAGCACGTGACAGGCTCACTCAATTTACAGCAACCGCCCTTATACTTCTCAAAGCTCAAAGCTCAAAGCTCAAAGCATTGATATTGATTTATGATGGAGAGAAGCAGATGCCCTTGGATGTCTCTTTCTAGTGTGACTGCGCGTGTGCAAGTGGGTAGGGCTACGGTACAATGATTTTCAAGTAAAGGAGATAAAGCAGCAAACAGCTCTTTTTATGGGGAAACGGAAAAAGATGGAAAAGGGTGGACTGTGGGGGCATTGCAATGTGTGCCAGGTTGGTTCTGTCGGCAGCGAAATGTGCGCCACCAACGGCGGGGAGGGAATGGTTTTGTCACCAGCTCCCGCGATTAGCCGTCGGCGAGAGATTTCCCCTGTTTATTGCTTTAAAAGATGAGGAATCAATCGTTGCTTTTCGCCTTCCTCTACCTTTTCTGCTGCTAATGGTATGTAGTGTCATCGCATTGGATTCCAAACTTTTTGCTTTTCATTCTACATGATGAAATGCTGTAGCCTACATCCACGGTTCAATTATAGTAAAAATGCTAGAGAGCTGGAAGAAAGAGACGAAATTTTCCTCTAAAAAAAGGTAAAATCTTAATAAATTATTCGAATGTAAAACATGTTAATGCATGAAGCAAATTTATTTATAGGCCTAATTCCTTATACCGTTCTACGAAGGTCTTCAATGGGAGCCGAGCAATTAAATGAGAGAGGATAAACATTTAGTTGGTAGGGCGTTACTATCATATGTTGATATCCCATCATTAGGTTTGATGATTGATAAGAGATGCTTGCAGATAGGTTGGATCGATGCAGCTCAATGTATCTAGAGGTGGAGAAATTATTGTGTACGTAATCCGAACGTGTTTGGATGTGCGTACACACTGCTTATTTTGTTACGTATTTTTTTATACATAATTTTTTCTACGTATTTTTTACGTATTTTTTGTGTATTTAGTGAGTATTATTTATTTGCTACTTATTTTGCCACGAAAAAATTATGTATCAAAAAATACACAATAAAATAAACAGTGTGTACGCACATCGAACACATTCGGATTGCGTACACAATAATTTCCCCTAGAGGTGAGGAAAGCTAAAAACATACTTGTCAAAGATTAAGTTGCACTCACCAAGAGTTATGGGTCACTCAGTAAAGGCCATGGTAAACTCTTCAAAAATTCTCTAAGGACTCTCCATAAACTCTTTCGGGATTTTCAAAATTTGCTATGAGCTTGTTAGCTTCATAATGAACCAATCAGATACCTGATCCAACTCATCACTTGACAGGCTCACTCACTACTCATCACTCATTGAGACCACTCAGCATGCCCAATCTTCATTCATCACTTGGGGGATCAAATGCCACTTGTCACTAGACATACTCATTTGTCACTCATCACTCATCATTTGGCAAGTCCACTAAACTAATAACTATTTATATGTTAAGTGTTCATATATATTTTTATATTTTTTTAACTACATATTTGTTGTGCTACTCACCTTATATAAATAATTATATTCTTTATATATAGCTTTTCTTGTACCTCCATAATTCCATAAATAAAGGATCATTGGACAACTTTAGGAGAAGAGATTGTTATTTGGAAATACTTGGATCCATTAATTAAATCCTTAGATCTCTCTCTTCATAGTTTTTTCCTCTCTGCCATCTATTATGTCATGATCTTTTTAAGTCTTACAGTAAGCTCTAGTGTTGCCCACATAAAAAAAAATTAGGTTTAACATGTGCAATCAATAATCATCATGTCCTTGTGAGGGTGAGGAAGAAGACTATTGTGCTGTATATGCCAAACTACACCATATGGCAACATATATACAATCAATTTATTAGTGAAATAAATATTTCTAATGATAACCATATGAAGAGATTAAGAGAGATAAGAGACAAGGCACACAAGAGTTTATATGGCCTGATTGTACAGCATAAGCCATGCATTACATTGGTTAGTTTCACTATATAGCTAGGAAGTTCAAAAATAAAATTCCCACTAAATTGAGCTCTTCCAAAAAAGGAAATAAAATAGAAGAAAATTTATAATAATAAGAGTGAAGAAATGCTCTAAAGATTAGAGTTACAATAAATTTAGGATAAAAGACTAAGCTCTGAATGATGTAGTTAGATGAAAATCAAATGATGCAATTATCGTCGAGTCTTTTCCTCTTTTCTCCTTAGCATATCACCAAATTATCGGAGTGGCAAAATACTAATGAGGATTGTCAACTCATCACTCTCCAACAGCAAACTACAAATCTATCCAAATTATCCTCGCCTCTATAAGCGGCTAAACGCATTGAAGAACAAAATCATTTTACATCTTTCTTCGCAATGGTCTTCGTGAGAAGAGAGTCCTATTCTACAAATATATGGAATCATGGGACTGGAGTACAAACTTAGGCCAATATCAATAAAATGAATTTAGGATATATGCTTATTTCTGTTATGATTTAGAGCTTTCATGAATATCATATATGGTGCTTTATCATAGTTTCTTGCAAACTATACTTGACATGTTGATTTATATATATTTGTTGGTTATTAATAAAAATATTGGTCATGTATGATTGTATATATTTTGGTAGAACTCTATTGATTGTTGGCTAGTCGGGGTTGACGGGATCCTAGAGTAACAACTCTACATGAAATCATTGGATTTCTTTGGGTTGGTGTTTACTTTCCCGATGATGGATATATGATAAGCTGAAAATAACTATATAAACAAGAAAATATAGATGGATATGAATTGGAAATGAGATATGACTTACAAGCTATTGTGAGGTATATGGGTACCTAGTGTGGTGCATTTGTAAATATTATAATAATTTGGCTTCAATAGCTATTTGACATATATACATGCATATTAGAAGATGTAGAAAACATATCATATCTCATGACATATTTTGATATAGTGATTATAGGTTAGTTTCCTCTATTTCGATTGTTCATACTTCATGTTCTATTCCTCTAGTGGTTACTTGCTCATTTTGATTTATCAAACTCATCCCTTGTCTTTTTTAGAAGATCCTTCAGACGTGTTTGGTGGGCCGCCATCTCAGGAGCAGGGTTACCATCAATAAACTATTTTTTGTATTGTTTTCTTTTGTAGTAGTTTATTATGCTTATGTTTTATGTGGGATGGGTATTTTTCTTTCATTCTTGCTATATTACTTTATTGTTGGCTTATATCAGAATTATTATCATTTGAATGTATTGGTTAATTGAACATTTACTAATGGATTGACTTTATTTCAATTCCATATATATATATATATATGCAGGGTTACCATCAATAAACTATTTTTTGTATTGTTTTCTTTTGTAGTAGTTTATTATGCTTATGTTTTATGTGGGATGGGTATTTTTCTTTCATTCTTGCTATATTACTTTATTGTTGGCTTATATCAGAATTATTATCATTTGAATGTATTGGTTAATTGAACATTTACTAATGGATTGACTTTATTTCAATTCCATATATATATATATATATATATATATCCAATGGCAATCTAAAGCACAAAAAAAAAAAAATAGAGAATATTTGGAATATATAAATTGTTCTCACGAGAAAAAATTCTTGCTATGTCATTGTCAGTTGAGCTAATTCCTATGATTTTTTACTTTTATGTATTTTTCACATAAAAAAAATTTGATCTCATAAAAATTTTATCTATATATTAAAATTTTGTGGAAAACTATGATGTACATCATCTATTTCATCAGCAATTTTTTGTTGGAATGGGCTTAAAAATTCTTTTATCTTTTTAAAGATGAATAGCAATCATTTGATAGATCTAAGAATTTTAAAGTTCATTATAATTATTTTTAAGTCTATTATGACATATATTTTAATTGATTTTCAACCTATAATAAATTAATTAAATTTTTTAAATAAAACGAATAATATAAAAGCATAAATACACGCTGTTACCCCCAAAGATAGACAGCTGGAGTCAGCTACCTCTCCAACAATTTTTCTTTTTTTATATTGGACCAACCCATCCAACGCGGTTTCAATTACCAAAAAAAAAGTTTAAACTTATTTAAAAATAATCAAGAATTCAAATCCTTCAATTTCCTCTAAACAATTAAATTTTATTTTTATTTTTACAAATTATAAAATATAAATTTAATCAAAATAATTAAAATGAAAATTTATAATCAATTTTAAACCAATATAAAATTTAGATAATAATTAATCCTGTAATCATTAAATTTATTTTAGAATAAATATAATATCCTGTACATATATTAATAAAAATTTAAATTTCTCTCAGATAAAATTAAATTTAATTATGTTGAAATGATCATAATAAAACATTTAGTAAACAATATAGAGCTGAAAATCCAAAAAATTGCGTATTAAATAAACATAATTTATATTAGAATATATTTTTAAATTAAAATTTGGTATTTTAATTATTGTTATTATTATTGATATATAGAGAGGATTCCAATTCAAAGTTGCGAGCCATCAACGCAATTACCACACCGCGTGGCTCTTTACTCGTTCCATTCTCTCCTTTATCAGTTACTTCATTCTATAAAGTAATTAGCACGATGGCTTCTGCGGCCAATTGCTCCTCGAAGCGGAAAAGCATTTCTCCACAGTAGCCGTCGCCGGCGAAACCATGGCCAGCGTGGCCGTCTTCTTTCTCTTACTAATGTCCGTCGCTTTCGCTGCGGCTCTCCCCTCCTCCACCTTCTTCACCTACTCGGAAGCTCCCAAATTCCGCGACGCCGACACCTGCCCCGCCTGCACTGCCGGCGACTGCGATCCCGACCTCGTCCACATCGCCATGACCCTCGATGCACATTACCTCCGCGGATCGATCGCCGCCGTCCACTCCATTCTTCGCCATACCTCCTGCCCTGATTCGCTCTTCTTCCACTTCCTTACCACAGCCGGAGTCTCCGATTCCGGCAATTCAGGCGACGAGCTCGCTGCCGCGATGCGCACTATATTTCCATCGCTCCGATTCAGTGCCCATCGGTTCCGCGAAGATCGCGTACGCGGGCTCATCTCCGGTTCGATCCGGCCCGCCCTTGAAACACCCCTGAACTACGCCCGCAACTATCTCGGTGATCTCCTCCCCCTTTGCGTCCGCCGCGTCATCTATCTTGACTCCGACATTCTGGTCGTCGACGACATCCGCCTCCTCTGGGACTCAGCATCCACAGCCTTGAACGCCGCCAAGTCCGCCGCCGTGGCGGCGCCGGAGTACTGCCACGCCAATTTCTCCCGCTACTTCACTGCCTCGTTCTGGAAAGGGCCGTGGGGGCGCCTGCCCTTCGAGGGACGCCGTCGCAGGCCGTGCTACTTCAACACGGGCGTGATGGTGTTGGATCTGAATCGGTGGCGGGCGAAGGGCTACAGTCGGAAAATCGAGAGATGGATGGAGGTACAGAAGCGGAATAGGATCTACGATTTAGGTTCTCTACCGCCATTTCTCCTGGTATTCGCCGGTGAGGTGGAGGGTTTGGATCATCGGTGGAACCAGCACGGGCTCGGAGGCGATAACTTGAAAGAAAGCTGTCGTGTTCTGCATCCAGGGCCCGTGAGCCTTCTCCATTGGAGTGGAAAGGGGAAGCCGTGGGATCGGATGGATGCCGGGAAACCTTGTCCTATCGATCACCTTTGGAAAGTCTACGACCTATTTTCGACGGCGGTCACACCATCTTCTTCCTCTTCCCTTTCCATTTCTTGAAGCATTTCATTGTAGATAGGATATGATTCAATTATTTAGTCGTGTAATCCGGTATTGTATAGCATTGCAGAGATTGTTGGACAGTTATTTCATTCTTTTGAAAAAGTTTCTTTTCTTGATCCATTTTATTTTATTTTTTTCTTTGCTTTTTGAATCATTCAAAAGTGATAGTGTGAAGCCACCATAGGCTGTTGGTTAAATGAAAAAGTAACATTTTAAAGGCGCAGATTCAAGTTAATAGTTTGATATATTTATTATTCATCGTTACAAAAAAAAAAAAAAAAAATTCTATGAGATTTCTTTTCTTGCTTCTATTAATATTTGATAATCATGGCTCAATTACGAGCCTCCAACTACCATAGCCCCATAAAGGATTATTCGAGAACCATCGCCAGTCTACAATCCTCTAGACTCTATTGCCCATATACAATTGTACAAAAATTATTGCCCGATTATAGCCCTCCGACCTCCTTCACTTGATAATGATCATCCAACCATGGCTACCTTACAATGATACTTCAATTATTATCACCTGACTACAATCCTCTAACTGTTCTCACTTGACTATACCAATACACAGTGACTTTATCACCTACCAATATTAATAATGTCAACATGCACCATTGCTTATGAGATCAATACACGCCATCAAAATGAACTTTGACTGCTTTGGCCAACACCACATTTTATGCTAGTTTTCTTGATTTTGTTCTCCCCTTCTTAAATGAGTACAATCAAATATATAACAAATGATATATTGAAGGCAACTCTTATGCCACAAGATTTTTCCAACTTCTATAATGGAACTCATTTTGTACAACTTGTGTCTAGTATATTTTATCAACTTTTTCCAATCACCAGAAATGGCATCATTTATGATTGATAAGGAAAAGTTGTCTAGTTATATGTATTCTTTTGTAGCAATTGTGGCTATTGTCCATGTTGTTTCAAACTCGAGATTTTATAGTAAAATATAAATATTGACTATAGAAATATAATTATATTTTTCACTGTTTATTTATTTTCAGTAATGCAATAAAAGATGAATGAAAAATGAGTTGAAAAGATAATAATGAAAAAAAAATCCTACCACTTTAAATCCCGGAGTGTGCTATTTAAGATAAATGCTTTTAGATACTTTATATCGGCCCAATCAATTGGGTTAGGGCTTATATCTAGAGAAAGGTTAATTGATTTGACTTACAAGTTAGAAAGGAGACTTATGACTAGGGGTGTCAATTTCAGGTCACGGGTCGGGTTCAGGTTCGAAACTGACCCGACACTATTCGGGTCAACCCGAACCCGACCCGTTTTTAAAAACGGATCGGTTTTTCGGACCCGAACCCGACCCGCTTCGGGTCCGAGTCAACTTGACACGACCCGAATGACCCGTTTCCAACAAAAAAAATGGCTAATTTTCGATCAAAACGGGTCAATCTCCTCTTTTCTGGTCAATCTCGGGGTTGCCGGGTCAAAATCAGGTTTTCGGTTCAAAATTGGATCACTTTCAGGTCAATTTCGGGTCAAAGGGTTAACCCGAAACCGACCCGATTTTTGAAACTGGTCGAAATGATGAACCCGAACCCGACCCGTTTCGGGTTCGGGTTGACCCGGGGTTTTCGGGTCGTGTCAAATATTGACACCCCTACTTATGACAATAAATGCAGGTATGATTATATTAAAAAAAAAAAGTTTTCATAGCCCAAATAGGCAATGTGCAATTCCATTGCAAGTATTTTGGCAAAGCCTGTATTTGGGTTATATATTGAGTCCCAAATTGTATTGAACAACTTAGCTCACCACATCCAAATATTAGGATCTTCAGCATCTTTTATAATGATTGAGATATTATTTGGTGAAAATCTCTCTTCCCACTTACCATTTTGTGAGGTACTATCCGAATTGGATTAAGTTTGTTGAGTTATATTGTAGGCTCTACTTAAGATTCTTGGGTTTCAAATTCTCTCTGTTTATGTGTGACTATTGAGCATTCTTCGGGCAGCCTGTACAATTTGCATGGAAGGTTTTTATAGACATGCGCATACCTTGTCATTATTGTTGGAGTTTTTTTTTGGTAAATATTTGATGGTAGGAGTTCTCATGACAACTATGCAATGGATTGGAGATCGTATATAGGCAAATGATATGTCACAAAAAATTATCTTGATGGGACACAAAGCTCGATGCAAATATAAATTGAAAAGCTTTTAAATTAAAACTTAAGATAATCCAAACTCCAATTTCAGCAAGCTTATAGTCAAATTGAGCATCTCGAGAAGACGAACCGAATGACACCAAATTCAGTCCAATTTGAGCTTAAATGAGCTCAAATCAAAAGAACAAAGCATTCTGAGAAGCTTTTGAGCATTAATTGGATGGTCAAATGATATTCAATATATGACATGCTTATAGTCGAATCAAGTGGCTCGACGAGACAAATGTAACGAGCCCAAGATCACTAAATTCTAACACCACTAAGGCACTAAAATTCTCAATAAATGATTCATGATCAAGGGAATCAATATGGGTCATCCGATGGAACACTCCTAACATGTCCTTAATTTTCTCCATATTTACTAACCTCATTCTTCACATGAAAGATGAGTAGAAAAAGAAAAAGCTTGAGAGGACTCTTGAACTTTCCATCCAGTTAGGCCACTATCGGAGTTCTTCCATATCATTGATTGTGGTCAAGCTTTTGTCTGTTCTCAGACTATCGTCGAAACTCTTCATGGATGCTACTCACATCAGATCTCCTCCTAAATATTGTCACCCTATGACTATGGTCTATCGAACCACTGTCATCCGTTGATTATGATCTCTTTAACCACCTGGCATATCTATTATAGTCCTTCCTACCCTCGTTGTCTAACTACGGTCCTTCTGATCTCTGTCGCCCACCAACTACAGTCTTTTCGACCACCGTTGCCCGACTACAGTCCTTCCGACCTTCGTTGCCCACCAACTACAGTCTCTCTGAACACCGTCGCTTGCCGATTACGATCCTTCTGAGCACCGTTCATCACCCACTACGCTCATATAAACCAAATAAACACGCAAACATTCTCTTAAGAACAACTGTTATGTTATTTTCTAATTATGTAATGTGCTTTCTACAATGTGTATCTTCTACTTGAGCCAACACCCTCCTCTAAGGAAGGGTATTATTTGTAATCAACCATAATACTAGTTGATTCATTCAAGCTGGGTCAGACCCGTAGTTTTTCCTCTTTTCAGGATTTTTCACATAAAAATCTTGGTATCACTCATGAATGTTGCACCCTACTCTTTTATAAATTTGTATGTTGGATATTCGTACAAAGTTATGATGCTAAACTTTATATCTCTCTATCGCCACAAATATTTCAGGACAAAACAATAATAATAATATTTCTAAAAGGCATGCCCTTGATATTTAGCTATTAGTAGTAAAAGCACATTGATTTGTTAGTTGTGAAGTGAATATGCCACATAAATAGAATATTTTTTAAGTATTTTGAAAAAGTAGAGGATGGATCTATGCGAGTGGTTGATAGGGGTTCTTAGAAGCATTCAACTTTGAAAGAAGGGATAAGTGTAAAGTACGTAAGGAAGAAGAGCTACTTTGACAGTAGGGGAGAGTCTGAATTATTTAACTAATATATGATCAAAGAAAAAAAGGCAAAGCAAGTGGCTTGTGTTCTAAGCCAGGTGTTTGGGTTAGCAAATTTGTGCTAGGCTTCTAGGTTTAATTGCTGCACTAAATGGGATGACTAACTAGTTCTCTCAAGGCTATGCTAGTAGCATATACACCTTCACTAATATTAAGAAAGTTGAGATATTAGATTTGACTTAGATATGAAAAGATAGAGATAGGTCTAAAAAGACTTAGTTAGAAAATATTAGAAATGATCTTTTTTTATTAGATTTAAATGAGAATTTTGACTTTTAACATGATACAATGATGAAAAAAAGATTCATGTAGCCGATCCTACGTAGTGAGATAAAAGTTTGATGTTATTATTGTTGTGTTGTTATTTAAAATCAATGTTTTCCTTAAAAAGTTTTTTTTTTTTTTTCAATTCAAATCAGGTACTAATATAACCAAGCTTCGTTCCACTTGCCACAAGCCAAGAAATGAACGGCAGCCTGCTTCCTTCTACTTCCCACCAATACAACAAAATCCCTCTCCCTCTCTCTCTCTCGCTCTCTCTCTCTCTCTCTCTCTCTCTCTCTCAATTTCTCTCAACCATGGATTCAATAGCCCTTCGACGCCTCGCTCTCTCCCTTCTCCTCCTCTATTCTCTCTTCCCTCTCTCCCTCTCTTCTAATCCTCTGCGCCATCTTCTCCAATCCACCGCTCCTCCACAAAACATTCAGACCTTCCCCTCTACCACCGTCCCCATCTCTCCTCCAACCTCTTTATCTTCTTCATCTTCCTCCTCTCCTTCCCCGCCGGCACAAAATTCCACCAAAAAAAAAGTAGTCACGGCCGTGGTCGCCACGGCCGCTAGCAGCTTCGTTCTATCCGCCCTCCTCTTCTTAGCCTTCCACCACTTCACCGCTAAACGACGCCGGCTAAATCCCACCCCGACACCACCCTTCCGGCGCAAGCCGGAACCCGCTCTCAAAGGCGTTATCGTCGATGAAAACGGCCTGGATGTCCTCTACTGGCGAAGCCTCGATGACGCCGCACCCAGGCGCTGCGATCATTGCAATAATCTTCTCCGAGGATCCCCTGATAAGGAAGACGGCCTCTTGCCGGCCGAGCAGACCAACCTCCGGCGGAGGCAGGACGAACGTCGCACCCAAAAGATTCCTCTTTTGCCGTCCGACTCCATCAATTCCTCTTCCATGGCGTTCGCCGCCCAGCCAAGGCCCTCTAAGGCACCTCCGCCGAAAATTGCAAAAAAAAACAAAAGATAGTTTAATTAAATTTTTAGATATTTGGATGAATTCTTACTGAAATGTGGATTATTCATAGGAAATTTTTCATTATTTTCCGCACAATTTCGTTAAAAAATATATATTTATTATTAGTTATCTTTTCATTTACAACAATACCACGAGCTTTTTCTTTTCCTCTTGATGACGCGATTCCACGACGCGTATTGGCGTATTAGATCTTTGACTTCTAATACGGAAAGCTTCCAAATGTAAGCACATCTGACAAGGTCAACTTCTTATTAAAAGAAAAAAAAGTGAATATGAAACTAAAACCCCTTAGGATTTACTAAAACTTAGTTATAAACCTTCTATTTCTAATTATAATTAAAATAAAAAAATTTTGTATTAAAAAAATATTTAAAAAAATAAGAAAATTATTTCAAATGAAATTCAAGATTTTGTGACATAAACTTTTAATAAAAAAATTTTAATTTAAAAAAAGTATTACTAAAAAATTATTTTAAAAATATAAAAAAAAAAATATTCCAAACAAACGAAGCCTAAGCCGTCTAATTTAATTTTTAAATATAAAAATATAATCGAGCCGAGAAGATCAACATCAGTTGTTCAACAAATGTAGCAATTTTCAATTAGCAAATTACGCTATTTGAGTGAATTAAATATTAACAAACCACTTTGCTCAAACCAACTCGCAGGTTCGATGATGATATGATGGAGGCCCTGTTCGGCTACGTCGCCACCAACCGCAAACCACCAAATTCCAACGCCGGCGACACCTCAGCCGTCTCCAAAACAGGCTCTGCCGTCATCATTCCCAACAATCCCGCTCAAGTCCGCCTCCTCGACCCCCGCAAGTCGCAGAACATCGCGATCGTCCTTCGGACAATCGCCGTCAGCCGTCAGGAGATCCTCGACGGCCTCCAGGACGGCCAGTCTCTCGCCGCCGACACACTCGACAAGCTCTCCCGCATCTCCCTCACTCCCGAGGAGGTATCCCTAATCATTTCCTTCACCGGCAACCCGTCTCACCTTGCCGATGCAGACTCCTTCCTCTTCCACATCCTCCGCGCGGTCCCCACAGCCTTTCCCCGCATCTCCGCCTTCCATTTCCGCCGATCCATCTACGAACCGGAAATCCTTCACCTCAGGCAATCTTTGCAAACCCTCGATCTCGCCTGCAACGAGCTCCGTACACGGGATCTATTCCTCAAGCTCCTTGAAGCCATTCTTAAGGCCGGGAACAGGATGAATGCCGGCACGGCCCGGGGAAACGCGCAGGCTTTTGATCTCACCGCCCTCCGTAAGCTCTCCGACGTGAAGAGCACGGATGGGAAAACAACTCTGCTCCACTTCGTCGTTGAGGAGGTTGTACGGTCCGAAGGAAAACGATGCACCGCCGTCAATCGAAGCTCCAGTATTCTGCGATCCGCAAGCCGGAATTTTAGGAGCGGGGAGGATCCAGAAGCACATCGGCAGGCGAGGGAGGAGAGGGAACGGGAGTATATGATGTTAGGTCTACCGATCGTTGGTGGACTCAGTGCGGATTTCACTAATGTGAAGAAGGCAGCTGGGATCGACCACGATGCCGTCGCAGGCGGCTGTGAATCCCTAACGGCTCGAGTTGCGGAGATCTGGCAATTGATGAAGAGTTGGAAGGAGGAAGAAGGAGAATTTATGAAAGAAATGACGAGGTTTCTGGAGGCGGCTGTGGAAGAGATTGAAAAGGTTAAGGAGGAGAAGAAGAGTGTGATGGATAAGGTGCGGAGGACTATTGAGTATTATCAGCCTGCGGCGTCCAAGGACAATGCTGCGAAGCCGCTTCAGCTGTTTGTTATAGTGAGAGATTTCTTAGGAATGGTGGATCAGGCTTGTGTTGATATTACAAGGAACCTGCAGAAGAAGAAGCAGCTGCAGCAGCAGAAAACCCTGACGCCGCCGCCGCCACGACCGATGGAAGAAACGCCGGAAAGATTACCAGAGTTAAAACTGGCGTCGGTGAAGGAGGAGAGAATTACTGCCAGGTTTCCAAACTTGCCAGTTCGGTTCTTGTCGGATAATTCATTGTCGGGTTCTGATTCGGAGGAAGAAGAAGATGGGTTTTCCTTTGAGCAGATACATGTTTAGGCCAAGCATGAAATCTCCGCAAATTTGTGGGAACATCATAATAATTAAATTGACTTCAAAAATTTTGATTAGAAAAACATGGCTGAGAACAACCTTTTCTTTTGAGGACGACGTAACTAATCCATAGCGAAACCTAATAAGGCCACCCACCGGCATAAGGCCCACACATGCCTTGCCCCACTGAAGAGGCGAGGCCATAGTAGAGGGGATTCAAATCCGGAATGGAGAGTTCTCAACCGTGCTCGCACACCAACCACATTAAGCCTCAGCGTGTTGATCCAAATAGTTGTGGGACAAAACCATGATGATGATGATAACGACGACAATGGTGGAACCTTTAAATGGTTAAGTTATATCCAAATGATGGTTAAGTTATAACTATAAATTAAAACCGTAGTCTAATTTATGTAACTGGACCAAATATTCATAAAGCAGCGGGCAATTTTGCAATTTCAACAATATAGCATGTAGGGAATTTCATCAATGTTTGAGAAAATATTATTAGATGCGGTCACCATATGAAGATCAATCAAGAAATATCATATCATCCGATACATAGTAGTACAAAATATCAATACATAACATATTTGTGACATAGCACATCCTAATTGGACTCTGAACAACATGAGGTGCGTAATAATTTCATGTGTTCAAGCAAAGAACTGCTGAGAGCGATTGAGATAGGAGCTGGTATTAACATTATACATTACTCTAATTTTAAAATATATTTAAGAATTCAAACTCATCCGAATATAATTTATATCAGAATATCATAATGTATAGGTTTGATTCTAAGATCCTTTAATATGTTGAAGATTATCGATGGAACAAAAGTTACTTCAATGGATAATTTAAATACTGGAAGGAGATGGGGTTGTTGGATTAAGATTTTCCTAGTGTAGGGAGGGAGGGAGAGGGAGAACTCTTATGGGTGGAATAAATAGGAGAGAAGTGAAATATAAAGATTTTGCACTCAATAATAGCACAATAAATCATACATATAGCACTCCATGCTACTTATTCCAAATACCAACGGCAGTCACGAGTGCAGCCAATTCAACACAATCAAATAAGCAGAAAAAGCACAAGCAGAGGCACAACCAAATTTGCACAATATAATAAAACCACACTGAAACAACATGTTAAGTTCTTCATTAAGCCAACAAAACTCATATCCATTGATAGGAAAACAAAAGCTCTAAAACAAAGTTTAACGCAGCAGTTGAAACTAATGGAGGAATAAAAACAGTTTAGAACAGAAACGTGACAATATTTCAGCACTAGAGAAGAATAACAAGCGCATCTCTAATAAACTAGCAACTCAATCATAAGATATGGTGAAGGAAATCTAGAATTTGAGCTCATGAGGTTTCATGCCGTCTTTGAGAGAAAATCTGGCACCTAGATAAGAACGAAGATCGGATACTGCATCTATAGCTTTCAGCAATGGCTCGTCCACTGCTTTCTGATCATCTTTCCTGTCTTGGGGTAGAGATTTCTTCTCCTAAAATTTTCATGCAAATGAATTAACAGACCAAGTACCCAGTTACTTTCGAGATATATAAATCAAAAGTTCAGTAAGTACCTCTTTATCAGCTTCAAAAAACTCGCCCTCGGTCTTCTTCTTCTTCCTTTCTTTTTCTTTGCTGAAGAATTTGTCAGTGAATTTATCAACATTGACCCCAGATATATCAACCTTCGTTGATGTGCCGATGACATAAGCCTGATTTACACGCCTAAGGGGAACTCCATTGATCTTGAAGGGACCTATCAGATGTTGAAAAACAAATATCCATACTAAGTGATACATCTACAATTGCATAGACTAAGATTGAATGTCATTTTGGCTGGTCACTACAGGAAATATAAAATATCCACTATAATCTATGGGTAGAGATTTACATCAAAATTTAACTAGTATGACAAAAAGTATAGCCTTCAAAACCATCATTAAGCAAAAATTGGGGTTGCTAAGTTAGCAAATATGAAAACAAGAGAACTTTGGTTCATTCTTTTTCTTTTTTTTTTTCTTTTGTAGTAATATTACATTATTTATAATAAAGGGAGGGATGTTTGGTTTGATGTTATATCTCATGTTCCAGCTTGTCTAAATAGAATCAACATTTTTCGTACATTGAATTCTTAGCTCGTGGTTATCTTCTGAGATTTCAAAATTGAATATAACACCGAGTTCGGAATATATTAGCAACTCAATTATTTCACAAAAATGATGCTATCCATATAATCAAAGGCTGGGCTTCCACTCAAATAAGATGGGAGCAGGAGCATTAAAAAAAAATCCTTCATTGTTAGTAAAATTGAAGGCCGGTGACTTAATGTTAAAAGCTAACATTCACTAGTAAAACCTATGTTAAAACATGAGAAATGAAAGCATAAGATGAGTACATTAAAATTAGTAAATATAGTGGAGAAAAGGTGCCTCAAAGGTGTGCTAAAATTATTAAAAACATGTATGATGCAACAATAAGAAGCATATAGTACTTGTGGAATGAATAAATAGTTTCACAGTTAAAAAAACAAGAATGATTTTGTATATATATATATCTCTTTGAGATGTTTATCAAAATATTCGATGTGCAGCACCTAAACTTGGTGTATTTATCATAGTTGGGACATCTAACCATGTAAGAGAATACATAGAATAGCACACGAATACTGCACAAACTACGGGTTTAAGACTAATAGAAGAAAGATCAAGTACATAAAACACAATTTTGTTATGAAATTGATAATTATCAATAAGATTTGTTGAAAGATCAAGTGATATCAAGGTGTTAAAAGGTTTAAATAGATTGGAAATATTATGAAAAAAACCCAAAGAGTTAAATGAATAGATAACTTTTAAATTTAATGAATAGATAACTTTTAAATTTAACACTAAGTGGTTAAATGGAGGATTAAACTCATATTATGGAATAAAGAAATTCTATGAAGATTTAAAGGAAAAATTCATACAATTGCAATTAGAATAACTATGCTTTATGAATATGAATGGTGGTTAATTAAGGCTCTATTTGGCATATTTTCTTCCTTGAACAACAACAACAACAAGCCTTTATCCCACTACATGAGGTTGGCTACATGAATCCTTTTTCTCCATTGTGTCATGCTAAGATTCAAATTCCCATCTAAATCTAATAAAGAAAGGTCATTTCTAATATTTTTAACCAAGTCTTTTTAGATCTACCTCTACCTTTCTTATCATAAGTTAAATCTAATACATCTACTTTTCTAACCGAGTCATCGAAAGATTGCCGTTTTATGTGACCAAACCATCTAAGGTGACTCTCTGTAATCTTATCTTCCACTGGAGCTACTCCAACCTATTTACGTATATGCTCATTTTGTACCATGTCTTTAAGAGTAAAGCCACTCCTCCACCTGAGCATCCTCATCTCTACAACACTTAACTTAATATTATGCTTCTCTTTTAATGGCCAACATTATGCACCATAAAGCATTACAGGTCTCACTACCATCTTATAGGATTTTCCCTTAAGTTTGAGAGGGAATTTTCAATCACATAACAAGCTCGATTCATTCCTCCACTTCAACCATTCAACTTGAATTCTACTAATAATATCTCCATCAATTTCACCATCACTCTGAATAATAGACCCAAGATATCTAAAATGTGCGCTTTTATTAATGACTTGATCGCCCAAAGTCAAAACCCCCCACTAGATCTATCATTTCTAAAATTACACTCCATATATTAAGTTTTAGATCTACTTAAACAAAAGCCTTTAGTCTAAAGTTGACCTCCATAATTCAAGTTTACCTTCAACTCCGTCTCTAGTCTTAACAACAAGAAGAATATCATTAGAAAAAAATACAACAAGGTACAACATGTTGCAAATGTCTAGTGAGAACATCCATTGTGAAAGAAAAAATATATGAGCTTAAGGCTAATCCTTGACGTAATCCAACTAAAATAGGAAAATACTTGGTCAAACCACATTGTGCTTGAACACAAGTAACAGCTCCTGTATACATATCCTTAATGACTTGAATATAAACATTATCAACCCCTTTCTTATGTAGAACTCTCCGTAGCACTTCTCTTGGAACTTTATCATATGCTCTCTCTAAATCAATAAAAATCATATGTAGAACCTCCTTATTCTCTCTATACTTCTCCATCAAACCTCTCAATAAATGTATATCTTCCATAGTAAACCTACCTGGCAAGATCCAAATTGATTTTGAGAAACATTATTGTCCAACGCAACCTATGCTCCATAACTCTATCCCATAGTTTTAAAGTATGGCACATTAACTTAATTCCTCTATAATTCGCACAATCTTGTGCATCACCTTCATTCATGAAAATAAGAATCAACACACTCATTCTCCACTCATATGACATCTTTTAAGTCTTCAAAATAATATTCAAAAATTTAGTACGCCGAGAAATTCCTTCATCTCCTAAGCATTTCCACACCTCTATTGAGATATCATCAGATCCAACAGTACAATTAATTTCTTCCTTGAACAATACAATTAATTTTATAATATTCATTTTAACAACTAAAGAAATATATTTTTATAAATTTTAATTATTCTATCGTATTTCTTAATTAAGTATTTATTTTATTATAAACAAATTAAGATTAGGTTATTCTATTAAAATTACATGAAATGCATATCCATTTCAATCATTCTATCAACTCGTGAATGCCCGACATTATTTTACTAACAATCCACAAATCTTATAGCACTTTTAAAAAGCAACTTAAATTTGATTTAAACAAACAACTATCAACTTTACTTGACAACTCAGCACAAAATAGCACTATATAGCATAGAAAACAATATATAAAATCAATGCCAAAAGAGCCTAAGGCGTTAATGAACCAAGTTATTATAAACAAAAATGAGAATATTAACAATTGTTAAAAATTAAAAATAGTGAAGAATCAGTAAACTATAAAAATGATGGGAATAATACCTATTAAAGATATGATCAAATAAGGTTGTCTCTTAGGCGTGTAAAATAAAGGGGGGATGCAATAATAAGGAGAGCATAAAACTAATATTAAAGGAATAAAGGAGGGATGCAATAATAAGGTTATCTCTTAGGGGTGTATTCGATTGCTCTCATCGATACTGTAAGCAAATATAAATAAACAAATAAATCTCACCAGTAATCAGAAGCAATCCAGAAGGTAGCTGCTTTAAGAAAACCACCCTTTTTCCCATAAACCTCCCGGCAAGAAGAATCAGTATCGTGCCCGGCGTGATACTAGCCCTAATCCCCACATGCGCGCATCAATAAACCAGTAGATCAGTATCAAACATCAAAAGTCAGTGTTTTTCATTAAAGAAAATATCAAAAGCCAAATATGCCTACATACCTAAGCTTGGTCGGCTTGTGCTTGCGGTGAACACGAGAAGAAACCTTCACATCGTCGGCTGGGTAATACTTCGGTGGCTTCTCCGCAGGCTTTTCCGGTTTAGCCTTCGGCTCATGGCGAGGAAAGACGCCGCCGTTCTTCTCTTTAATGGCCCAAAGGCCGCGCTTGTGATACATCTTCGATCGCGAAAACTTACCGATCCCGCGGATCAGATCTTGGTTCCGGCTAGTGGTTCTGGGCTTCTTTGGCGCCATCTGAGCGAAAAGCCAATATAGCTTAAAACAACCCCAATCTGATCACGCGAAGCCGAAGCGGCCACAAAAAATGGAGACGAGGAAAAGCGACGAAGGACGAGTGACGAGAACAAGATGAAAAGCAAACCCTAGCGCCTCCTAAAGTATAAAGTGATCTAAGTTAGCATTATTAATATAATTTAAATATTAACAATTAATTAGATTAATTAAATAACTAATTGTATAATTAAGTAATTTAATTTTGTTTAATTAAATACTTAGTAGTATAGGTTTTTGGTTTAATTAATATTTGTAATTTGTTGGTTATTATAGCTATTAGTAGTATAATTGTAATTAAAAAAGTTTAATACTTTATTAATTAATATGAGTATTAGTTAAATAATTTGTATTTTAAAAAAATATTTAAATAATTATGTTTTAATAAAATAATTACATAATTAGTAATTTAATAACTAAATTCTAAAAAGTTAATTTGCTAACCAATAATAATTAAGTTGGCTTCTAATTATATTATTTATCATTATATCTTATTAAAGGTAATTAAAAGTAAAGTTAATAAGTAACTCATAGTTAACACGTAAATTAAAATCAAAACATTTTAAATTTAATTTCTAAATGAAACAACTGTCTTAAATCATGAATTACATTGCCAAACAATTTTTTAGAATTTTACATATGTCATAACAAATAGTTTTTTACAATTTAACACCCTCAGGATTTAAATTTACATTATTTACTAAATCTCACTAAAGTTAAATCCTCCCCTTAGCCATCATTTGTTTTCTTACTATTTTTTAAAACAACTTTATAGCACAAAATTTATTAAACTAGAAATTTTTATACTATAAAATTATTTTCAAAAGTGGTAACACAGTCTGTAAACGAACGTTAAACAACTAGTGTTGTTATTACTTACTCTGCCATTTTACTGTCTTTATATACACTTTACTGTACACTGTATTATAATCAATTCAATATTATTTCTATTTTTCCTCTTCCCTGTTATGCGTTTCTTGCTTCGTCTACCTTCTTTCTCCACCGCATTCTGCTGTTCTAACATGGTATCATGAGCCAATCTATGGAAGATCAAGATTCTACTCATTCTCGCCCTCCCTCCTCTACCGCTCTCTCCGACGATTCCTCTCCAGAGATTCACATTCCGCCGCAGCTCAAGTTCCTAATCTCCAACATCAAGAACCTCGTCCCCAATGCCCTCACCACCGAAAACTATGCCATTTGGCAAATCCAGCTTCTTCAAAAATTCACGGCAAATGGCTATGCCGGCCACCTCACCAGCACCACTTCTTGCCCTCCCGACACCGCCTCTCAGGCATCTCAGCGCTGGCATCTAGCGGATAACAATCTTCTTTCCGCACTCTTCTCAACCATTTCTCCCACAATCCTCCCTTATGCCATTTCTTACACCTCTGCTCATGACGTCTGGCTCGTTCTTGAACGGCGCCTACAGCCTACATGCCGGTCCCGTGTCATTCAGCTCAAGAATGAGCTACATCACGTTCAAATGCAGAACAAGACCATGCAAGAGTATCTCAATCACGTCAAATCCATCGTCGATAATATCTCTGCCTCTGGTTCCAATGTAGATACGGAAGATGTGATTCTACACATTCTTAACGGGCTTCCGTCTACCTACAATTCGTTCAAAGATGCTATCCGCACGTCTCCCCTACCGATGACTCTTGATAATCTTTATTCTCTTCTGTGCAGCGAAGAGATTAACGTTAATCAAGAGATCTCCCGTGATGCTTCAAACAACTCCGGTAATACATCTTTCTATGCCATGTCCTCTAACCAATCCAAGAATCGTCCTCCACGTCGCCCTGGCAAGAATCGGAATATTATCACCGGACAAGTTCAGCCTCAACCCAATCAGCCAGCCAACACACCGAACCAGACTCCTCAAAACTCTGCCCGCCAAACTTGTCAAATATGCAACAAAAAGCTCTTTCGGCTGCCACATCCGATGTTATTTGGTTGCACCGTCTCGCAGCCGAACTCGATCTACCACAAAATTCCCCCACACAAATATATTGTGACAACACTTCTGCAATTGCCCTCGCTCGGAATCCAGTCTTTCACGCCCGCACCAAGCACATCGAGATAGACTATCAGTTCATTCGCCAGCATCTCAAGACCGGCGCTATCTCTCTTAGTCACATTCCGTCCGAAGAGCAGATTGCAGATATCTTAACAAAGTCGTTCTCTACCGCACGCTTTCATAACCTTCTTCGCAAATTAACCATTTGTTCACAGAATGATTAATTTGAGGGAGGCTTTAAACGAACGTTAAACTACTAGTGTTGTTATTACTTACTCTGCCATTTTATTGTCTTTATATACACTTTACTGTACACTGTATTATAATCAATTCAATATTATTTATATTTTTCCTCTTCCCTGTTCTGCATTTCTTGCTTCGTCCACCTTCTTTCTCCACCGCATTCTGCTGTTCTAACACAGTCGTCCCAAGCGAAGCATTACGCCAATCGCTCGCGCGTGAGATGCTTGCCTCGAATCCGTGTGTTCCGCCCACAAAATTGAGCAGTTATCGAGCCAAGCTTTCATCTCTATTGAACTCGAGCTCAATAATCCAACAAACTCGAAAATATGCTCAAACTGAACCCGAAACTTGATAAATTTGACTCATTATCTCGTTAATAAGTCGAGTTAAAAACGACTTGAGACTCAAGCTTGAATCATTTGCACCACCTAATTGGAGGCATCGAGAGGATGAACAGAGGAACACTAAAAAATCTAGATAGATAGATAGATGTGATTTTTAGGACTGAAACCTAATCTATGTCATTAAAATAAATTGAACAAACGAAAATAATATTGTAAGTATTATTTATCAAATTGGGCGATTGAATATTTCTATTTTATTTTTAAATATTTTTTCATTAGTTTAAAATTTAATTTATAAAAATTAAATTTTAAAGATAAAATTGCAAAAAAAAAAAATCAAATACAAATATTATTTTTTATAAACTATTTTTAATATCATAACAACAGTAAAAAATTGTTCCAAAATAGGCCGAAGGCCAAAGAATCATGCCGCAAATTTCGCTAGCTTATACTTGATTCTCTTTAAATTTTAGATTTTTACAAAATATTAAACAAATGATTAATAAAGTGAGAGATAGATAATAAAAAATTATACGATCATGTACAACATTTGACATAAAAAATATATATATTAGAGTATTTTATAATGTTGAAATGATGTTTAATTTTAACTTTGTTAACTTTAGTGATCAAAAGAGTGTTAATTGACACCAATCTCAAGATAAATCAAATGACTAAAACTATTTGAATTTTAGCAAAAAAAAAAAAAAATACATGAACAAACTCAATTCAAGCCCCCCCATATTTCAAAGTAAAAAAATATAAAATCATAAATATATTAGCTTATTCGTAATAATGCAACAAAATAAAAAAAATAAAACATACAAATTATATGATATTAATGTATCAAGGCGAATATTAAAGTTTCGTTTGAGATGACTTTCTTACTGTTTCTTAATACAATTTTTTAAATTTTTGTACTAAATAGCTGCTTTAAGAAGCAGTAAGAAGCCTAAAATTCTTCTAATACATCTCTATCTTAGCATGTTAATTTGGCTCTTAAAAGTTCAATCAAAAGGCAAGCTCAGGTGAGAATTTCCGACTAACATGAGTTAATTTTGAATTCCCAGTTGTCTGACATTCAAGATTCTGCTAGGCTTGCATACGAAGAATACAAGATCCAGATTACAGACATCCAACATTTCATCACCAGTTTTTTTGTATATTTACTTGTAAGTTCCAACAGATTTTGAATATAAACCTGCTGATCATTTGCAATTCACTGTATAACATACTCCTCTTCTATCTCTCTCTTTTTTTTTTTCTTCTTTTTGGTTGCTGCGTTGGGGAATAACCTTCCATCTCTTCTATCTGGTTAAAGAAGCAGAGTTTTCCTATAATAATACCTTTTAGTCGTTTCATTTTACACAATCTGATTGATTTTCATCTGCTAGCTAACATTTTCTTGTTTTAACACATCCATGCATATCTACAACCTTATTTTCCTACAGATCCCTTAAAATCTGGAGAAAAAAAAACAAATGTTAAGAGGGCACTTGAAGCTATCTATCATAGCACGTACAATTTTATTGCTAAGAACTCTTTTACATATTCGAAGACCTGAGAGGTGCAACGCACTTGAAGTTATCTATCATACACATCCATGCATATCTACTTTCCTCAAAAGCAGCATCAAACCTCCATATGTAGAAAGACAGCTACACCTGATACACATACAGGATGGACATACCAACACCAAATACAAATTCTACAAATAGGTTCTCATATGAAACTCCTTCAACTATTCATCATATAACAAATGCTTCAAAATTTTGTTTTTCTAATGTAATAAAAACTAAGTTTCATCAATAATTTCAGCAATTTGTTAAAGATATTGACTTCGATAGGGAAGTTTATTTTATTTTATAATTTATGTAATTTGTAACATGCCTATGATGATGTCCTTGAGAATTGTTTATATGGTTTGGGATGGAAAATTCAGATTAATTTGCTTAGGGTGATCTAACGTTCAACATCATTATTGTTTTGAAATCTACAGACTTGGTGATTTTATGGCATCTATTGTCATTCATGTGAGGTTGGTTTGTGATGATTTCAGTATTTGTTATCATTTACATGATCCATGTCTTGTGGAAATTTTTTAGCAATAATTTGTTAATCAAGTCGGGCTTGAATTTTATTATTTGTTATTGTTTGGTACAACTAATGGTATATTTGAACGGTGGTGATCAAGTATGGTTGGTTGCCTCTCCTTTGCCGCTCTGTTGAAGCAGAGAAGTTCTTAGGTGCACACTACATACGTGCTAATAGCTACTATGGTGGAGTACACAACTATGTACAACTACACTAATGAGGTTTATAGGTTGGACTATCTCGAACTGCGGTGCTACATATCATAAGGAGGTTTTGAATCTTGAGCTCTTTAATACAATGGCACGAACCAATTGATGGAAAACAAAAGAAATAATAACTAATATTAAATCAATAACAAGTTAATTAAAAAAGATTAATTATTAACTAAAACAAATTAAAATTAATTTCATCAACAAAGATAATTATTGGATAATCCGAGTCTACGAGGTTATTCAGTTAGTCCCGAGGAGGATGAAATAAACCTCACGTCTTTGTTGCAAACAAAGATAGTTACCATTTACCTAAATAATTTAAATTCAAAAGATATAAAATTTAACTTAAGTGGGGTATTTGATATTCAATTCAATTTGGGATCCAAAGAGAAAGGAAATATCATTTATGGGAGAGCTCCTTTCATTTGGAGATCCGAATAGAAAAAAAACACCCCTTTGGGGAGTTCTTTTCATTTGGATATCCAGATCTAATGGATCTAGGGAGCCCGAAGGAAGAGATCCTTAAGCACATTGATGTGAAACATAATAGGAATTACATGAATTTAATAAAAAGTTGTTAAGTTTGCTAATTGTAAAATTAATGTTCCACAAGAATTAGATTCTAGGAGTTCTTAGTTGCAGTTGTGCTTTGGCATGCGGTTACAAGAAAGAATAACAGAAAAATTTAAAATAACAACAAACTTATAGTAAAGCTAAGGGCATAAACAATAGAAATCCACCATTTAACAAAAAGAAATTTCACCTTGATTTCCCCTCACTTTCACTTTTGAGGTGGTTTTAAAGGAAGAATAATTTTAGCAAACTTAGAGATGCTACCAAAAGACAAAACACCTGCAGTATTGCCCAAAGAAAAATTAGCCAGAGGGGAAGAAGTTGGTGGATGTCCGATAATTCGCCAATGTCCGCAGATTTGGTGTTCCTCGATGGCAGACGTTAAGGTGAAAAGGATTCGGTCGACGTAGTCATCAACGATGTCGTCGACCTCCAAGTTGAGGTTGAAGAAGGAAGACCGGAGAGTATCTAATCTTCCTTGAAGATCATACATTAATGCATAATCGTGCTCGAGATCGACCATTCATGGGGGCAAAAAGTCTCTTCAATTCCGGGATGGGCCAAAGTGGTCGGCGGTTTGATGGAGAGAAAGAGAGGTCGGCCAACTGGGAGAGCCTTAGGATTAGGGATTTAGGTAGTAAGAGGAGTCAAGAGGAGATGAGGGAATTAATTCCTTGATTAATTAACCTTGAGTAGAAATTAATATTGGAATTAATTTGAGAGGGAAGGAGGAAGAATTCGAATTCAAATTCTCTAATTGGTGGAGGGAGGAATTGGTTTTAATTGGAAAATAATTTAAGTGGATGAGAGAGAGAGGGGAGGGGACGGCAACAAGAAAGGGAGAGAGAGAGAGGAAAGAGAGGGGGGGCGGCCAAGAGAAAGGGAAAAGGGGTTGTCCACATTTAATGAATGTGGCTAGGTGCAATGAATGTTGGAATTTGAATTAATTACAAGTTAATTTCAGATTGGGAGAAATTTTTTTTTTTTTGGGGGGGGGCGGCAGGGGGGGGGGGCGGCAGGGGGGGGTGCTTCCGAAAATAGATTTACTAATTAGGAAAGATTTTGAATGTCAAATATCATTTGAATTCAAATGAATAGACTTTCCAAATTAATAATAAGTTATATTAGGAATGTGTTTACGAGGCCTTTTAACTTTGAAAACAAGGGCTTGGAAAGGGGGAGGGGCCGTCGGCTTAGGCTTGGGCTAGTTGGGCTGACAGCTAAGGGAGGTGGCCGACAGCTTAGAGGTGGATCAGGGGAGAAGGCCGACGGGTATAGGTGGTAGGGAAGAGGCCGGCGGGTATGGATGGTGGTGTTTGGGTGGCCAGTGGTATGGGATTGAGGTGGAGGTGGTCGACGGCTTGGTGAAGAGAAAAGGTGTGGAAAAGAAAAAAAGGAAAAAAAAATAAGGAAACCGAGAGTCCGGACTCTTCCGACGGCTGTTGGGTATTACTTTGACCCTCTCCTAGGATTCTCTCTTTTCTCAAGAGCTCACAAAGAAACAAAGAACCAAAAAGCTGAAATTTTCATTCATTCATGCAATAGGGAGGGTCATCATATATATAGGCCTCAAATAAAAGAAAACACAAAGACTCAAATGCCCTCAAGGCTACAACATAAACTAATCCCTTTCGGGGGTACCATAGTAAATCAGAACATAAATAAAAATAAAAAATACATAAATGCATCATAAATAAAGACTCTGAATCATAGCCGTCGATCTACGATTCCTCCGATGATAAACGCATCGAAATCTTCTACTGATGTCCTCATCACACATGGTTTAGGGTTTTAACCATTGGATCGATCTCCTCATGGCCCTAGGATTGCAATATGTGTGTTCCCTCCAGTTGCTTGCCACTCTTGGGATATTTTTCCTTCTTTTTAACTTAGCTTTGATTAATTTCATTATAAGACTATTGGAAGACTCCATATATAACTCATTATTTTAACTCCATATTTAATAAAAAAAACAATAAAAATTCTAAGTAAAATTTTTATATTTTATAATTTTCTATGTTTCTACAAACGACAATATAAATCATCTTATCAACTAAATCAGCAGATAGAAGTTTGCTTAGCAAGTAGAAATTCCAAGAATAATCACAAGGGTAATCTTTAACAATAGAATAAAACTACAGAATTAGGATATAAGGAAGCCAAAGATTAGTTAACCAATCATATATCAAATCAGAAAGAAAATATTTCATGAATCAAGGCCCTAACTAATATCCTTCTCAACAATCTTATTGATTTGCACAATGATTTTCTAAATGGGATGGGACAAACAAAGGCTTTATTAAAAGTCAAAAAAGGATAAGCTCCAAGATAATACTTTATAGTAGCGAGAATAACAAAAGATAAATTGAGATCTAAACATTAACCAAAGTTTCATAAAAAAGTTTAGTTAAATATTTTTTTTATTTGTTTAACACCAATATCACCTTCATTAATTGTAAATTACCTAATCTTCCAAGCATATCATAAATTACATGAGCAATGATGGTAGTTACTAGCTTAGTTGGTAAAGACCTAGGAAGTTGCAAAAATTTTAAGGTCAAGTCCCTCTCACATCAAATTTATGCTTTAACACATACTTTTCAAAAAAAAGGGACAAGCATCAATTTTCCCCAAATAAAGCATGACATTAAAGATCTTATCCATTCTCAGCAATTTATCGTATATCCCATGAGGTTCTATCGCAAGTCTGAAAAGAACGAGCTTCATCTGCATCACTCATTAATTGAGCTACCAAATGAAATTTTGCATAATAAAAATTGATGAAATTGCAGTAATTGTGCTATATACAAACAATCCCAAGATTAAATTCTACCCATTCGTCACTTCATGATATTAAGATTTCATGTGGCTATTAAAATTTTCTTAGAACATATATAAATCATTGCTTACTAGAAAGCAAGTAATAATGCAATAATACATAACAATACTCATGCAACATGCTGATAGAAAAGAAATAATCATTTTTAAGCTACCCAATCTCTATTGCATATTTAATAAGCAATCTATAGCTCTGTACTTAATTAGTTCCTTCAAATCCATTATTTTGCTAACATGTTTTCTTTCATGATCCTACCCCATGCAACCAGAAAATGTTGCAAACCTTATCATAATACAAGGAGAAACCTCACTTTAGATCAAACCTAAATCATGAAAGTCCCTAATTATACAAATATAGTTTTCCACAAATATCAGGAAACTATTTGGGAGATGGAATGTTTAGATTATACAAAAACTAAAACCGAGCCACTAATAATCCATTAAAAATAGTGTAAGTAGAGGTAATTAAACACAACCGTAACAAACAATTGAATTTCTTGCAACAAAAGAATTATTTATAATCATCATGGCATACTAAAGTACACCCCAACAAAATATAATTAACCATGACTACAAAGGAAGTCATCTATAGTCCTCCAAGAATTCAACCACTAATTGCAAGGCTCAGAATCTACTTTGTTCAAACCTTATCTTTGCCTGAAATCAAAACACATGCAAATACAATAGGATAAGCAATTAATAACCAATTAGGTTATATGAAACCTCCAACTTAATTCAATGCACATAAGAGAAATGCATGCCTACAAATTATCATATTAAAATTAAAACACAAATCTTGCATAAATGATATGATACTAATATGAGAACTTGTTTGAAGATGTCATAAAATCCAATTTATGTTAAAGTAGCAATTTATATGTTATCATGTCATGTAATTTAGGGTTTATGACAAGAAATAAACTACACAAAAATCAAATATTTAAATAACAAAAAAAAAAGAATAATTAATCATCCCTCAACATAGATGCAAGTAAGACATTCTCTAACTAGTTAGTTAGATAAATAAACTAAGTCCAATACATATGAATATTGTTAAGACCAGATGGAACCACTTTTAAAATGCATACAATCACATATATGATATTATATAGTGCATACAAATACGAGTAAGGTATAAGCTCCTTGAATAAAATAAAATACAAATCATTGACATCGTGTAGACTAAATGCACCATAAATACATGTGAAAATGATAAAATGGCGAAAAATCAAAATTTAAATGGTGAATAAAACTTGTTCAAACATAGACATCTTGAATTTAATGACAATCAATAAAATAAAAGATCACATGAAAAAAGAAAATACTAGAATATGAGGTATCATAATGATAACCTACTTGATGTAGAACAATCTTCCAACTGCCTTGGCCCTGAAAATTGACTCTAGGACCTCTAATCCCACTTTCTCTCTTTACTCTCTATATTTTTTTCTCATATCCCTCCTAAAAGATTAGGGCTAGTTTAAAGAAATCAGGAAAGAAAAAAGGAGAGGAAAATATAAATAAAAAACTAGGGTATGTTCAATGTTATTAAAAGGTAGAGATCTAAATTGAAAACATAGTATTATTTGACAGACATGGATTTGATGCTCAAAAGAAAATAAAAAAAAAACTTAAAAAAAGACAAACCACAATAACAAAAAACACTCACTCAATGAGCACTGTCAAATACTTCGAAAATCCAATTATACAAGAACACGCCATCAATCATATTACATAATTCATTTTCATTGCACTGAAGAATGATGGCCTAATCATTCACATGATGAATGGAGCATATGTACAGTTGGAGATCATAAGTATGAATATGATCATCGAGAAAAAAAAAAACCCATAGAATTTGATTATGACACACATAAAAGAGTCTAAAATATTCTCAATAAGCATAAACTAAGATTACAAAAAAAACTCAAAGCAAAATAGATACAGGTGCTTGTGGTACTATCATAGGTCATAACTAGGGTGAGTATACTTGATATGAGTGAAAGGATCAAATTGCTAAATTTCTAATAGTCGAGAGACTAAAATGGGGCAATGTGAAATTCTAAGACTAAATTAGACATTTCTGATCAATACTCAGGGGACTATTTTTAGCTTTTACTTGCTTAAGCTTTGACCCAGCTATAGGATTCATCAAAGTCAAGCTGAGGTTCCATGCCCTACATTCTATCATAGAGAAAGCCTCTTACAAATTACAAGACTGATCAGTTATAACCTAATAGATAATACAAACCATGATCCGCTCAACTTAGGGATATAACCTAATGATTGGTTCATCAATGGATAATTTGACATGAATTTCCATCAGAGTACTCTAACATAACCTAGTCAATTTTCTAGTCATCAAGAGCCTCCTTGATCTTCTATTCAGGATCACTCGGATCATCATCTATCATAGAGAATATTTTATCCAGTAAGATGCAAAGTGAGGCATAAGACAAATAGGCTGATAAAATCCTTTCTCCAGGTGATTGTACTCCCTTTAATCAATAAAAAACATATCCTAAAATACAATGAAAACCCCACTTAGTATAAATTAAATGAGCTTCATCATGCCCAAAATCTCTGGAATTGTATAGTAATATCTTATGAAAATCCACTTATAATTTTGCACATGAGATATATCTGAACAAGGCCTCTATAAATCAGAATTTTCTTTTTTACTCAAGAAAACTTAAAAGGATCCTTTTACAACTACCAGCAAAACCTAGATGTTTCTTTAATGCATCTACGTTTAAAGGAGCTACTAATTAAGAAGAATAAAGGCTTTGTTTGGGACAACTTTCTTACTATTTTAGGAAGCAATTTTTTAGTGTAAAAATATTTTGAATTTGAAAGTTTTGTACCAAAAAACAACTTCATAAAGCAATAAAAAAGTTGTCCCAAAGTCTTCCAAATTTCTAACCTCCTATCTTTAATATAAATCTTCACATCAATCTCCTTTGTGATTCAAAAATGCTGATTTTTTTATGTTCGTATAAAGCAATTGACAATACAACTATGACTACTTTATGATAGTTAAACATATTAAAAAAAGTATTTTCACAGTTATATTAATTGTTATCTTATGAATAATTGATGATTATTTATATTGCTCATAAACAGAAGCATGTTAATAACAATAAAGAATTTCAAACATTCATTTAAAAAAGAACCACTTTCATTAATTTTATATTTAATCTCAACATGTACAACACTTCTTATTTCATAAAGCAAATACATCAAATTATCTATCTTTCCATTAATATCCTAATTTAACTCCTAGATAACTTCATGTCATATTTTTCATAATTAACTTTGCATCAATTGAGTAGAGGAAGAATTGTTTATTTATATATAATTAAGTAACAAAATGTCATTATATTCTCCATAAATTTTTATCCCATTTTTCAATTTGAAAAAATACAAACTTTCTAATTGCAAGAACCTTCATTGAACTTTAAAATAAGATCAATATTGCACAATATGTAATTGAAAACTTTATTAACATCATTTAATATTGTCCATTTGATAATTACTTGAGATAAGCTTAAATAGTTATAAGCTTTAATAATTTTCATTTATATAATTTAATATTGAGACATTTCTCTCATGTCACACAATAATTAAAAAGGCATAATGTTGAAAAATTATAAAAAAAAAACTAAACAAAACTATTATTCTAATGAATCTAATATAAAATAATTATATGAATCAAAGATCCTCTACATATTGCAACAATAAATCATAGAGTTTAAGCCACTTGCACTTGATACAGGAATATTTTGCTAGTTTTGCATATTCTCATCATATTTCTAGAGTAAAATTTATTAAGAATAATTGAGAAAGCATATCCCCCATGTTCATGTAAAGCTATAAACAATCTAAACTTTTTAGGACCCTTAATGCTCGAGATGCAGAAAGAATAATTACATATTGAATTTAACAGATAAGCTATTGATATTTTAACTTAAAGAAAATTACACGAACCTATCATCCCTAACTGAGCAAAAGCTCTGTGTTCCTTATATTCATTTCTAAGCATACGATTTATAGAATTTCCAATTATAAACACTTCCCCTTCAAAAAGTACTTGCATCTTCAGCCATAAATACAGAGTCTGGATATCGCAAACCCAAATATTATCACAAAAGCTTTTACTCGACAAAAAGAAAAAGAAAAATATACCATGAACACAGCAAACCAACTATCCAGACCTCATCTTATTGATTTGATTCAAAGCTGGCTGGAGAATATTGAATAGCACCCAAGCAATTGCCACAGCCACTGGAACTAGTAGCAGCAGGCCCCGATTATCCCCAGAAGCTGCCTCTGCTATTGCTGCCACTTCTCCAGCTGATGTGCTGGGCGCTGACGCCAGACCCAGCCCGAGCCCGAGTCCGATGGCAATCCCTTTCACACTCCTCATCTTGTTGATCTGATTCAGCGCCGGCTGGAGGATATTGTAAAGAACCCAAGCGATGGCCGGCACTATGGGGATCAGGAGAGCAATGCCACGGCTGTCGCCATCGGCAATGTCGGCGATCTGCTGCACCGCAAAGGCGGCGTCGGCTGAACTAAGGGAGGAGAAAATCGCAGCGGCGATGGCAGAGGAAGACAGAGAAGGGAGAGCAGTTGGTGGAAGAGAGGCAAAGGCGAAGCTTTTCGGGAGGTTTTGGATGGAGAGGAAGGTGGGTGAAGGTTTAGTGGATGTGGCGATTGTGAGCTTGGGAGGGGCGACGGTGGATTTAGCACCAATCATCATCGTGGCGGCCGCGGCGACGACGGTGGCTGCCATGAAGAAGGGAGGTGAAGTGATGACGATCGAGGATGTAAAGAAGTTCGATAAAGACGAAGAGGATGAGGCCGGGGTTTGTGTGATTATTGGGGAGGATAATTTGGGTGAGGGGATTTTGTGAATGCCACGGCGATGGTTGCAGAGTGGAGCATCATCCAATGAGCTGGTCAGATTTGGATTCTCACCTTATCTTTTATCTTTTCCGCGCCTCTTTTTTTATTTATTTTTTGTTTCAGTAGCAAATTTAACATCGTTGATGTTTTTTTTTTTATTATTATTCTGATTATTTATTGGGAAGGGATAAGAATGCACCAATGTACTCGCTAACATCATTTTCATTTCATGTTTTTCAATACATCATCAAGCATATATATCTAAGGGAGAAATTATTAAATATGAAATTCAAATTTAGAGTTATATCTAAATATATGAGTGTGTACAGCATCTACATATTATATATATAAGTATATAGTATACTTTTGTACACAGTGTTCACAATTCAGACTTAGAATTACGTCCAAATTCCATACAATAATTTCTCATCATAAGAAATTTGTTGGTTCACAAAAGCTCAATGCCTATAGAGGTGGAAGACTCTTAGACTTTACTACATAAGGACAACATGCATATAAATTGCTATATTACAACTACTCAATAGGTGATAAGGTTGGCTAGTTTGTATCCTAACAAGCCTCCAAAGCAAGCATGAATGACTTAATGAAAGCATAAAATATTTAGCAATAAGTAGACATTAGTTGATGGTCAAAAAGTAAGATTTTGAGAGCGAAGATGTTGACATCCTCTTGTTGAGACCTCATCCATACTCCAACAGAAATAGATGCGTTATTTTTATATCGATACTATGTGATCAGAGCACTGAGAAAGTTGACAAACAAATGCATTAGACAATGACTTGTTACAACCCCCTCAACAAGAGCAGGGATGTCATTCGATTTCACTTTATCTATAATGATAACGAGGCCAAAAAAATATGATTACCTGGAAATAAAAGACGACATTACATAAGGTGTTGCCCATTATTCATCCCATGAGGTACTTAATTGAAAAAGTGTAGGTGATTATATAGAGGTGCCAAGGCTAACCTAATGGATTTTTATAATTCAACCAAGTTAATTGTCAATTGGCACATCATCTTGAAGAGCCAACAATATATATCAAGGGATTTCTTAGGACCAATGAGCAAAGAAAAATAAAATAAACTAAGTCTCAATGCACTAAGTTTTGATTTTCTCTGCACAACCTGTACCGATCGTCCCGGACGATCCGACTTCGTCCGGACGAACCTGGAGCAAAAACTGATATTACAGAGAGAGAGAGAGAGAGAGAGAGAGAGAGAGAGAGAGAGAAGAAGCCTCTATCCTCAAATTAGGGAAAGAAGATGGTGAAAAAAATAGATTATTAATTCTCAAGAGCATAGCCAATTGACTTCTAAATAATGACAAGCCTAATATTAAAAAGTTCACCTATTATTAAGGTCAAATTTGACCTGCATGTGTTCTTATAGCCAAGACAAACATTATTATAATCAACTCTACAATGTTCAATACCCTATCCAATCATTTTCTTATCTAAGACAAATTTATCTTAGAATAGGTTAGCTTGAGAGCTCATCTAGAGTAATGTCAAGTTCATCAAATATAGAAATAAAGATAAATCATTTTTCCTTAACTATGGTATGTTTATGAAAGGAACATAAGAAAATACTATAATGAAATGTACAATGGTAAATTAGAATTTAGCTTGACATGTCACAGTCAAAATTGGTAATTTTGTCTTGTACTTAGCTAGATTCTATTCACCAAGTGGTAGAGAACTTAGAACAACATTTTTGATGTTATTAAATGTTGTTTTTTTCTCTAACTTCTATAAGGATGCAATTATAAAGTTCTTCAATTATTTACATAACATCAGTGAAATTATTTCTAAGAATTTCCTTCCATGTAACTTATCTCAAATCCTTACTTTCAAATAAACCCTACAAATAATTTCTAGTCTTTATTTTGTGTGATGCAAAAAAAAAAAAAAAAGAATTATTTCATGATTATATGAAGTGATTCAGCTAGGCCATTCATGAAATTACATAAAAAGAGAAAGGACTTATGGAAGGAACTATAATGAGAGAGGCATGGTTTATATAATAAATGGCATGCATAAAATCAGTTAAGTACATAGTTTGAGGCAAATCAATAAAGAAGTGTTAAGAGATTAACATATTAAAAGTACATTCTTCAAACTATTCTTCAAATGTTCCACTGATCTTTTTCAAACATGTTCTTTCATTATATCAAAGCATCTATGATAATGCATAAATAGTTTTAACTATAATAAATCATTATAAAGGTTGTATCTAGATGCTCTATCAATATCTTATTTGCTTATTTGATTAATAAATTGGTATTACTTCTAAGCAATTGAAGGAGCTATGATATGATTATTGGGAGATTTATTTCAAGGATGGAAAAATTATTAAGTTTATTTATGAATTATAATGAGAGAAAGAAGTAAAACACTCAATCATTTCTACTTCTATCACTCTATTTGAGTGTTGGATATTTGTGCATCGCTAAGACGAAAAATTTATTCACTCTATCGCCGTGAATATTTTAGCCCGCAACAAGGATAGTATGAGTGATAGGAATAAAATATAAGAGTGATATATCTGATATTAAAATTATCTATAAATAATAGATATGAAATATTAAAAAATTTTATATTAAATTTATAAATAATATGATGTGAAATGATATATATTCAAATTCCCCTTAAAATTTTTATTATTACTCTGCTCATCAAAAACTGAGATATCCTAAATCGTCCCAAAAAACCCTAGAAAGGAGTATAGCATGCCCTTCCTCTTCGTCCTTCATCGCCTTCGCTTAATCTTCCCCCGTTCCCGCACTTTCCACACTCCCTCCTCGACGCCGCCGATCAAGTTCGATAACGACACCATTCTTGCCACGCTATCGTCCTACTCCAACGACTGGAACCGTGCCCTCGAATTCTTCCACTGGCTATCTTCCACCCCTGGCTTCTCCCACTCGTCCGCTACTCTTACCGCCACTGTCGACATCCTTGGCAAGCACTTTGAGTTCGACCGTGCATGGTCCCTCCTTTCCTCCTTCCCCTCCCTACCCGATCGCTCCACCTTCCGCTCCCTCTTCAACCGCCTCGCCGCCGCTCGCCTCGTTTCAGACGCTCTCCTCGCCCTCGATCGGTCCGCCGCATTCGGTCTCCGTGACCGCCAAACCTTCCTCCAACTCATCGACGCCCTCTGTGCCCACCGCCTTACGCCCGAGGCTTACGACCTTTGCTTCAAAAATCCCCCCTTTTCTGTTAACTGTGACACCAAGGCTCACAACCTCCTCCTTCAAGGATGGCTCAAGATGAACTGGTGGGGCCAATGTCGGCGCTTTTGGGAGGATATGGACTCTCGTAGAGTTGAGAAGGACCTCCACTCCTATACCATCTACATGGACGTTGTCTCCAAGTCAGGGAAGCCCTGGAAAGCGATTAAACTCTATAAAGAGATGAAGAACAAAGGCATTTCGCCGGATGCTGTTGCTTATAATACTGTAATCCAGGCTGCAGGCCATTGCGATGGTGCCGAAAGAGCTATTAGGTTGTACAGGGAGATGCTGGACTCTGGTTGCAAACCAACTATCGCAACGTTCAATACCATTGTGAATTTGCTCTGTAGTGAAGGGAGAGTGAACGAAGGGTATAGGTTTCTTGGTGAGATGAAGAAGATGGGTTTCGAGGCAGATGTAATTACATACCATTGCTTTTTCCGGCATTCAAGCAGACCACAAGAAATTTTGTGGCTTTTTGAAAGGATGTTGGCCACTGGCTGTCGGCCACGAATGGATACTTATGTAATGTTGATGAAGAAGTTTGGAAGGTGGGGTTTTTTGAGGCCAGTATTTAAGGTCTGGAAAGTGATGGAGGAGCATGGATGTAGTCCTGATGCGTTTGCGTATAATGTCTTCATAGATGCATTGTTACAGAAAGGAATGGTAGAGATGGCAAGGAAATATGATCAGGAAATGTTGTCAAAAGGGCTTTCCCCGAAGTTAAGGAAGGAGTTTGAGACCAAGTTGGTTAGTGGGCTATCTGAAGATGAAGATAATAACATAAATTCAGTAAATGCTGCTAATTATGAACAAGTAATGCCTGGGTGATGGCAAGTGAGATAGCTTTCGAATGGATTTGCAGTATCAATTCTTTAAAGCGTATAGGAACATAGTCGAAAGAGCAACACCTGGAGTTGAAATGATGGATTGATATTTTATGCATCAAGCTGAACTGCAGGTTATAGATGATTAATGAAAGGAGAAGTGGTAATGACTCTTCATCTTAGCTTGCCTGCAAAGCTGATGCTTGCATAAATGATTTTCCCAAGTTAAATAAATTAGTGACATGGAAGAGAAGAAGTTTTAATTTGCTGTAACATTACAATGTTATTTATTTGACCTATTGGAGAATGCTGACTTCCAAGCGGCTTTTCTTTGTGGGAACTATACGACATGTAAGAGAAGAATTATACAAACTAAAGTATGCCGTTTTATTTTCTCAAGTATCTAGCAGCATCTTTAGAGATTAGTGCTCAGATTTGGAGTTTGGCGTTTCTTCCTGGTTTTCAAATCAGATCATTTCTTTTCCGAGCAAAGCAAGTTGATCGCAAGAACAACCAGGCTTTTACAAGTATGACATCTCTCTCTCTCTCTCCAACTCCAAACTTTGTGGATTGTATTTATTATGCTTAGCCTGAATAAAAAAAGGTTGATTGTTGGCTATAATAATGGAAGGATTTTATAGACCGAGTTTTTTTTTTTTTTTTGAGGACCGAGTTATTTGGAATTGGCATTTGAGCAAGAACTGGTGACACTATAATACCACTTTCAACTTCCTATTGCAATCACACACACACACATTTTTCCGGTGGAGTTGTTGGTGTTGTTGGCATGTTAAGGAATGATTTGGCACTATAATACAACTTTCAGCTTCCTATTGCAATCAGGCATGCAATTCTTTTTAACCCAACATCTTTGGATGTTTCTTTTTCATCTTCTTCTTTCCGGAAATGAAATATTCATTTTTCCTATCTTATTACTTATAGTTGGGTTAAATCATATTCTTTCTTTTGAGGAGTGCCTTAGTACTAGCAAAAATGGGATTGTGATTAAGTTCATGGACTTTGGTATGCATTTACTAATTGTTAATCTAATATGAATCCTAAATCTTTCTTACCTAAGCTTTTGATTTGCATCGATGGTTTTCTTATGGTTGACCCTTTGAGTTCAATTTGGCTCATTTATTTTGATGAAAACAAACTCATATTGGTGAACATACTTGTGATTTTGTTTGTGACAGGCTAATGGCAAAAGAACCACAAGAGAACTTATTAGTATTGCAGAATTATAATTCAGCTTTATAAAAATATGCCTGAAATGTGGAGCACAGAAGTTCGAAGCTTGAAGATACAGTATAGGACATTTATTTGTAATTTGTGTTTATGTAATTTTATGGAAATTAGGCCATTTGTCTCCAGAGTGTACGAACATATCAAAATTACTTTGGAAATCATTGCATATGTTCAATTAGGAATTAGGTGGCTGATTTCCTTGTTTTCTAATGGATATATCGACTCTTGGTTAAATATGGGGATCAAGGTACTGCAAATTATTTACTCATTTATGGACTCTCAAATCTAATATACAGTCCGCCGTTCTAGCTGTGAAATAGTTACTGAAAGTGCTTTCATTAGCAAATTCTTTGATTTATCTACAGTGTACATTTTCATCTTCTTGATCTTGCATGTGTCATCTTTTGTTTAGTTCACTCCATTGAGATTAAGAGATGCAGGACTAAAATATTTTTTAAATGGATGTGTTAAGAATTGCACGATTTCTTGAATTAGCAAATAAGATTAAAATTGTTAGCAATCAAAAACGACAATAGAAAACAAAAGAGGGGTGCCTATGTTTAGGCTAAGCCACTTGCCAAACACTTGGAGAATAAAAAAATGTTAGAAATTCAACAACATGCAAAGTAAATAGCTTTCAACAAAATCCCTAATATAACAATAAGATTAGAAGCATAGAAAGTGCACTCGATGCTACGTTTACTAAGTTTTCGTAACGGCGAAACAAAATCCTACGTTTACTAAGCTTAGGCATAAGGCGAAACTCGGCTCCTTGTGATTCGTCATCACCTATAAGATTAGGTGATTATGAAGGTAATTGAAAAGGGGGAGAAGTTCACATTTGTCACGGTCCGGAATTTAGTAGTTGAGGTGTTGAAGAAGTCTGTCGTAGCTTCCCTTGAAGGTCAATTAAGAGAAAGAGGTTTCTCTAATGTTGAAGTGTTGCACACGCTTGTTAGTACTTTTTCTTGAAGGCTCCTATTGAAAGAGACGAGCTTTGCTTGAAAACTCCCATAGCGGAAGAGGAAGAAGTGGCCGACCATGGACGGGAGAGGATTGGGGAAATTAGGTTTAGGTGGGGGGAAATTAGGTTTAGGTGGAGGGAAATTACAATTCAAACACCTCCTAATCCTCTTGATTGAGAATAATTAAAGGAAGTGAGAGAAGAGGGGGGGGGGGGGGGGGGGGGGGGGGGGGGGGGCATGAAGGAAGGGACGTTGTTAATCGATTTCCAATTGGAGAAGTTCTCTAATGGAAATAAATTAGATAGTTGGGGCTAGGGAGGAATTAGGCCAAAGGGAGGTGGGGAAATTTGAATTGCTTCCAAAAAGGGGAATTAGGAAATAATTTCCTAATCCCACTTTATAGGGGCCGGCGGCAATCAAAACTTGGAGAGGATTGATGGGATAGATTTGTAGCTTCTTAATTTGGGTATTGAAATTAGGAAAGGTTTTAATTAAATCCTATTTGAATTTCAAATTCAAATTGAATTTAATTTAGGAACTTTCCTAAAATAGGTTTCTTAAATAAGGAAAGAAATTTTCAAATTCAAATTGCTTTGAAATTTGAAATTAAATATTCCCAAATTAAGAGTAGATACTTATGGAAAGGATTCAAGGTGTGATTTGAATTTTGGAGGGAGGATGAGAGAAGAGGGGCCGGCGGTTTGGTGGGTTTGAAGGGATTTCGGTGGGGGGTGATGGGGATGAAGTTGGTCGGTGGTTTGGGTAGTGGGAGGAGTTTATGCGGTGGTGGTGGTGGGAAGTTGAGTGGCCGACGGCAAAGGCTTGGGAGAACCTTGGTCGGTGGCTAGGAGATGGAAGAAGGACTAATGATAAAAAAAAAAGATAATGAACCACGAACTCGGCCGTCTCCAAGGTTGGTGGGTGATCCGATCTCCCTCTCCTAGGGATTTCTCTCTCAAACGCTATTACGATCTTACAAAGAAATCAAAGGGGAAGAAAATTCTTCATTCATTTATTCATTAACTTTCAAAGAGAAACATATGGGCTATAAATAGCCTAGTACATAGGACTCAAAATAAGAAATACGACAATGCCCTCAGGACTTACATACGACATGCATTAAGGGGTAAAAACGAGAAAAACAAATACAACATAGATAACAAGAGATAAATAACATAATAAAAGCAAATACTTGAAATGACTTAAGAATACATCGACTCGATCGTGGCCGTAGATCGACGGCCACGCCTCTGATACACTTTTCATGCTCTGATGTCCCCATCATTAAGTGTTGCATTAAACGCATAATAATGTGTTATTTATTATGCATTCCGCTTGTACTTGGCTAAGTTTTGTTTGAAGTCTTGGGATCCTTTGAATTTTGTATGGGTTTTTCTTGTCCTTTGTAAGAAAAAGAGAGTGTGATTGTTTGAAAAGGGAGGGGAATCCAATGGTTACTGTACAATATTTGTGACATCTTCAATTCAATGCATCTCTTTTGAATATTATTTTTTGATTGTAAAATGCATCGTATTTTTTGGTAAATTATGTTTTACATAAGTGGCTGATCGAACGTATTCTCCTAAAGTTTATTTATTATTTCCTGTTTCTCACATTGTTAGGACAATGAATCTCTTATTACTGGATGTTTTTCTTGTGGTTTTAAATGAAATGAAGACTATGCACAATAGTATATGAATTAGATATGTATTGTAACCAACGTAATAATTATCCGAGTAATGAATGTCAATTCCTAACATTATGGCTTCATTTGGGACGACTTTTTTACAGTTTTCTATTACAAAAATTTTAATTTTTATATTAAAAAATTACTTCAAGAAGCAATAAAAAAGCCGTCCCAAACGAAGCCTAAATCTACTCATATACTATAAATTTTCAGTTCATCTATGGAATAAACAACTCTAAAAATATAATGGTATTTTCTCTTGCAGGCAGCATAGTTTGAATGACATGTTACACTCTTTGAATCTTTTGCAATGTCATTTTCGCCCTAAACAAAATCATAATGTATGTTTTTTTTTTAGATATGGATATATTAGTTGAGCTAGCCTTATATCAAACCTAAGTTATATACTATTGAATCACTTTAAATTTTCATGTCTATGCTCTTTGATTATTATATATTTTTTTGCTTGCTTGAAGAGTACCTAGGTGTAGTTCTTTGTTTAATATATGAACAAATGTTTGAACTCCTCTTGTCTTGGGAGACTAAATTTTAATCATTCACATTGTTTAAGTGTATTATGCGGGAAAGTCAATTACGTCTTTATTATACGTGCCCAGTCGTCCTCCATTTTATTACCTAATGAAAGATAAAACAGGTCATCTAATATCTTGAACGGACAAGTTGAAAATATCACTTTGAAAATCTCATGCCGCAAATGTAAATGTGGTGATGAAACAACTTTGTAAAGATTTATTGATGAAATTCAGGATTGCCTGCAAAGAAAAAAAAAAGGTAATGCATCACTGTAGTACATTAAAATGTTCATTTCTGCTAGGGTTATTTCTTGCAAATAATTTATTAAATGGAAGTTTATGGAGATCACATTGGCTCCAGGAATTCCGAATAAACATTCATGGATGAACTGCAGTGATGATGAGCACACAACAACACAAGAATATAATATCAACATACTGCTCACATTAATTAGATTTTGAGTTCATTGTATTCATGTCAATGAGGTGGTCCTTATGGCAGGGATTTTACATTGTTTGAGCTCATTTGCCTTTAACCAGATTCCTGGCTAAAATTGAATTTTAATTTGGCACCTTGAATTGCTTAAAACTTTTGTGCTTAAAAAACCACTCTTTATCAAATAAGAGGAGGATAACAAGAAAAGTGTCTTCTAACATTCAATGCTCCATCTTCCTGAAAATTGCCCACGACAAATGTATAATGATCTCGTGAAAGCACCTCTATGAACATACTTGGAGGATTCCCCAACACCAAAAGTGGATTTAGCTATTTATTTAATATTGTGGACGAGTTCAATAATATAGCTTCGCCTAGTTCCTTGGAGGAAGACCATACTCGGAGAAGCTGTCAAATTATTCTTTCAATGTCTAGAAGCACTTTGATCTACCCACCTCCATCTGCTCTATCAGAGAAAATTAATTCCTTGCTCAATTTTAGAGAGCACTGTGGACTATAATGGACACTAAACTCAAAAGGGAAGATGACAAAATGTTTTAAGCCCATTTGATTTTGAGTTTTCTATTGAACTGGATGAAGGAAGCATTGGAAAAAAAAAAAAAAAGAGAAAGAAATGAAGAAATGTTCTTGGAGAGCATTCAAAATGATACACCAAGAGGTAGAGAGAATTTGCAAAGGTCCCAGGAGAACTACAAATATCATAATAGCAAGCAAATCACTCTAGTCACTTGTTAGGAAGGCGAATTGATGTGGCTTCATCTTGGTAAAGACGGAAGAAAAGATAATGACAAAAGCTGCAGCTCATCATATACAAGTTATTCAAAGTGCTACAAAGAATTGGAGAAATTGTTTATAGGATAGATCTTCCCAGCTATATACACATGGATTATGCGACAAATGTGGAGCATTTAAAATTTATTTGAACACGACTGTTATTTTTGAAATAGAGAACATAAATCCAAATACAAGAGAGGTTGCTGCAAGAATATTGCATTACAAAGAGAGAGAATACCACCACCAGGAGGAGAATCAATGAATCTTTCAAGTACTAAGGGCAATTAATTAAGCAGAATGGAATGAAGGAATTCTCCCATCTACAACTATTTGCAGAAGCAAATTGAAGTATAGGAAGGAGTCATTATCTAGGTGGCTCCATCAAAATTCTAAAATTTAAGAATATTTCCAAAACATTCTAGAAGCTTCCAAAGATTTCCAAATGATTGCCAAAAGCTTTCCATGATATCCAAATGATATTTCATGGAATAAGAATCAAATTTCAAAGACAGCCAACCAAGCATTTGAAGGTTCAAATTGAATGGAGGCATGATTTGTAAAAGAAAGAAAGTCTAAGCTAAAGCAGCGTCCTAGTACAAAATTAAAATTTTTTGTACTAAAAGCTATTTTAAGCAGAAAAAAAATCATCCCAAACGAAGCCTAAGAATGCAACAAGTGAAAAAAATCCTTCATCTACATTACTAAAAAACCAAACACCAGAAAAAATAAGATCGATTAATTCATTAGAAACAATCAAGTTTAAAATAAGATCCAACCATAGTTCAATCAAAATGAGAGATAAAAATGAATAATGTAAAATAAGTATTACACTGACCTTTGACTAGCCTAATCAATAATAGTATTATGTTGGAAGCTTCAAAGATACTAATACTGACCAGCTTCCGGAACAACTTACTAAATGTTAGTCGTAAAGTCTCTTTTGAATGTCTCATGCAACAGAACTCAGCATCCTGTGATTTTTGAGCTCCATAGAAAAATTTATGAGAAAAGAAATCAATCATGATTTGTACAAAATCAAGTTTTACTCCCTATGAATATAGTGCTTTTAGTCCTATAAACAGTTAGAGAAGAATCATTCAAACAGGTATTCTCGTTTGCAATGTTCTTCGGGAGTATTTAAACCGATGCCTCTTCCTCAATAGCCTCTTATCCCTGATTCCATCATAAAGAAGTTCATAGGCAAAATAGGCAATATGACCTTTTCTCAACAACTCTTCTAGAAGTATCTTGGGAGCTGCAATTTCCTTTTTATCAGGACTAAGAATGGTGTGCACAACCTCTGGAACTACTCCATGAGTAACCATTAGATGAATAATTCCGACAGCTTCTTGTACTCTATCTTTTGAACAAAGGCAATTCATCACTCGCCCAAATGTCATCATTGATGGAAATAATCCGTTACTAATAGCTTCCATCAGGAGTTCATTTGCACGGTCAGCATTTCCAATCTTGCAGAAACCAGTAATCATGACACGAAAAGTAAATGCATCCTGAGAAATTCCCTTGCCAATCATCTCTAATAAAATTTTCTCTGCCATGTCCAAGTTGAGCTTCTCACAGAATGCAGAAATCATTACCTTGTAGGTATCCAATGTAGCAACACAATTCTCTTTTTCCATTTTCCTAAATATTTCATAAGCTCCATCAACATCATTATTCTGGAAGAAGCCATATATTAATGTGTTAAAACTAACAACATCTGCTCTTAACCCATCTTTTGCCACCATTTTAAGCATATCAACAGCCTCCTTTATCCGCCGAACCTTGCAAAGGCTCTCTATTAATATATTATAGGTGATAATGTTAGGTTGACAACCCCTTGAAGGCATTTCTTTGAATGTCTCAAACACGTCGTTGGTATTTCCAGCCTTGCAAAGTCCATTCAATAAAGAATTATAGGTAATTATATCGGGTTCTATGCCAAAACTCCACATCCTATCGACTATTTCCAATGCTCTTTCCACATTCAATCTCTTGCAGTAACCATCCACCAATGTGTTGAAGGTAAAAATATTAGGCAAGAAACCTTTTGCAATAGCATTATTCATGACACTATTGGCAAGGGACACATTTCCCATCTTACACAAATTGCTGATTATGATATTGTAAGTCCAAGAATCAGGATTGCAACCATTTCCTATCATTTCATTCATTAGATCCAAAGCTTGCAAAATAAGTCCTTGCCGAGAAAGCCCTTTGATCAGCGAGTTATACAAAACAACATCAGGTATCAAGCCTTTGGCCAAAGCCTCATTGAACAGTTCTGTTGCCCGATTTATATCACCTTCCTCGCATAAACCATTGATCAATGAGCAATATGTCACACGATCAGGCACAAACCCTTTGAAAATTGCATCCTTCAGATGATGACATGCATTTTGCACCCGGCCCAATTTGCAATAACCATCAATTATTGTGTTGTAGGTAAAGTCATCTGGAAAGCATCCTCTCTTTACCATTTCATGAAGATAACTCTCAGCTTCATCAACCTTAGAGTTCTTGCACAGGCCACAGATAAGTGTATTATAAGTAATGACATCAGGGGTAAGATCCTTATCCAAGCACTCAAACAAACGTATAGCCTCCTTTAAATTGCATCCTCTAAAAAGGCCTTGAATTAGTATATTGTATGTATACAAATTAAGAAATACACCTCTCTTCATAACTTTAGCAAGAAGTCTGCTGCTCTCAAAGACATCACCTCTTCTACAAAGAACATGTATAAGCTTATTAAATGTAACTATGTGAGGACAAACACCTCTGCTAAGCATTTCATCAAACAGCCTGCATGCCTCGGATTGGTGGTTTTCTCCATACAGGCCAGAAATAACAGTGCAGTATGTGATTGCATTAACATCATAGCCTCTCTCTGGCAAGTTCCTAAGAAGCCTCAGGGCTGCGTGTGGCCTTCTTGTTCTACAAAATGATTTTATCCTTATTGTGAAGGTATAAACATCAGGGATGATTCTTTTTTCAAGCATCCTCAGATAAACTTTGTGAGCTTGATCATTGTATCCGTATTCAACCAAAATGTTCATGATTGTATTGTAAGATAAAACTGAAGGTTCGCAGCCAAAAAAATCCATTCTCTCAAAGGTATCAACAGCATCCTGAATCCTCCCCCTCCCCCCATACTTCTTCATCACACTGACATAAATTCCTTCAAGCAAAGAGTTCTCCACTTTCATTCTCATCTCTGAAATCACTCTATCCATCGCTTCAAACTCCCCGTGAAGACCAAGTTTTTCCAACATGCACTTGTAGGTGGAGAAAGTGTGCTCGAATCCATTGTCCTTCACGACAGAATTGAACATCTCTAGTGCCTTCAGAGGATTTTTCTGGTATCTTATAACAGCAATCACATGCTTCGGAAGTAATGTGTGGCTCATTAGCCGCTTCAAGCAGTCATCTGATTCCGCTCCTGCAAATTATCAGCTGTCTAAAAAACTGCTACTCTCGACCGAATTGAGAAGATCATAAGAAAATCAAATAAAAGTCTACAAACCCGGAAGAATAATCATCTCGGATAGAAATATTGAACAAGAAATTTATAATCGATAATAATTTGTAAAGAACCTAAGAAGAATGAAAATCTATGCAAAATACACAAAAAGATGTAATGATTTATTAAGTTACACAAGTACAAATCAAAGTCGAATATAAATTTTGATGGACCGGCTGAGCCTATGGCCCCACTAAGATGGGCGGTGGCCAAGAAGAGCAAAGTGGATTTATTTTACTTTAATTACTTACCATATAAAATCAAATTTGAGAGGGATTTAGGAAGTTTTATTTAGGGAAAGTTGGATGATTTAATTGGGAGGGAATTGTGAAGGTTTATTTAGGGAAAGATAGTTGATTTGATTGGGAGAAAATTATGAAGGTTTATTTAAGGAAATATTGAAGATTTGAATTCAGATTTGGGAGAAAATTATGAAAAGTTTATTTAGGGAAAGAGGGTTGATTTGATATCCGATTTGGGAGGGAAGTAAGGATGTTTATATTAGGGTTAATTTGATTGTTTTATTTTCATTATGTGATTGTGTTTGCTGCAATTTTTTTTTTCTTTGTTCCTAGCGGCATTTAGAATTTGTGGAGAGCTGATCTACTTCTCGAATAGTAGATCAACTTGTATCTTTGTTTGTTGTGCTGAAATAACAATTTTTCTTGCTGATTTTTGCTGCATTTTCTTTTCATTCTTACTATTTTTGTAGTGTAAAGGACAAATTCTATGAAATTGGTATCAAAGCACCTTTTTTGGAATCTTTGGTGGCTAAGAAAGTTGATGCATAGGATGAGAGTCTTGATGGGGAAGTTAGAAATCTGAAATCTGCATTCGGAGAGCAAATTTCAGAAATTGAGGGCATACTTTTGAATTTGTAAGATATGATGAAAAGTATGTTAGAGTTTCAAGCCAAGATGACATCATTGGAGGCAAGGGCACTGTTGACTGCACAAGGAAGTGAGGGAAACCTTAATATAAGGACGAGAAGTCAGGATAGGGATGTGAAAATTTTGAGGGAAGAAAATGAGATGCCACCTTTGGAGCCACTTCCAAGGAGGGGAAACGATGAAGAATTGAGATTTTTGGTAGAGCTATAAAGTTTGGAAGGAGAAGAAGATTGGGAGAAGATAGAAGCATCAGACATGGTTCAACCACTGCTACAACATTATCTCGAGGTGTTCAAGTCGATTCAGGGGTTGCCACCTCTGCGGAAATACAAACATGCTATCATCTTGAAGGAAAGAGTCTAGCCTATCAATGTTCTTCCATATCGTTATCCTCAAATCCAGAAGAATGAGATCGAGAGGTTGATCAGGGAGATGCTGGAGGTATGGATGATTTGACCTAGTGTTAGTCAAGTGTAATTAGTCAAGTGCTTCAGTAGCAATTTTTTTCTTTCTACCTAAGGACAATGTGGCTTTTTGGGACGGGAGGGAAGTATTGATGGACCGACTGAGTCTGTGAACCTCATTTGGGTGGGCAGAGGACAAGAAAAGCAAATGGGATTAATTCTACTTTAATTATTTACCATAGAAAATTGAAATTGGGAAGGAATTATGAAGGTTTATTTAGAGAAAGTTGAATGATTTAATTGGGAGGAATTAAGAAATTTTATTTAGGAAAAGATGGTTGATTTGATTGGGAGTGAATTCAGAAGATTTGTTTCGGGAAAGAGAGATGATTTGAATTCAGATTTGAAAGAAAATTAAGAAATGTTTATTTAGAGAAAGAGGAAAGAGGGCTGATTTGAGTTCACATTTGAGAGCAAAGTAGGAAGATTTATATTATGGTTAATTAGGTTGCATTATTTTTAGTATGTGATTGTGTTTTGCTATAATTTTTCTTTAGAGTTGTTCCTAGTAGCGCTTAGGGTTTGTGGAAAGTCGATCTACCTCTCGAATAGTAAATAAACCTATATCTTGGTTTGTTGTGCTGAAATAACAAATTTTCTCACTGATTTATGTGTGTTTTCTCGTCGTTCTTGCTATTTTCTATGTATAGAGGATAAATTCCTATCAAAATTCCATTATAGTATATTTAATATTAATTATAATTTTATGTAGCACTTTCTACAATGTAGCCCTTTCTACAAACCCTGCATTTTTATGTTTCTTTGCATCAATGCTAAAGACATGCTCTACATAATGACTAATCATGGGTGGGGACTAAAACCTAGGTTGAGAATTTGTAAGTCAATAACCAGTTGGTCAACTTTTTATATTGCATAAGTTGAACAACTTTTGGTTGTTAGGGTTATTTTGGTTTATTCAAACTCGCCTAAGATGAGGAGTCAGTCAACTCCAAAATCAATAAAACAAAGCTATTCATTCACATTCATTTATTGATAACTACTTGTCTCATGCATGCAAGTTCCCCAAGTGTTACTTAGGAGTAAATCAGTGTTTAGCTAGGCAAGTTCATTATTCATTCTCGAAAAATAGTAAGGGTTACTTGAGCATTTGTGTGTAAGGGGGCAAATTCTCTTAGTGTTACATTTGATTTATATCATTACTACTTGTACATTTCTTTAATAGTAGATTCACTCATATAAAAAATTAATCAACATCTGAGCTTGAAAGAAGAGATTTTTTTTAATTACGATTATTTTACATAGATAATTGAGTACAGAGATTTCATTCAAGGGTAATAAATCTTCATATCATAAGTGCTCGAAGTCCTCAGCACCTCTACAGGCACAAACTAAAGTTTTTGTTGTTGTTGTTGGTGATGATAGTGTTTATTTTTCTGGTGATGGGTATATGATGAACCAACAATAAATATATATGTATAAATAAATGAAAAATATAAGTGGACATAAATTGAAAACAATAAATGACTGGTACGTCATTTTGAGGTATGATGATATATGGTGTGGTAATTCATAAAAACAATATGTTATTTGGATGAACTCGTTGCAAGTATAAAAAGACATAATCGGTCTGGTCACGCGATCGTGTGCGATGCTGTTGGCGTGAGAATAAGGCAGCTGCTCAGTTCACACTCGGGAGGAAGAAGTCGGGCTCGGCTTCAGTTTGTTTGCGCAAAAATTACGACTTAGCTGGACCGAACCGGTCAGGTTATTACATATACTTTATGAATATACAGGTAATCAAACTTTATTATATCAACGCCAATAAACAATTAACTAAAACAAAGCAGTCTTAATAACCAAGTTCGAACTTAACAAGTCATAAACACTGATGTGAACAAAGATGAACTTAACCCACTAGTAATTTTTAAGCAGGAAATTAGGGAATGCAAAATTTGAAGAACGAACAAAAATTAAATTGTCTACTCATAATCAATGCTATTAAAATTCAGGCTTATTTAAGAAATCAAACCAATTTGGGAAAAAGAAACATCATATACCCGTGACATTCACTTAGCTTGCAATCAACTATCAATATGTGTTCTAACTACAATGACAATGAGAAAAGCTAATCATAACTTAATGCTAATAGATTTAAATAACAATTGTTGAAGAACACGGTCACAACATCGAGAAAGAAAAATCAGGAAGAAATAATAACTGAAGTATAAATGTGCCATAGTATCTTGTAAATGAATCCTTGTCATTTGCTGATTGCAAAGTAGCATTCCAGAACTTAGTGACAAGTAAGAGTTATGCAGATAAGGAGGCTGAGATGCACCCTGTAGTATCAATTCATTAATCTCTTAAATGATACAAAAAAGAAACATCCAAGCACAATTAGTTAGTTTGATAACACTCAAGGCCATCCTTCTATACAGACATGACTTGCAGTTCATGAAGGAAGCCTAAGTAGATTAATGCTACTTAAAAACCCAAAGGAAAAAAAAAAATACATAATATTCATATCAAAAACATGCCCCGAGAAATCGCTAGCTTCAAGCACTATCGCGAGAAAATTTCACATTGTGCTATAAATTTAGAATAACTTGCCGCACTCAAATCCACATGCGAATGTGAGAAATGTACAACATAGCACCATAAATAAAATGCAAAAAAAAAAACAACAAACCCTATAAAAAATCGTTACATCTTTCAGCGGCGAGATATCAGGGAGTGGGCGTGGTGAGAGATTAGGCAGCCCGCAGCGTTGAGACATCAAGTAGCTTGTCGCGGCGAGGGATCAGAGAGCTCGAGGTTGTGAGAGTTGAGAAACCTTGCACTAGCGAGGAATCGGACTGCTCGTTAGACTCGCGGCAGCAAGAGAGGCAGACAAGAAGCGCGCGCATCTTCCTCCGACGTGTTCGCTGCACAAGCACGGCTCTCAATTTTCGCTTCAAACTTGAATCGGGCTGCACGGAACTCTTAGAGGGTAAGTCGGTTTATAATAATTTATTTATGATACGATAATATTTAAAAATCTGCTTATGAAAATAATAATATTTGCAATAGTAGATTAAAATATTTAATATCTTAATTATATATAAAAAGAAGGTTGTAGGAAAACATCAAATTTTGTACATTAAACATTTATGAAGTAAAAAAAATCACAACATTTTGATTACATAGTTGAAATAATTCTAATAATATATATTATTTATTATAATTATGTATTTCTTTTCTAAATATTGAAAGTTAGAGGTGCTTTAAGGCATTAGAGATATTTTTATGAGAGATTTTATAGTCTAGCTTATCATTCCTCTTCGAGGAGAGTAAACTGCATTAATAACATGAAGCCAAGTTACTATTGACAAGGTACATCAGTTATATTGGCAATAGTGTACATCAATATTATATGCCACTACGTCGGCTTTGATGTTAACATTGTTCATCAGCCTTATAGATAAAATTAGTTACTTTAGGACATATGTTAATAATACTATTTAATGAAGTACATTAAATGCATGATTGTAATGCCATTTCCCTATGGGCTCCCTTTGTTGGGGATCAATGATGAAGTAAAAGAGTAGGCTTGGCTGCATGCTAAATAAGAACCATAGGAACCTATAATTGATCTATTTCAAGAGAAATTTATCTTAAAAAAACTACCAATAAATACAAATCTTTTGACCATCATAGCTCACCTATGGTCATATTACCATCGTTGCACTCCTATAGTTCTTCGACTACAATTACATGTCTATGACCTTCTAACTATCATCGCACATATATAATCCTCCAACTAATATCCTATAATTATGGTCCTCTAATCACTGTCATTCGACTATAGTCCTTTGACTATCATTACCTAACTACGATCCTCTAATCACCATCACTTGATTACAATCATCTGACCAACATCTTCCAACTAGGGTCACTTGAGCTACATCGCGCCACTATGGTTACCCGTACACTACTGCCCAACTACAACCCTGCTACCACCATCCCCCGATTATGGTCCTTCAACCCCCATCACTTGGCAATGGTCCTCTAACCACCCTAGCCCAACTACAGTTCTTAGACCACCATAGCCTGACTAATGTCCTATGACCAACATTACCTAACCATGATATCCTAAACATTGTCAGACTACTATAGTCTCTTGGCCATTCTCACTTGTGTATATTGACACCCATCCACTTTGTCATTTGACATCACTAAAAAATATCGACGCACGTCATCGTCTATAAAGTTGATGCACATTATCAATACTAGCACGGAAGCTCGTTGAACTTTTTCCTGTCTTCACTAATAACGTTAATGCAAGTAGACATTTGTAAAGTTGATGCACGTTGTCATAAAAAGGCTGATACTTACCGGCTTCATTGCTACCAATCATAACACATGAATTGCCTATAAAGTCGATACAAACCGTCGGCACTAACTTTGCCCGATGTCAATATAAAAATTAATGTCAGATTATTGGTCTCTTATCTCCTCCCTTCAAAGAAGAATGGCTTAGCAAACAATAAATAATTTTTTGAAGAAAACTTCTATGCCACAAAGCTCTTGTAACTTTCACCATGAAATATGTTTTCTATAATTTATGTGTACTATATTGTATATATAACTTCCTCACTTTTGGGGAAGATTATCATTTGTGATCGATGACAAATGCTAATGAAATCATTTTAACTTGACAAGACCCTATGATTTTTCCCTTTTTCAAATTTTCAACGTAAAACTCTTATTTTTCTCTTGCAACTCCTATTTTATCTATGCATGTAATGAATCTTCTTATAATGCTAAGACGTTAAATTCTATCTATCATCATGAATATTTTAACATGCATCAAAATTATCAGCCATGAACATTGATAATGTGATAAAGGAATCGGCACAAATCATATTAGTTGACATTTTATTGGAACTCTCCCACATAATGTGAAGAAGGCAAAGTAATCACACAATCAAGAAGGATATATTAATCATTCAGTTTCTCTTTGGTTGATTTATGCACATGCATTAAAATCATGCCAATATGAATTATGTGTGTCATTTAGCTGGGCATGATAAGGCTTTCGAAGGTTACACACATGTAAGCGACTCATGAAATGGGACAATATCTATTGGCATCTCACAATGGGAAATCTATATTTTTTCATATTCAAATAAAATTGTTCTGTCTAAACATTATAAATCTCATCTTTGCGCTCTAACTAATTAAGATAGGGGAGAAATCAGCCCCTTTTGACATAATGGGCAAAACTTTAAATAATTAATATTTTTAGAGAAAATTTACAAATAATTAGTAAGATAATACCACCAAAATTATAATAAATAATTAGTTAATCAAACCTAAGGGGGTAAGTTGACTTTTTTTTTGTTGAGGATTGGATGACCGTATATTAACTATGGACAAACTCCAAAAAGTTAAGTTCTTCTTATGACCAAAAAAAGGATGATGAGCATTTGATAAAAGCTTGTGTTTTGATGTTGCACCCCTACACTGTTTTTTACGTGAGAGAATATAGTTTAGCTCTTCTGAATCTATGGAGTTTGACGGCGGTTTGGTGGTCATGGGGCAAGCATTAGCTAACTTCTAGCAGCTCATTATCCCACCTCAATGGATGCTCATACATGGATTTTGAAAGACACCAATATTGTATTCCCATGTCGGAAATATTCGAATGGCTACTAAGAAGCCGACGAAGTTTCCAGCCAAACAAAGCCGATCTTCCATGGCACTCGGCCGGCAATGTCCGACTAGCTGTAGCTCACCATAATATTCTCATAGCGCTTATCCAGAGCACTTCCTGGGCATGATCCTGTTGTCTTCATGATTGTCATATATAAAGCAACAAGTTTCCAACTACCCATTAGAAGAATCCTTCACCTCCAATCAGCTTCTTCAACAAATGGAAGATTGTCTGACAAAACATGATCCTAACACTTAGTAGAGCGGTTCTTTTGATAAGATTGAATAATTATTTTGATATTATTTAATGTTAGAAAAAAATGTTTTAAAACTCTGACCATTTGTTTTCCATAGACACAAACAGCAGCTAAAAAACAAGAGAAACTTCATAATCAAATGTAGATGCTCAGACAAAACCCGTCTTTTGTGTCAATTGACAACCGTATCTGACAATCATCTAATTTGCAATAATCGCCTGTAGAACATTTGCTTTGGAGACCTTTACAATTGCCGCCCAACAGGTCAGAATTTGGCTTCATTTGGAATGAACAGCTTGTTTTATTGCTTTGCTAAAATTATTTTTTAGCAGAAAAATATCTTAGAAAAAAATATTGATCTATAGTTATCCTAAATGGAGTCTTAAGGTAGGCCAAAGCTATTTTTATAAATAAGAGATTTATGGCTTGAATTGAATTATTAAATAATTAATTGAATTCAAAAAGAGTCCAACCCTTTATTCCCTCCTATCACTTCGATTCACTTTCTCTCCTATTGATAGCCTTCTCACAAGAAATGTAATCCTAGGTTATACTACATGTCCCATCTCGGAAAATATATTATGTACGGAAGCGTAATCCGTCCGGATCCCTAAGTCTGCGGCTCGGTACCGCGTTTCAGTATGGCTGACGCAACTCATTCTGATTGGTATCCGAATGTAAAGTTGTGTCAGCGTCTACACAGAATAATCTTTTCTGATCTCGCCATTAAGCATATATAGAAGGAAATCACATAAACCTAATGCTAGCATCTGCAAGCACTCACCTCCTCACCCTGCTTTTGCCCCCTTCGTCCGCACGCACTTGCACTAGCACCCGCTCGAGCCCCATTACCTTGTTTGTTAGCGGGTCGAGTCGGGTCAACATGATTAGGCCGTATCGGGTAATTTTTGACCTATTTGTCTAATCAGGTCGTATTCAAATTGGGTCAATTAAAGGTTCGGATCAAACCTAAAATTGACCAAAAAATTATTTTGATACCCTATCACACCTTTATGAATTAGTTAAATTGATCATTCTCGAAAGTTAGATTTAAAAAATATCTCAGGTAGATGTTACTAATTTTTTTTTCTTGAGAGCGGTCTAAATATAACACGGCCACTTGACTGACCCGTTCAGTCTCTTGTTCGCTTTTTCTGCACCAACTTTCTTCCGTCCGAGACCAAAGAGCCGGCGACGGAAGCTGTCCCCATTCAATCATTGATGCCTTTCTTCTCTGGCAACCGCCGTGGCAGCGCCGGAGGTAGCTTTGGCCATGCCGTCCTCCCCACCAGCAACACCAAGCCGAAGCCCCTCCGAAAACCTTCCGGTATTCGCCGTCGCAATCCCTTCTCCCCTTCGTCCACCTTCTTCGCCATCGGGATCTCCCTCTCCCTTCTCCTATTCCTGGCTGTCTTCCTGCGCTACGGAGTACCCAGCCACGTCTCTTCCTCCTCTGCTTCCACCTCAAAGAGCTCCCAAATTGTTCGCCCTTCTTCCATTCGTCGTGCGACCCCAAAATCCGATGGCGCTGTTGCGGAAGGAGCGAAGAGGAGTGGGGGCAACATATCTGCTGCCACGGTTGACATCACAACGAAGGATCTCTATGATCGGATCGAATTTCGGGATATGGATGGGGGAGCTTGGAAGCAGGGTTGGAAGGTCAAGTACGATGGGAATGAGTGGGATGAGGAGAAGCTAAAGGTTTTCGTCGTGCCGCACTCGCATAATGATCCCGGGTGGAAGCTGACGGTGGAGGAGTACTATGATCGGCAGTCCAGGCATATATTAGACACCATCGTCGAGTCCCTCTCGAGGGTAAATTCTTTTTCTGTCCTTATGATTACTGTATTGAATTTTTCATGGTCTTGTATGAGTTTTAATGACTTTGGTGGATATCCTAATTTTAGAGGAAAATGGAATCCATCCAATTTCCTTTGGCGCCAATATCTGATAGTCATTCTTCTTTAATTGTAGAACTAAATCCACTATGTTGATAGCTTCAACTATTTTGGTTTACTTACCATCGCTGTGCGTTGGGAAATCTCTAGTAGTTCACATGATTTAGATATTTTCATACTTATTTGATCAAATTTTTCCTAGGCTTACAAATTTTATTCCCATGACCCTGTAAATGTTCATTGATCTCGCTCAGACTTTGTTATGAAGCAAATTCTGTCCTGTAGCTAGCAACCGTTAGGCCAACTATATGTATGTGCCGATTTTTTTATGTGTAAAAGACCAAAGTTCGTCTCAAGTTCCCAACATTAATTTATATACTTTTTGCAGGATGTACGCCGCAAATTTATATGGGAAGAGATGTCATACTTGGAGAGATGGTGGCGGGATGCGTCAGACTTGAAAAGGGAAAGTTTTACCAATTTGGTCAGGAATGGGCAGTTGGAGATTGTTAGTGGGGGATGGGTGATGAATGATGAGGTAAGCTTTTCATGTTTTAATAATTGAAAGGAGGCATGGATAGTTTATAGTCTTTGCAGTGGAATTCAGGAAGCCGTTTCATGCTTGTACATAATTTTTTTCTAAATAGACAACAATATACGTCTTGTACAACTTTTTAAATGAAACATGGATACACATTGATTATTTGTGCATTGAAGGCTTTTGATTAGAAATAAGTGCAGGCTTAGGAGAAAATTGCGTAAGGCTTAGGAACTTGCTTGGTTTGATTGGTTCATTTTCTTAGGGAGAAAATTGTGTAAGGATATCTTCACACCTTTTGCATCAGGATGGGCTCTAAAACATTTGTATTTGCCCTAAGATTAGTGCAACCCTCGGATATTATATGCAACACTAATCTCAACGTAAATCCAAGGGCTTTGAAGCCCATCATGACATTATTATTATTATTTTTTCTATTTTGTAGGCTTTAGTTATCTGCCATTATGCAAAATCTTAATTTGGATCAACCCATTTAAAGACAATGACATTTAGGTTGCCAATTGCCAAACATAATAGAAAAAAAGGTTTCTTGTTAATAAATTCGACAGGACTTGCCCCAATTAAAGCCTAGGTTAGGTTTTAATATCCCAACAAATTGTTTTTCCACTCCAGAAGGTTAGTCTTATTGCTTGCTTGAAAAGATTAACATGACTTGTAGTGTTAGTTTCACAATACTTGAGTTATGAAATCTTCAGTTGCATAGTTTGAGAAAATAAAATTTATATGTAGAACACATTGAAGGGGAAAACTCAAGGCCTTGAATAGTTGCAAAAGTTGATTGTTTGTAATTCGATACAAAGATAGAGAATGATTCTTGAGAGTTGAAAGTGACGAGGCACATAAGTTGGTGCTCATGCATGCGAGTAATGAACACACTAAGAATGTGTGATGCAGGATTGTGAACTTTTTCAAATATTATGAATAATGACATTTTTGGATAGGGTTGGTGCAAGCTATGATTTATTGTTTGTGGTGCTCTTGCTCTCGTGTATTGTCTGATCTTCAGATGAAAACAATTGGCAGCGTCATTGCTATCTTAAGTAGCTCCTGTGGTATGAGTATTGCGGCAATAAATTGGCTATGGATGAGAACAAAGTAAGTGTCATTCGATTATCAAATTGGGCGATGTTATCATTGCCGTTATATGTGGTGCATTAAACACCACTATCATATTAGTATTATAACCATGAATGGGAGAATTATAAGCATCATATGGTCTTCAGGTATAGGCAGGTGACGTTATCATTATCATCTTATGTGATGTGTTTGATGGTGTTGTCCCTATAGTAGGATGACTCTACACATGATACATGCATTACTTGATTGTTGTTGACAAGGAATATTTAATTTGGTTGGGTTAACTATCTTCACTAAATAAGCTATCATGTTCCATAAAAACCTGGGGCTAGAGAACTATGAGATATTGATCTGAGTTTTGTTGTCATGCCCCCCTCCATTCATGCTAAGCCAATGACAATATATTCCTTTTTCCAACTTGATTTGCACTCACTAAACATCGTAAATATTATATACTAGCTTTATTCAATGCTATCTCTAATGATAAAAATGGGTAATTAGCCATAAGGGCTTAAGTTTATAGGAAACTTCGAATCAGATCATAACACAATTGTAAGAGAGTGAAAGTTATAGGCAGTGCATTATCTAATATTCAATATGGTTTCTGAAAAATAAACTTAGAATCACTCATATATTTATAGTGCTGTAACTGTGGAGGCCAACTGTAATTGTGAGCCCATTTCTGAAACTTTCATAATTACAGGAACACCATCCTCTTCATTCTCGTCATATAAATTGCCTCTATCAATATAAATTGATCAGAACTTGTCTGTTCCGTCTGTGGAAGAATAATGTTCATCTGATCCATTGATTAATCATAAAAAACCCCAAAAAAATGCTTTTCATAAAATACAAACAAACATTCTCACAAAGCTAAGGTTTTTTAGAACGCATCTTGTAAACGAGTTGAGTGGCTATTTTCCTTGAAAGGGGTTGCTATGATTTTAAAGAATCTTGCTACCAGGAGTGCCTTGAATGTAGGTGAGAAGAGGATAATATGATCAATGAAACGCACCAAGTTGGGGATGGGTGAAAAATAATACACATGGTCTGAGAAGTGGATCTGTTGAGTAGCAAACGACTTTCTACTTTCCTGACGTACTTGACAAAAATGAAATCTTGTTAGTTAGCAAATCAAAGCTATTGTTTGGATTGTTCATAGTTTGAGTTGAACTTTTCAAATGGATGGCATTGCCTGGTTGCACACACAAGAGTTTCTGAGGAAAGAATGCTACCACTCAGGTAGGAGATCTAACAAAAAATCCAAGTTTTGATTGCCATAAGGTACTCTTTGGTCTATTGCCTAAGATTGGAAGGGATTTTTTTTTGGTTGATTCATTTGAGCTGTTCAATGCATGGAACTGCCTGACTGCACACATGAGGCTCTATGGAAATAATGTAACCGCTGGGACTGGCGAATTAAGAAGAAATCAAAGTTTTACTTGTGATAATGTACTCTTTGGTCTATGCCTGGGATTGAAAGGTCAGATAAGCTTAATAGGTTGACCTAGAAATTTTGTCTCGAGTAAAGAACTGCTTTCTCATGCTGCCAATTATGTGGTCAGGATGTTTTGATAAATTGCTGAGTCCTTTATTGTCTGAGACTCCGAATTGCTGTAATGGTTGAATGTTGGCAACCAAGAAAACTTGTATTCGTCAATTTAGATATGCAAATTCCCTTGGCGTATCCTACATCAGATATGTTGATGACTTTTATAATCTAATGCTAGAAAATTTATGCAGATAGTCTTTTGCGTCAGAAATTATTACCAAAAGAAACGTTGCCATTTTTAACATTTATTTCATGTAATTGAACACTCCAACGATATTGTTTCTTGCTGAAACAAATAAACTGTCTTTCCTTCGCTATTGAAGTGAACATAATCTAAAGATTTCCTTATTTGTTCACGTATATGTATGAGTATGCCAAAATAACAATATTCCTTCTCTGTTTTCTTAAAATATTTCTGATTGTTCCGAAATTACTACAGAAAGTAATGAACAGAAAGTTTATGATAGTAATTGGCGCAGTTTTCATTCAAACATGAATGTTTTTTAAGTTGGGCATAACTTTTAAGACATACCAGTAAGACTAAGGCTACATTTGGGATGGCTTTCATACTGTTTCTTAAAACAACTTTATAGTAAAAAAATTAATTTTTAATCTAAAAAATTATTTTAAGAAACAGTAAGAAAGTCGTTCCAAACAAAAGCCTAAGACTAACTCATTGTTGTTAACTACAAGAAATATACTTCTTAGTTGATTGAGATATTGTAATCTTCTTGATTTTACTGATAATTTTCTTTAATCATTTTGATTATTATTTTTTGGTCAACATTGTTTGCTTTCTAAACTGTCTTTTACATGGTCATCTATTAAAAAGTTACATTGTTATTGTCTTTTCTATGAAATTAAAATCCTTGACTTGAATAGGATTTCTTAGTTGTAGAAGTTTTTTGCCTTTGAATACGGTCTCATTGGAGCTTCTTTTACAGGCAAACTCGCATTATTTTGCTATCATAGATCAGGTATGTCGCTATGTACCATCATTCAAGCTGTATTTGTCTTTTTTATTTGACCTTATCCTTGCGAATTATTTATTCTAAACTTGTTTGATAATACCATGCATGGGAAAAATTGTTATGATTAAATACCTGATCCTTGCCACTATATGAGCTTCTGTGAAATGAATCCTAATATGAGAAAATATACGAGGTACTTACAGTTCTAGAGTGTCTTTATGCCACGTAGATACCAGGCCAAACATTTGGACACCGGGATTCTTTAGGATACCACAAACAGCATTTTGAGAGCCTCGTTTTTTTTATTTTGGACACTTCTTAGAAATCTGTTGGTATATTATCATGAGGGGGAGTTCAAAGGGGCCGGCGGCTAGGGTGGGAGTGGCCGCCGGTTTTGATAGTGGGGTGTGGTCGGTTGGGTGAAGTGGAGAGGGGTTCGGTGAGGGTGGAGGCTTGACCGTGGGTGGGGAAAGGGAAGTATGGCCGGCGGTGGTGGTTGGAGGAGGAAGGGGAAGAGATAGAAAGTAGAACCACGAACCCGACTCGTCTAGGTTGGTAGGTGATGCGCAATTCTCCCTCTCCTAGGGATCTTACTCTGATCTCTCAAGCTCTCATAAGAACTCAAACAAAGAGAAGAATTTTTCTTAATCAATCATTCATTAGCTTTAGAAGAAGACATGAGGGCTATAAATAGCCACGTACAAAAGACTCAAGAAATAAAAGGACTACAATGCCCCTAGAGCTTACATACGACATCCCTTAAGAAAAGGGTAAAACGGGAAAACAAATACACATGAATAATAAAAGCTACATAACATAATAAAAGAAAACAAATATATGAAGTGACTCAAAAGTACATAGACTCGATCGTGGCCGTAGATTGATGGCCACGCCTTTGATATACTTTCCATGCTCTGATGTCCTCATCACAAAACCATAACAAACTGAAAAAAAAATTTACCATTTCTCGTCTATACCAATATCATCTGAAGTTTCATGACAAAAAACTTAAATGTCAGTTCCCCATGTTCTTCTCTTTTGTAATATCTTATTTTCATATCATCATATTTACGTGCTCTTTTCCATCAAATTTATGCATTGTTACTTTTTTGTTTCTTTTATTTGAGATTTTTTATTCAAATCTCTTTCCGATTCATCCACATGTAACACCTAGTTTTAATTAGTCTCCCTTAAATAGTAAACACATAATTTAATTATTTTAATTTTAATTTGCCATCATTTAGTATTTATTTGTAACTTATGTTCATTAAGCTTCCTCCAGATTACTTGTTCATAATACCATTATTTCAAGACAATTAGATATTATGTAACTTAGTGTTTATGTGATCTTTTTTTTAGTTGTTAAATTAAATTAATGAGATTGATTGGAAATGATAGAAACTTGTACTTTGTTAAGTATAAAAAATTCTTATTTTTAATGCTTTTAAATTTATATTTTCTTAATTAATTTTTACTATTTTTTAAATATATAAAATATAAAATTAAAATGACAAAGCATATGTTTTGTGCTTTGAACCTTACTCTTCATCCTACAACAAGGTCAATATCTTTGCTTTACGCTTTTGTTTTTGAAAAGAGAAAATGATCAAAATGGTCTCTCCACTCTCGACTCTTTATGAAGGACCAAAACCATAGACAAATCAGACCTTGACAAATTCATATTCAACCTAGGTCAATTGGTCTAACCTGACTCAACTTAGTCAGATTTTTTACCTTTAATGCACAGGGAGGAATGCCTTAGCAACTGATGAATCTCCTTTTCAAGAAAAGCTTTTCAATTCTTTTCCGATAAAGTATCCAGATGTTCTTCATGTTTAGGGATGATACAGAGTGGGTAAACAGCCCTCCCTGATAAGCCCTAGTCAAATCCTTATCTAATTAACAATCAAACACTAGAATCTGATTTGATGGTTAAAAATAAATGACCTACCTTCTTCGTGGTGGGTAGTGACACCCAATGTATACTTGATAAGAGATAATAAATTAATTATTAAACAATATAATATGATAGGCTGAAAAATCCTCATTAATATGCAATAATATTTAAAAAGTTAATAGAAATTTGACCAATAATGTAATATCAAAGTACATTAAAGCAAATAATTTTACAACCATCATTGATTTAAGGTTTTAAATATTTTACACTTTAGCATTCTATTTTTTGTGCGTCTATGTATATATAAGAATGGATTTTATTTATAATAAGATAATATTTGTAAAAGTTATAAAATGTTAAATTAGTTTTGGACATTGGGTTTTCATGAGGCTAATACCAAACCTCTATTAGGTTATCCCTATGGATAGTACTCTAAACTCTAAATCTGAATAACCACTATATCTGATCTATTAATCAGTTCGCTTGAGTTAGATATCCTGCCAGAAGGCATAATTGCTATCCCTATTAATGATGTCCATTTTAATTGGTATCTTTTAAACATAGTAGTAGCACTTGTTTCCCAATCCCACCCCTCTTGCGTAACCTTTAGTTCTGAGAATGGATAATTTTCTTTTTGTCTCTGCTTTACCATCTTTTGTGTTAACCAATTGCATCGTTGGTTGGATTCAATTAGATGTACGGGTTCACTGCCTACAGCCTTTTCTTTTACGCTTCATTATCGTCATTTTTTTGAGCTGCTTCCATCACAATGGCCCTGCCAAGGAGCCTTTTGAGAAGCGTGACACAAATTTGTTTTCTTGGACGCATAGTTGCTCTTTTTATTCTTTACTTATGGTCCTGCGGGCACACCACCGACACCCCCCCCCCCCCCCCCCCCCCCCCCCCCCCCCCCCCCCATAATTGCTGCTTTCAGGCAGTTGGCCACTTATTGCCAGGTTTAATTCATATATATCTTTGATTCAGATAATGGAGGGAAATATGTGGCTAAATGATACTATCGGTGTTGTTCCCAAAAATTCATGGTCCATAGATCCATTTGGTTATTCAGCTACCATGGCATACCTTCTTCGACGGATGGGCTTCAGGAACATGCTTATCCAGAGGACCCATTATGAAGTGAAAAAGGAGTTATCTTTGAACAAAAATCTTGAATATATATGGAGGCAGAGCTGGGATGTGGATGAAGCTACAGATATATTTGTCCACATGATGCCGTTCTACTCTTATGATATTCCACACACTTGTGGACCTGAGCCGGCTATATGTTGCCAGTTTGATTTCGGTCGAATGGGTGGTTTTGGGTATGAATACTGCCCTTGGGGAATTAGCCCTGTTGAAACAAATCCTGGTAATGTGCAGGAGAGAGCATCAAAACTTTTGGACCAGTACAGAAAAAAATCTACTCTATATAGAACCAACACTCTTCTTATTCCTCTAGGAGATGATTTCCGTTATGTTAGTGTTGGTGAAGCAGAAGCTCAATTTAGAAATTATCAAATGCTCTTTGATTACATAAATAACAATCCCATTTTGAGGGCTGAAGTTAAGTTTGGTACGCTTGAAGATTATTTCACTACTCTACGTGAGGAAGCAGAAAGAAAGAACTATTCCGTCCATGGAGAAATTGGATCTGGAGAACTTGGTGGATTCCCTTCTCTTTCTGGTGATTTTTTTACTTATGCTGACAGGAATCAAGATTACTGGAGTGGATACTATGTTTCAAGGCCATTCTTCAAAGCAGTTGATCGCATATTGGAACAGACACTTCGTGCATCAGAGATTATGGTTTCATTTGTTCTAGGAAGCTGTCAGAAGTTACAATGTTCAAAACTTCCCATAAGTTTCTCCCACAAGTTGACTGCTGCTAGGAGGAATCTAGCTCTATTCCAGCATCATGACGGAGTTACTGGTACTGCAAAGGATCATGTGATGGAAGACTATGGGACACGGATGCATACTTCTTTGCAAGACTTGCAGATATTTTTGTCAAGAGCAGTTGAAGTCCTTCTTGGTGACATTCATGACAAGAGAGATCCTACAGTATTGGCGAAGTTTGAGCCTGAGCAGACGAGATCTAGATATGATGTCCAGGCAGTCCATAGGATTCTTGACATTTCTGAGGGGCAGGCTCGTTCAGTGGTCTTCTTTAACCCTTTGGAGCAAACAAGGGTTGAGGTTATTATGGTCGTCACATCCACACCCGATATTTCAGTCATCGATTCGAATGGAGCCTGTGTTCCGAGCCAAATTTCTCCAGAGTGGCAACCATCCATGAAGGACAAGATTTTCACAGGCCATCATCGTCTTTATTGGAAGGCTTCAGTACCTCCAATGGGCTTGGAAACCTATTATGTTACTCGTGGACTTAAAGGTTGTGAAAGAGCAGCTCCTGCTGAACTAAAGATATCTCCTGATTTGAGTTCTTTATCGTGCCCTTCTCCTTATACCTGTTCAAAATTAGAAGGGGACAAGGCAGAAATTCGCAATGCCCACCATACACTTATAGTTGATGTAAGTCATGGTTTGCTACAGCAAATAATTCATAAAGATGGCCGAAAAACTATGCTCGGGGAAGAAATAGGCATGTATAGCAGTATTGGAAGTGGGGCCTACTTGTTTAAGCCTACGGGTGAGGCTCATACAATTATTGAGAAGGGAGGCCTCCTGATAATATCATCAGGACCACTTGTGCAAGAATTTTACTCTATTCCGAAGACTACATGTTCAAAAACACCAGTCTCTCACAGCACGCGAATCTACAAGGGAGAGAACACTTTGCAAGAATTACTAATTGAGAAGGAGTACCATGTCGATATACTCGGGGGAGAATTTAATAACAGGGAGCTTATTGTCAGATTTAAGACAGACATTGAAAACAAGAGGATTTTCTATTCTGATCTAAATGGTTTTCAAATGAGCAGGAGAGAAACGTATCATAAAATCCCATTGCAAGGTAATTATTATCCAATGCCTTCTCTCGCCTTCTTACAGGATACATTAGGTCGTAGGTTTTCTGTGCACTCCAGACAGTCATTGGGAGCAGCAAGCCTTAAGGATGGTTGGCTGGAGATCATGTTAGACCGCCGTCTCGTTAATGATGATGGCCGCGGTCTTGGACAAGGAGTCATGGATAACCGTCCCATGAATGTTGTCTTCCACATCCTCATGGAATCCAATGTCTCTGTCCTACCCTCTACCAAAAATTTGACCTTACAGCCTTCAATTCTTTCCCATTCTGTTGGAGCCCACCTAAACTACCCCATGCATGCATTTGTTAGCAGGAAAGAGGAGTCAATAGCGTCAAAGCCATCCTTGGGAACCTTTGCTCCTTTGGCTTCTTCCTTGCCATGTGATTTGCATATAGTTAACTTAAAAGTTCCACAGCCTCTAAAGTTCCCCCAGGGCCAGTCAGTTGAACCAAGGTTTGCCATTTTGTTACAGAGAAGGGGTTGGGATTCTTCATACTGTAGTAGGGGGGAATTGCAGTGTTCATTGGTGACTAATGAACCTGTGAATATTGTCAACATTTTTAAAGATCTTTCCGTTCAGAATATGAAGCCAACTTCTTTGAATCTTCTGCATGATGACACTGAAATACTAGGATATGTCGGACAGCAGGGCAACGTAGGTCAAGAGGATAATTTGCTGATATATCCCATGGAAATACAGGCATTCAAATTAGAGCTGCAACGACGAACTTGACTAAGTACATACACTAACATATATCAGAATAGTTGAAGTCATGATAATTTCTCCTTTATGTATCATTCTCTCGAGCTCATTATCTGAATCTTAGCTTGTTTTTCTCATCCCATTGGTTGGTTGAACAGTAGAGCGAGTTCTGTAGGCGGCTATTTGAAGTTTTCTCAATTGTACCATCTGAGCTAAAGCTTTTATGTGCAAGATTTTGATCCACATACTTCGCCATTGGCCGGACAAAAGATTGCAAGGTTTTTCTCCCAGGTGAGTTGCAATCTCGATTTTCCACAGCTTAGCTCTTTCAACTTACTCTTATTTTTCGTTGAAGAGCAATGAAATTGGTCATAGTTTTGCTCTACCAAACAATTTCTTATATTCCCCTGAATCTTATCTATCTTATATTGTCAACATTATGTACATAAATGATTGTTATTATTCTCCGTGAAACTTTTATCCACTGGATTCCACTTAATTTTATCTACTTATTTTTATTTGTTTTTTAATGTTTTTTTTACTATGAATATGAATATTTTTTAAACATTTTTGAGGGAGGAGCCTAGCCGTGTTGAGTTAGTTTCAATAAGTTGTGTTTCTTTGTCTGTTTTATTTCTCAAAAGTTACAAATGAGAGTTTAGTCAGGCTCTATTTTATGCGAGAGGGCCATGGTGAAAAGGTTTTAACTTTTAAGCTAGTGGTTGAGGGCTTCAAGTTAACCGAAAGGTCATAAAAATTCTAAGCTTCACATATACCAATATATCTATATGAATTTACAATTGCATTCGCTCTTAATTATTTCCTCTCATTTAATAAAGAAATATCAACCCAAGTATATTCTCCAATTTTGGATCTTCTTTGTGTTTATCCTTAGTCTCACGTACGTACACAAACTCTGTTGCTTATTATATCATATGTTAGATATATTTCAAATCCTTGATCCTACATTTTTGTATAGACAAGATATTAATTTTGATTATTTGATCCCTAATCAAATAATTATGATCAACATTTATTAAGGAGCAATATAATCAATTAAACATAGTTTGTTCAAAGATACACAAATGTAATTGAGATTATAGATATATTAGAATGAAATAATAAGTAAAATTTTTTAAAACATTTACTAATTATTTTTCTTATCTCAACTAATTTCCTATAATCACTCCCAACTTCTCATTTTTTAATCATTTTATCATTATGATCATATGAATTGAAATTCTTATAATGAACTTAAACCCAATTAATAAAGTAGTTGAATCATTTAGCCTCCCTAATTTAGCCCAAGGTGTAATCAGAAGTGTAATATAGCTTATTAAATTAAAAAAAAAAGATCAACTCATTTCCCATCAAAATTTAGAGCATATAAATGCCACATTTTTCAATGAAAAGAATAAGACAAGAAAATGGAGAAATCAACATCTAAAAATGTAGTAATATTGCCAATCATTTTTACTTTCTATTTCTGATATATTAGTTTTTATTGCAGAGACTATCTGCTGATCTCAGCAGGAGTGCTGTGTCATACAATAAAAACTTGGATTTAAGAGAGAGATTGTTAAATTGAGTGGATACAATTGCAAAATCAAGAAAGAAAATATTTGCAAATCTACCTAATCGAATCATTGTAGTCCAAACCAGAGCCATACTTCCAAGCTTCTAAATGCCGTCTCCACTTATATTTATTCTTTTCTGGAAGGAGTTCGATCCATGGCCTAAATATTTCGACATAAAATTTTTCTTATAAGATAATAATAAATCGGCAATCATGTATAGATCATATAGCATTGCTTACCTTATGATAGGATCAACATAGCTTGACAGAAATGTGTAGTAACCAAGCATTGAAAAATGCCCAAACCAATTAAGAATCACGTCAAAGCCAACCTAAAGAAATAAATCCATGGTAGCATTCCATCAGTCTTTCATTCATATATAGCATTGCTACTAAAGGCATTTATTTTTATTATTTAGTTAGGTATTGTACTCATTATAAAATAAATATATGATCATTATAAAACTCATTGCAATCAAATTTATATCAGAATATTCTAACCCAAATTTTTTATAAAAGAATAATGTTGGCTCAAGAAAAACGACACGAATATATAAATTCCGCTCTATAATTGTAGGATTCCATTTCCCTTAAGTCATATTGCAATTAACCAGATTTCCCATAAGGGCAAGGTCAAGGTTTAATTAGATCTAGGATCCTTATTTCCCATGAGCGCAAGCACTCATAGTTAATAAACCATCTAAACATGTAAGAGAGAACTCTCGATTAAGGATGAATAAATTTTAGATGTTTTAGTCTCAATTGTGGGGAAAATGAAGGTAAACCCGATCAAGATCCCAGGGTTCCGTCGTCCCGGGTATATCATAGGTTTCAATCTACCAACACTAACAATTATTGATTGTAATGTCCAGAAAATCTTATTAGCAGCCATGAGTTGCCTCCTTTCCGGGATCTCGAGTAGACTTAAGTGGTGGGATTTGAGTTTTAATTTTATTTGAATTTTGGGGTTTACATCTATTAGAATACCTAAAAGTTGATTTAGTTTGAGATGTATAACTTCGTTTAGAAGTTATCCATAAATTTGAATTTAAGTGAATCTTACGGCTTCTCTTAGAAGTAACCTAGATGTTTAAATTTGGGTTGAGACTTACAGCTTTCATATAAAGTAGTCCGTGGGTTTAATTTGAATTGGGGCTTACAACCCTATTTATGAGTGTTGACCACCGGATATATGTTAAAAAAAAAAAAAAAAAAAGCAAAGCGAAAACCGGCTAAAAATCCTAGAAATACCGTAAAATACTCTCTCTCTCTCTCTCTCTCTGCGATATCTTCACATCCCTCGACGACGCTCCTTTCCTGTCAGCTTGGGGGTTGCGACATTTAGCGGGAGCTCGCTAGTAAGAAGGTAACTTTATCCCTCCCACATGCTTCTTCGGTAATTATAATTAATTATTAGTTAATCATAAAAAATCTATAATTAAATAAAATTAATTATAATTATTATTTTAATAGTAATTCGTTATTATTAATTATAACTGCTTATTGTTAATTAAAATGAATGCAAGAAGGGTACAATGGTACAAGAAGCATATTTTAATAGCAAAGACGGATAATACAAAATGAATGCAAGTTCTTACGAGCAGTGATAAAAGTTCTGACATGCACATAATACGCCATCTACAAGGAGCCTACAACAAGCACTGAGATACTTATACAACTTGTAATAAGGCAGTGAAAAACACACTAATCCTCTACCAGCAGAAGCAAAGGATGCATAACAAATACAAATGACTACAAACCTCTACAGGTTGTCGTAGAAAATCCGTCAAATATCCAAAACACCCCCACACATGCACCGTAATTTGTATACACATAAGAACACAAAAGGGCATGTGTAGTCACATAAACCCGCATGGGCTCCGACTAGCATGTTAAGGGTACACACGTGACGTCTAGGGATCCTGCGCGAGTCCATAAATGAACTTAATACGAGCCCGATTTTTCTATATGAATATATAGGAGTCGACACAGCTCGAATTATCAAACAAATATACGGTCAAGGTGTTGACCGAAATATATGTTTTATACGTTCATATAAGACATTCAAGGCATCCAACAAAGAAAACTCATTAACAAAATCATAAAGCCACAGAGACTCGATCCTCTGTCGAGCAGTAGACAGAGCCGATAAGGTCCAATCAATGAAATTCCCAAATGCCCTCTGACACTCTGATGGTGGCCGTGTTGACAGAAAATCTCAACCGGACGGGTCAATTCCAAATGTTCAAAATTTCATCCAAAATACCCGAAAGTCCAAAAAATCCCAAAATCATCTAAGTCCAAAAATGTTAAAATTGAAATTACCTATCAAATAACTTAAAACAAAATACATCCACCCTCCACAATAGTTTACTGGAGTGGACAAATTGAAAATAATTTCAGCTCACATAGAGCTAATGCCTAGTCAAAAATATCACTAGAATTCATTCTAAAAAATCTCCTGCCAGTAAAAACGTTGTACGTGTCCTCTAATCGATAGTATCGCCGCTAAATGGTACTGCAAGTAAAAGTTATGACTCGGGACCCTTTGAACCGAGTCATTTTGCCTCCAAATAACACCAAGAGATAACGGTTATGGTCAGAGCCAATAAGTTCCTTAGTGATATCAAATCCTTGAGGCATGAATCAATAGGATATGATCGATAGGGCATAAAGTCCTTTGTTAGCTAAGACAGATTCAAATTTGTCCCCTTAAATAAGCATCCACCCCAGATCTATAAGGTACCCTTGGACGAAGCAACCCATGGCTGCCGACAAGGATCCTTCTGTTAGGTTAGGTCGACTATGATGTAGAACTAAATGCTTTAAAATGATGAAATAAGAATTTGCATGATTTCTTGATAATAGCAATTAAAATTAGAACTATTAGCAAATTCAAACGATCAAATAAAACATAAGAGTGGTCACTTCCGTTTAGGCTAAGTTGCGCACTAAGCACTTGGATTATCAAACAACATAGAAAATCAAGTCATGCAAATAGAATAGTTTCCAACAAAAATCCCTAATCTAACAATAAGATTAAATGCAAATAAAAGTGCACTCAATCCTACGTTTACTAAGCTTAGGCAAAGGTGAAGCTCGGCTCCTTATGAATCTCCATCACCTACAAGATTAGGGAGATTAGAAAAGTAAATAAAAAGGGAAAGAAGTTCACCCAAAGAATATGTTGAACCAAGCTCCAGTGTGGTGTTTATAAGCTTGAGAGGAAGTAGATAGCCACATGCAACCTCTAGCTTCCTTGGGACAGCAGTTAGATAACCTCTGGCGGGTGGATAACAAAATATCTTTGGACTGGTTTCTCTAAACAACCAAATGATGCTCTTGGACAGCACACTATGACCTCCGGGGGGGCAAGGCAGCCACCAAAACAGCCCAGAATTTCTGGACAGCAATCTTGGGCCTTCAAAGATGCCGGACGGCACGTCAATAAGGTTGGAAGATGTGGACAGCCAATTGGATTTTCCAAACAGCAGTTAAAGGTCTTCCAAGGGTGAAAGAAGTAAAGCTACTGCTGAAATTTTTAACGTCCGCCTTGGGAGGAAGAGGGATCCACGTTGTCAGGAATTTGAAGAAAGTTTAGTGGAGGAAAGTCCACGTGAGGGTTTTGAGAGATTTCGGCCTGCAGATGATTATGGGGGAGATTTAATTTCAGTTTTGGAAAAGGGAGAAGCGCCAAACCTGAATTGTTCTCAGACTTTTCCTTGGAAGAAGTTTTGAGATTTGAAAACAAATCCAAGCAGAAGAGACAGGGGACGGCGGGATACACGGGATGGCTGAGGGAAATTTCCTTTTAATTCCCTAAATCAATGAGTGGATTCAGGGACTAAGTTATGGAATATGGTTTGGAAAATTCGGCCAGAGGTTTAGGAATTTAAAAATTATTTCTAAAATCATAAACTGGAATTAGGAAAGAAATCTTAACTGGTCTCCACAGGGAGCCGGCGGGATTTCTGATCAATGGGAGATTAATGAGAGCTAATAAAGTTTATTAACTCAGATTTTAGATTTAGGAAAGATTTAATTAAAATCCAATTGAATTTTGAATTTCAAATTAGATTAAAATAGAAGCTTTCCTAAAATAGATGAGTTGTTTTAGGCAGGATTTTGAAATTCAAATTCAAGGATTTGAAATTCAAAATTATCCCAAATCATCTCATACCCAAGTAGGAAACTCAAGAGGGGAAAGGGTCTTGAATGTGACTGGCGGTTAAAGTCTCTGGCCGGCGGTTATGGGAAGGTCGGGTGTAGGCTCAGGCCGTGAGGTTGAGGGAGGAGGAGTCGGGTGAGGTGGCCGGCGGCTTGTAGTGGAGGAGGTGGGGGGAGTTCAATTGGGAGGAGACGATGGCGTGGAGATGGAGAAGGGTTTGGGTGTAATGATGTTTGGTGGTGGTGGTGGGAGGAGGAAAGACAAAAAGATAAAGAAAGACCACGAACCCGGCCGTCTCCAAGGTTGGTGGGTGATCCGATCTCCCTCTCCTAGGGATTTCTCCAAAGTTCTCTCCAAGAACTCTCAAGCACTCTCAACACACAAGGACAAGGAATTTTCATAATATTCATTCATTAACTCATGAAGAGCAACATGAGGGCTATAAATAGCCTCTTACAAAAGGACTCAAAATAAGAAGACGACAATGCCCTTAGGGCTTACATACGACCTCCTTTAAGTAAAGGGGTAAAACGGGAAAATAATTAAAACATAAATAATAAAAGACAAATAACATAATAAACGACAAATACATGAAAATGACTAAAACAAAAAATACAACGACTCGATCGTGGCCTTAGATCGGCGGCCACACCTTGATTCATGCTCTGATGTCCCCATCAGACTACCTCCTCTGACTAAGTAGACCAGGAACCACGATGGCTCGAGAGGACAAAACCATGGGATCTTGATCTGGTCCAACATCATTTCCCCACCATCCGCTGTAAGTGAAAGATGATAAAATTTCTAATTTTAAATATAAACATTCAAATTTCTAAATTCTCAAACCCATGTTGTTACTATATGCCAGATAACATGTATTTCTATGTATCTGATTGATGACTAGCCTTAATCGAAAGTTCTCTCTCATTATCGGGAGGGGTAACTATAATGGGGCTTGCGCCTATAGGAAACTATAACTCAGATCATAAAGTCATCGCAAAATGAGGGCGAAATCTCTGGATAGTGCCCTATATACAAATCCATCTGCCTTCCAAAATTTACCCTTGAACTTAATTCCGTTAAACCTACAGGTAAAAAGTTATGACTCGGGACCCTCTGAACCGAGTGATTTTGCCGCCAAATGACAACACGAGATAACGATTTTGATCAGAGCTAATACGTTCCTTAAAGGCATCAAATCCTTGAGGCATGAATCAATAGAATATGATCGATAGGGCATAAAGTCCTTTGTTAGCTAAGGCAAATTCAAATGTCCCCTTAAATAAACATCCACCCCAGGTCTATAAGGTACCCTTGGACGAAGCAACCCATGATTGCCGACAAGGATCATTCTGTTAGGTTGAGTCGAGTATTCAACTGGCAAATACTGTGATCAACACTGGAAGCTCTGGAGCTACCATCCAGTTTGGTAGCCTCGACTTCTCCGTTGTCGTTGCAAGACTGTCGCTGTTCCTATAAACGACATGGAATATAGAGGACCCGCCAGGAGGCCCCACTTTACTGAAGCTGTCATGCGTCGTATGTATCTGTTAGCGCCACGACCTACTATTGACGAGTATCACAAGAGAGTTTTTGCATTTGAAAGGCTATTACAGCCTGAGGCCCCAAGCACCAAGAGGATTGTGACTGGTGGAAAAATCTCAGTGGTACCTACCAAGGCTACTACACTGCTAATCAGGTTACTTGCACCCGTGAAGAATAATGTTGAAGCTTCCTTATCTTGAGGAAAGCTGACAAGGAGATCGAGAAGGAAGTTGAATGCTGAGCTCCGAGCTTAACAACAACTGGTGCCTGTGCACCCATCATACATGCCTGCCCAATAATCTTAAGCCAACGTTAAGACTCGAAACAAATTTACTAACCTGAGATAGGTCAAGGGACAACTCTACCGGGGAGCTGAAGAAATCTTTATGGGACTGACAACCTGAAGTCTCAGCCCCTCCAAAGAAGGAATCCGAAACCCTGTCAGCTCGGGCGTACCATGTATTAAAGACAGTGAAAGAGAATGGTCTAAAGAAAAGGAAGTTCCAGAGACCACTGATAATTGAGGTCAGGAGAACGCCACTGAGAGAATGCTTGTCTATTGCAGTGAAGAGAAATGAAATAAAGCATATACCTCGCAGTGAACATCGGGGTTGACACACGATCTGCATATTTAGGAATTCACCGTCGAAAGGTCCTGGTGGAAAGAAAAGCAAATATGGAGGTCAAATCCTCACAAAAAATATAGAGAATAAAGATGAGAAAGGATAATCAACCTGGGTGTGACATCCGGTGCGGCTTCCCGGAGATCCACCCCCAAAAATAAGCAAAGTCAGAAATGGGTCCCAAGGAAGGCACACGATGACGCCCATGTCGACGGTTGACACCTTAAAAAATCCTCCGGGGGATCCCATCGCTCATCAACTCCACCCAAAGAGTTAGCCAACTTTGACCGCAGTCTGTTGGTCGAGAAGTCTCCTTGCCAAATCAAGAATCAGAGATCCAGTGGCGTCATCACTCAAAAATCCGAGTACTTGAGCAGGAAGGGGAGGAAGATATAGAAGGGAAACAAAATATAGAAGAAAATATGGAAGAAAACTTAGAAAAAGAAATGGAAGAAATAAATAACACATTGGACATGGAAGTGGTCTACGTGGTAAGACACACCAATGCCGATGATGGGGCCTACTACGACGAGGGTGAAGATGGTGATAACCGTTGGAAACCGCCACCAAGGCAAGAACACCGGCGTCACGATGAAGTTGGGTCCACCACTGGTAGAGGTGGCCATTCCCAACGAAAGGATGAAGTGGAGGAAGTAGAGGGGAGTCCACCCGATGATGAAAACACCATACTTGTCAACATGAGAAGGCAGATGAGGCGACAAATGAGAGAACAAATGAAGGTTGGGAACTCACATCCAGCCCTTTGCAGTCCATGAAGTAACAATCTATAAAGATGACAAATACTTCATTCCAAAGAAGCTGAAGTCGTCGAGCTCTCTTGAGGCCCAGGTGTCGGATTCAGAGATTACAAAACAACCCAAACAAGAAAGCAATAAGAAGCAGGTGGGGAGAAATAAGGCAATGTCGACTCTTCCCAAAATACCTACCATTCCGAAAGAAAGAAAGAATATGTCTCATCTAGGGAGTGACACAGATGAAGATGATGTCACCCCTACAAAATTCCAAAGGATATGCCAGTCAACGACTAAATGGAGTAGGGAGGTTGAATATTCAAATGATGATTATGACTACGACTCTATTTACATGAACACGGTGCAGGGTGTATTCTCCAGAATAGTAGGTAGCCTGTCAATCTCAGACAACATACTCGAAGTCGCGCGCATTCCCCTGCAACAGTTAAAAGAAATCACTCAGCGAGATGTGCATAATGTCGAAGAGCTCATTACATTATATGTACCTCCCAAAAAAAAAGGGGTGGACCAGCGAGTCTATTTTATTCAATCGGAAAACTCGAAGAAGAAATAAATCACGACTGGTTCAGTATGCTCGTCGATTCCGGAGAATTAGTACCTACGAGGTTTCCCAGATATAATACCAGAAATATCCAAAAAAATGTTACGGACAAGAGGTAAAACTTGTTCATCCAAACAACAAGTTCGTTTTTGCTTGAGCCTCTAGTATCGAAGAAATTCTCACTCATGAAAAAAGAAGGATATTTTTGCAAAAAAAGGTCTATGATTTATCGTACGGAAGTACCCCCGAAAGTAGATTTTCCAAGCAATCACATGAGGGGAAATCAAATCCGATAACAGTGATGATGAGGAGGTGTACGAAGTTGACACATATGATGATCAATCCGTAGAGGCCAAACCTACACCAAAAAAATTAGAAAATGATGGACAGACAGCCACTATGGATGAGCTAAAAAAAGATAACTTAGAAACTAAGAAGGACCCTCGCCCAACCTTCATTAGTTCTCTCCTACCTGAAGAGAAATAAAAGAAATAAAAGTACTTCTCTATGAATACATGGACTGCTTTGCCTAGACATATGCTGAGATGCCTGGCTTAGTGCCTTTCTAACGAGTAACCTTAATAAAAAATCCTCGCTCGACACCAAGAGGGATAATTAATCATAGAGGCTTCTGTGTATAAAAACCTTAACTTATCATAAAGTCCTTATGAAATGAGGGCGAAATCTTTGAGCAGTGTCTTATCTTAAATCTAATTTGTCTTCTAAAAATTTCCCCTAAAATCATATATGTCAAAACTCTCCTCATCGATAAAAAGGCACGAAGAGGCCATAGCTGAATTTTCATAGCCCACAATCCTACCTCGCTTACTAGGTCTGATCTTGAGCAAAACTCTGTTTGTTTGTTTCACTCTAAACTCGTAACAGAACTTCAACATATATAAAAAAATTAAAAGTATGGCTTATAAATTCTAACATAATATCTCCTTATTTTGTTACAAGCCTAAAAGAGAAACGCACATTGTTATTTATCTAGTGTGAATTCAACACTCTCTCTCTTTTCCTATCTCCTACTCCTCTCCATATGTTTTTTTTTTCTTTACTCGAGTGAGGCCGTTGCCAACTCTTCTATGTGGATTACATACTCTAACATCGCCCATGCTTTTGCCTTATCTCCCTTCGTCTTCATCGCAAGTCCTAATTTCGCTTGTGCCTTAAGCTAATTAATCTTTATTTTTCACATCCTTGTCTCTCTCTTGCTCCTCTCACGTCTTTGTTATGGGACGGAACTGATGCGAGCAAGCTCACGTTTCCCATAGAGTGAACAGACAACATTTGTTCCCTTAAGCTGACATGATCGGTTCAATTGAAAAATCCATTACATTATCCCTTTCTAATAAAAATTTCATTCTCAAAATTTAAAAAACTAAATTTAAAAAACTGTAATGGAAACAATCATACCTTAATTAAATAGATGTGGATATCTTTCTCGGATTTTTGACTTCTTCCCCATATAATCTCTCATTTCGTCTCATGTTTCCATGCAACATCTCTTTCTTACCTTTTTTATTCCTTCTCCCACGCAAAAGTCCACTCAATTCTTTCACTCTAAATTCATCTACAAAAATCAAAACTAGGGTTTATAAATTGTAACATAACATCTCCATATTTTATTCCAAGCCTAAAGATAAATAAATTGTTATTTACACTGTAAATCCCATACTTTCTCTCTCTACCTTATCTTCTCTCTCCAGTTCTCCTTGTGTCTATTTCCTACGCTTGAGTGAGGCCCTCGCCAACTATTCTATATGGGTCGCACGCTATGATGTTGCTCATGCTCTAATGTCGCTCTCTTCATTTTCCCCAACTCCATCTCTCTCTCACTTTCACCCTTCTCGTGCCTCTGTTATGACATGGAATCGACGCCAGCAAGCTTACGTTTCCTAATGAGAAAAGTGGCTACATCGGTTCACTTCAAGCGATGTGGCTGATTCAATTGAACCAGCCGTTACAGTTCAAGTGTAAGAAAAAATATAGATCACTAAAGGGAGAGAATGCATAAGAAGCATCATCCAAACATGAAAAAAGAAGAGCCTAACTGAGATGTGAAGAACGTAGAACATGGTGCCCAACTTTGCTACCAAAACTTACAAGACTCTCTTTAAACTGTCTCTCAATCTTAATCAGGAGGGAGAAAGGACTATAGAGCTCATGCGCTCCAAATTACCATATGAGGTTCTGTTCGCAGGCTTCAGGCATATAGCCTAAAGACCTACAACTGCCCTGGTGTGGGCATCCAAGTTTGTCAGGGAAGTCGAAGGAGCACGAGTTGTATGCTGCACAGTATCCTTGGATTATTGTCCGTTTAAGTAGTCAGGCTACGATTATAAAAGGTAAATTGTATTTCCAGTTTTGCAAACGGTAATATAGGGCGCTGTTCAGGAGTCAAAACTTGCCACTAAAAACATACGACATGGCACTAAATTAGTATGAGCAACTATGTTTACCGGAAAATGCCACCAACCTATAGCAACACCCAAAACAATGCAACCTTTGATTTACTAATAAAAAATTCCAAACCAGAACATCTTCTCACATAGATATATAACACAGAAATAATAATTTTAGCCTTCAAGATATTTTAGTAAATGATGAACTCACATGTTTGAATATTAATGGTAAGATCTGGGGGTGGAATATCATAACCAAACCCAAAGTCTTCACTAAAGGTCCAAATTGTATCACATCCTGAAATAAAAGCAATTTAACATACAGGTGAGCTCAGATCAACAGGATCAATATTAAAGAGAAAATGAAGCAGCTTCTGGAATTGCCAAAGAAAAGAGAAAAGGCAGGAAACTTAAGCTATTAACCTGGAGAAATGGCCGAAGGACCCCATCACCAAGCCTCTGAAGAAACGTAGTCAAAAGATAAAAATACATTTAAAAGTAGAAGTTATACAACAATTTTTCTGACAGTAAATATTTTGGAAGGTAACAATCACCTGCATAGCTTGAAAATTGTAAAAAAGGAGTTCATTAATAAAGGTGGGTGGCACATCAGAATCCGGTTGTGCTGACATTGCTCTTTGAAACAACCATGATGCGCTTAGGTTTGGCTGCAAAAATTAACATTCCATTTTATGCATATGCAAGAAAATAGGAGCAGAACAGGACATAAAACACAGACCATGTAAGGGTTCAATAAACTCAAACTGTACTGATCAAGGAAGCCCCCAGCTACTGCTTCATATATCCCTATTCAAATAAAGAAAAATACATAGAAAAAAATAGATAATATTAGATGAAAGTTTCTTACAATGTTTAAAATTGCATAATCGGGTATTGAGACGTTTTTCGTTCATGAGGCGAGGCATAAGCCTCAAGGCATTTTGAGGCGTAAGCCTCAAAATCAAAAGATTGTGCAAACATAAAATGATAAATTTTTTATATACTAATGAGCAAAAAATATAAAACATTAAAAGACATAAGCTACGAAGTGAAATCAAAATATCCCAATAATAAGACAATATGAAATATAGTTCAACTCAAATTTTATCTTTCCCAAATCATAGTATTCTTTTCATTAAGATATAATTCCAAAAATAAATAGCAATGAATACCACAATATGCTAGGCGGTCGGGGGTCCAAGGCGGCACTGCCCCCTGGTGGGGTTCGACCTACTTATTTTTAAAGTTCGTAAGTCGTTTGTATGGAAAGATACCGAGCAGTATCGAGCATGTACCTAGTGGTACCAAACATTGTTATACCGAGTGGTACCGAGCAGTACCAAGCATGTACCTTGCGATATCGAGCTATACCAAGCGGTACCGAGCATACAAACCAATTGTGGAATCTTATTAGGTTAGGGCTTTTTTTAAATTTTAAGAAGCGGATGCCTCTAAAACATGAGGCGAGGCGTGCCTAAGTGAACATGAGGCGTAAACCTCAATGCTAGCTCTCATTGCGTAGGCTTTGAGGCTTAAAAGTCTGAAATTGCGCTGAGGCGCGCCTCTTATTGCGCAATTTTAAACCATGATTTCTTATAGAACGTATGAGAAGAGAAATCTGATTGTTTAGGTGATAAAAAGGAACCCTGTAAAACTGCTACCTTGATAGATTACTAAGACTTCGTTTGGGACGATTTTCTTACTGCTTTCTAAAGCAGATTTATAGTACAAAAATTTTTAATTCAGAAAAATTTTTAACTAAAAATTGTTTTAAAAAACAGTAAGAAAGCCGTTCCAAACGAAGCCTAAATCTGGCAGTTAGCTAGCTGGAAAAAAAATTCCAGAAACCCTTGGGAATAGTTTTTTTATGATGGTAGCTTGTTCATAAATTTGTAAAATCATTACAGAAGGATCTTCTTAGTGGAATACAAACAAACAGACGCTGGGAAGCTCCACAAGTGCTAGCAAACATACCAGCTGACAGTCTTCTAAGGTGTCGCGTCATGCTGCCAAAACCACCAAAGGAAACTGGTGACTGTATTCCACTAGCATCACCAACCTGCACAAACGATAGTATTGAAGCTGTACCGATGATTTTAGAAAATCTGGTGCATTCAATGGTTCAATATCTCACTTGCACAATACGGTCAAATGCTGTTGGAAGAGGGCTGCATTCATATTCATGGCAAAGAAAGATCTTAGTAAAGAAAGGTGAATATTATACAGGAAAAATAAAGATATAAATATTTCAAATATTTCAAATGTGCCCTAATGCAGATAACACTCAGAAGTACTATAGAAATGAAGGCATCAAATTTTTATAAAATTACATGGTCAGCAAATATGCCTTTAAGCCATTGAGTAGTGAATCACATGATATAATGGATAGGTTATAAAGCCTCCGTTAGTTAAGGTCAACATGAATTCATCCCTTCAAAAAAAAAACATCAACTTCATGTCTATTAGATCTCCTTGTACTGATGACTATGGACAAGAATTCTTCGATCAAGTTGGATCGACTAACTCGGCTAAGTAGACTTAGGTTCATAACAACCAGGAACAACGTAGCCATAGGATTTTGATTAGGTTCGTCATCATTCCTCTCACCATCTATTCTACTTAATTTATCTTCTGAAAAACACTTTCAAGATACTCAAATAGAGTTTGGTGGGCTTTTAAGAGCATATAAGTTGCCTTAATAAGACTTAAATAGAATGTTCACTCCGAAGCAGGTAGAGAAATTCTTATAAATAAAATCTTAAAAATATTGTTTAACATAATATCTTAATGTACATCAAATTTTGTAGTTATTATACAAACTAATGCAGGTTTGCAATTAAAAAAAAAAACTTCTAACCTGTCACGAAAAGTAGGAAAGATACCAAATATAACTCTTAGAACTTCCAATTTGTCAATAGCAATTCCCTGTAAAAAGATTATCGAGTAAACAAAGAGAAGTACAATTTGTGCACAAGCAATGATGGAAATCTAAAAATCTATGCTTGTCAGAATGTTATAGCAATTTTTAAGACATTTCATCAAGACAAAATCCTATGCACTTGATGGTAGATTTAGTTAAACTAGTACAACTTTTAGAACCATTAAACTCAATGAATCAACCAATAATGACTATGTTGTCGTGCTGCTTGTTCATGATTAGTTGATCAAACATTGATAATTGGATAAATTGCAAGCAAGTCACTCATACAAACCATAACTGACGATGGGTCCAATTTTAAAACCACCAAACTAGGTTCCAAAAAGCATCACTTAATGGCACAAGTGCAAGTTTCTGAGTCAGCAGTGAGAAATGGAACAATGAAAACGAACCTGATATTGTGGCAATAGATCCCAATATTCCTCTAACAACTCTTCCAACGTTGGGGACCCTGGTTTTGCATCAACATATGTGAACATGTAAGTAGTTCTATCTGTAGGACCAGAACCAGCAGGAAAAGCCTGCAAATAATATAACATAAAATGTAAAGCAACTAAAAAAGTGAAGAGCAAAAGAGAAACAATAAAATTCCTTAATAGCATCATAGAACATGTTTCAGGTAGAAGAGTTTACAAAAGATGGGTGCAAGTTTCTATTATGAAACTAAAGCTCAAGCTTGGGTTTTTCTAAAAAATGTCACATTATGACGTTTCATTATTCACAAATTTATTTAAAGCTTTTTCTAATTATGGAATTCATATAAGAAATAGGAAGTTGTTACCTCCCAAAAGTACTGTAATTCCATATTGTTAAGCTTTTTCACTGAAAAATTGCTGAAAATAACGTCACTTGATGAGTTGTCATGAAAACCACGGCTGCACGAGCCTACCACAAGGCAGATGCCATCGGGTTTTCTGCCTGATCTTATCTAGAAGTAAAGATACAGTTCAAGGTGTTAATAATCGCTAAAGATAAGACAGAACAAAAAAGTCTTGCAGTGCTTATCTAAATGCATCTGAGCAAAAGTTTCATCTAAAACTGAATAAGAATAGTTTAGAATAACTTTGGTAACAATTTGGCCTGAGACTAGTGTGGCCCAAACATGACTATTCTTATAAAAAATTAAAGCCATTAGATGACATTCGAGGCATTCATATATCAGCAATATTTACTGTTCTTTCACAAATATTATTATAACTTTGATTGCTCGAATATTTTTAACACTAAATATGCATAAACTATTCCAATTAAAGTTGTCCATGGAACAATAAAGCCTGAAAATTATAAGACAAGAATTCATTTAAATGCTAAACTTAGCTTTTTTTTTCTACTTAAATTTAATAATGAATTGACTTTTCTCCTCAGTATGCCATGATTGGAAGCGTCAGTCATATTTTTGATCAGAAACACCATCCCGTGACTAGCAAATTATGGCGATGGTAATATTAGCAGATTGTAGAAAAGTTAGTCAAATCTACCTACGTTAAAAAAAAAAAAAAAGAAAGAGATACTGCAAAGGCATAAAGAAATTTAAAAGGTAAACAGTATATTAGAGATGCCTGGCCATCAGGGGATTGAACTCTCTGCAGAAAGCTTCTCTGTAGTGGGAGCAGATTATTCATTAAAGGACAACATGCAATTATAATTTACTTCTCATAAATGATAGAGCCCAAATGAAATGGTCAATAGATCTTATATTGCATCCATATATTCAACAGACAGCAAGACAGATTGCAATAATATCATGATCAAGCCTAGGGCTGTTGCTTCAATTTTGAATGTCTGGGATCCAGCGTGCCCATAATGTCTTCTGGTGATTTAACATAAAGACAACCACAAAATTCCAACAAAAGTGTCATTTTTTGTTTTCTTCATATTTTATGTCTTAGGCCCTATAAGCAACACATTGTATGGCCTGAATACAGCGACAAGTGTGCAAGATTAAATAGGCAATGATTCCCACATTATGGATGGATGTGGATAAAGAAGCTAGTCCGTGAAACTAAAATTAGGATAGGGATATAGAATATAGGTTCACTTAAAGGCAAATTAATGGAATTATTAATCCTTGATGTAATCCAGCATATGATAAAGTTCCAAGAGAAGTGCTATGGAGAGTTCTAAATAGAAAGAGATTAATAAAGCTTATATTCAAGTCATCAGGCATATGTGTTCAAACACAAGGTGGTTTGACCAAATATTTTTCAATTTCAATTGGATCACATCAAGGATCAACATTAAACCCATATCTTTTTTGCTTTAGTCATGGATGTTCTTACTAGATATTTGCAAGAAGATATTCCCTGGTGTATGCTTTTTGCTGACAATATTCTTCTTGTGGCTAAGACTAAAGAGGGAGTTGAAGGTAAACTTGAATTATGGAGGTCAACCTTAGAGTCTAAAAGGTTTTCGTTTGAGTAGATTTAAAACTGAATACACAGAGTGTCATTTTATTAGTAATAGAGATATTCGAGGGTTTGTGACTTTGAGCGATCAAGTCATTAATAAGAGTACATATTTTAGATATCTTGTGTCTATTGTTTATAGTGATTGTGAAATAGATCAGTATATCACTACGGGAAAACACGCGATTACCGTCGGAATTTCCGGCGGAATTTCTTGCGCCGGTACGAGCGACGCAGGTAACGGCGGAATGGTCCTGAATCTTGCGACGGAAAACTTACGACGCATTTGCCGGCGCATAATACGACGAAACGTTTCCGACGTCTAAATGCGACGGTAACGGCGTCGGTAAAACAAGCTCTGAACCGTTTCCGTCGCACGTTGCGGCGAAACACATACCGACGAACATTACCGACGGAACGTCCGCCGGCTTATTTAAACTCAACGACTTATTTCCGTCGCACGTTACGACTGATCTTATTTCTGTCGGATATGCCGTCGGAAAGTCTGCCGGTGAAGCCCTATTTTTCGACCCCGAGCCCCTCTGGCCGCTCATTCGTTTCCTTCCCTTCTCTCACCTAGCGTGTTTCGCCCGTCGCCATCCGTCGCTCACTGTGGACTGACGTCGCCGACGGTCACCGGACTTCGCCGTCGACGGTCACCGGACTTCGCCGAGCATCCTTTCCTCTCCTTCCTGCTTGCGCGCCACCGAGGGTCGCTCTTCGCCGACGGAACGGAAGGTATTTTGTTTCGTTATTTTTTCCTATTTCGGTTGGGTTACATCAAGGATCAATCTTAAGTCCATATCTTTTTGCTTTAGTCATGGATGTTTTCACTAGACATTTGCTAGAGGATGTACCTTGGTGCATGCTTTTTGTTGATGATATTCTTCTTGTTGATAAAACTAGAGAGGGAGTTGAAGGAAAACTTGAACTATGGAAGTCAACCTTAGAGTCTAAAGGTTTCCATTTGAGTAGATCTAAAACCAAATATATGGAGTGTAATTTTAGTACTAATAGATATAGTGGAGGGATTGTGACTTTGAGCGATCAAGTCATTAAAAAGAGTATATGTTTTAGATATCTCGAATCTATTGTTCAAAACGATGATGAAGTAGATGTGGATATTATCTAAAATGGATTATATGAAGTGCAATTGTGACTTTGCAATTGTGACTTTTGGTTATCAAATCATTAACAAGAGTACACATTTTAGATATTTTTGATCTATTGTTCATAGTGATGGTGAAATAGATGGGGATATTATTAGTAGAATTCAAGTTGGATGGATGAAGTAGAGGAATGCATCAGGCTTATTGTGTGATAGAAAAGTACCACTCAAACTTAAGGAAAAATTCTATAAGATCGTCATTAGACTTGCAATGCTTTATGGCGAAGAATGTTGGCCATTAAAAGAGAAGCATAACATTAAGTTAAGTGTTGCAGAGATGAGGATACCTCAGGTTGATGAGTGGCTTTACTCTTAGAGACAGAATACGAAATGAGATTATACGTAAAAAGGTTGGAGTAGCTCCAGTGACAGATAAGATTAGAGAGAGTCGCCTTAGATGGTTTGGTCAAATAATACGGCGGCCCTCCGATGACCCGATTTAGATTTAGCCTATGTTAAGAAAGAAAAAAAAAAACCTATGTTAAGAAAGGTAGAGATAGACTTAAAAAAGACTTGGTTAGAAAATATTAGAAATGATCTTTCTTTATTAGATTTAAATGATAATTTGACTCTTAACTTGACATAATGAAGAAAAAAATTAATCTAGCCGACCCCACGTAGTGGGATAAAGGCTTGATGTTATTATTGTTGTATAATTCATAAGAAGATAAATATTATTCTATACATTTAGGAAACTAAATGGGTTAGAGAGAAGACTAATGAGATTGATAGTTTAAAATTTAAATTATAGTATTCTGGCATGAGTCATACTGAAAATGATGTATGTGTGATTATAGATAAGAGTTTGAAGGATAATGTTGTAAAAATTAATAGAATTGGAGATAGATTATAGTTTTAAAAAGTATTGTTGATGCTAAGATTATTAATATTATAAGCACTTATACTCCTCAAGTAGGTATGGATATGTGTTCAAAACTAAAATTTGGAATGACCTAGAAGAATTATTACAAAAGATACTTTTAAATGGACATGTCGGTAAAGAGATAGATGATTTTACACTCCTCTGGAATGACCTAGTCTCAGAATATTGATAACCTTGATGCTAAGATTATTCTCACATTATGGTGCAGAATGTAAGCCATTAATACTCTCAAAGAAAGAGGTTTTATTGGAGGAGATTTAAATGAACATGTCGGTAGAGAGGTAGATGATTTTAAAAGCATTCATGGTAGCTATGATTTTGGAGTGACTAATGAAGGTGATAAGACCATATTAGATTTTCCTTTAGCTTATGATTTTGTAATTGTTAATATCTTATTTAAGAAAAGAGATGAACATCTCATCACTTATAAGAATAGATATAGTAAAACTCAGATTGATTATTTTATAATAAGAAAAATAGATCGTTTAGATTGTAAATATTATAAAATTATTCCGAGTGAAAGTTTATGTACCCAACATCGCTTGTTAGTTTTAGACTTTAAGATAAAGAGACAAAACAAAAAATAAACTAAAATGTTGTTCTAGGATTAAATGGGGAATTTGAAGAATATTAATAAAAATAATTTTGAGAGTAAGATTCTAAATCTTAAGATTTTGTCTGTGCATGAGGAAGCTAATGTTATGTGAGAAAAAGTAGCTAGTGATATTAAGAATGTTGCAAAAGATGTGTTTTAAGTATCAAAGGGAAAAGCTAATAATAGCAAAAATAGTTTGTGGTAGAATCAAAATGTAAATGAAAAGATAAAAAATAAGAAGAATTGTTATAAAAATTAGTTTAACTATAAAAATTCTGATAATTGTGAAAGATATAAAGAGGCACGTAAAGAGTCTAAAAATGTAATTTAGAATGCAAAAATTTTAACTTTTAATAATTTATATAATATATTAGATATTAAGGAAGGTGAAAGTATATATATATATATATATATATATATATATATAAGCTAGCAAAACAAAAAGATAGTAGTAAGGATTTAATTCAAGTGAAGTGTATTAACGATATTCAACAAAGGTGAATGAGATATTTTACTAAACTTTTCAATGAAGATTGTGAGAATGTGATTGACTTTAGTGATCTTAGCACCCTAAATGAAAATAAATTTTTTTATTTTTATCGACGTATTAGTAAAACTGAAGTTAAACAGACTTTAAAGAAAATGAAGTATGGAGAAGCTGTTGGACCTGATGATATTCCAATAGAGGTGTGGAAATGCTTAGGAGATGAAGGAATTTCTAAGCTTACTAAACTTTTTAATATTGTTTTAAAGACAAAAGATGCCAGATGAGTGAAGAATGAGTGTGTGATTCATATATTTAAGAATAAAGTTGATGCACAAGATTGTGCGAATTATAAAGGAATTAAGTTAATGTGTCATACTCTAAAACTATAAGAGAGAGTTATGGAGCATAGGTTGCGGCGTGACACTAATGTTTCTCAAAATCAATTTAGATTCATGCCAGATAAGTCTACTATGGAAGCTATACATTTATTGAGAGGTTTGATGGAGAAGTAAAAAGAGAATTTACATATGATTTTTATTAATTTAAATAAAGCATATGATAAAGTTTAGAGAGAAGTGTTATGGAGCCTATATAAGAAAGGGGTTAATAATGCTTATATTCAAGTCATTAAGGATATGTATGCAGGTCTTGTTACTTGTGGTCAAACACAAGGTGGTTTGACTAAGTATTTTCCTATTTCAGTTGGATTATATCAAGGATCAGCCTTAAGCCCATATCTTTTTGCGTTAGTCATGGATGTTCTCACTAGACATTTGCAAGAGGTTGTACTCTCGTGTATGCTTTTTGCTGATGATATTCTTCTTGTTGATAAGACTAGAGAGGGAGTTGAAGGCAAACTTGAATTATGGAGATCAACTTTAGAGTCTAAAGGCTTTCATTTGAGTATATCTAAAATTGAATATAAGGAGTGTAATTTTAGTAGTAGTAGATCTAATGGGAGGATTGTGACTTTCGGCAATCAAGTCGTTAATAAGAGTCTACATTTTAGATATCTTGGATTTATTGTTCAGAGTGATGGTAATATAGATGGAGATATTATTAGTATAATTCAAGTTGGATGGTTGAAGTGGAGGAATGCATCGGGCTTGTCGTGTGATAGAAAAGACCCTCTCAAATTTAAGAGAAAATTCTATAAGATGATAGTGAGACCTGCAAGCAATGTTTTATGATGCAGAATGTTGGCCATTAAAAGAAAAGCATAATATTAAGTTAAGTGTTGCAGTGATGAGGTTGCTCAGGTGGATGAGTGGCTTTACTCTTACAAACAGTGTACGATATGAGCATATACAGGAAAAGGTTGGAGTAGCTCTAGTGCAAGATAAGATTAGAGAGAGTCGCCTTAGATGATATGATCACAAAAAACGGCAACCTTTCGATGACCCGGTTAGGAAACTAAATGTATTAGATTTAAATTATATTAAGAAAGGTAGAGGTAGACCTAAAAAGACTTAGTTAGAAAATATTAGAAATGATATTTCTTTATTAGATTTAGACGAGAATTTCACTCTTCACATAACACAATGAAAAAAAAGGATTCATGTAGCTAACCCCACATAGTGGATTAAAGGCTTGTTATTGTTGTTGTTGTTGTTGTTGTTGTAGGCCGACAAAATGCATCCATGGGTTTACATATATGTATGAATAGCATATATTGCTTGGATTATTTTGGGGATAGCTTTTTTACTTTTTTCTAAAGCGGCTTTTTAGTTAAAAAATTTATAGTTTAAAATATTTTTTGTACTAAAAAACTACTTTAGAAAGTAATAAGAAAGTTGTACCGAATAAAGACTTAAACAACCTTTTGCTAGGTGAAATCATTTGCTTATTAAAAGTTTGGGTACTGTAGTTCCGTGAAACCATGTCATGCCCAATTCTAGGCTTAATTTAAACTATTATTCAAGCAAATAGAGAAGCTAGCCTGTTTGACCAATGGAGAGAAGTTGCCCATTGAATCAACAACAAGTTGTGCGGACAACGTATCACCATCATTCAATTTCAAAACCTGAGAAATGAAACGATAATAAGCATCAGATGGAAAGGGGTGCACTTAAAAACTGTCTCAGAAATCAAGTCAAAGAAGGATAATGGTTGCCAGTGTAATCAAACGAGTAGATGAAGATGCTACAATAACTTAAACTTTTATATTAACTATTAGTCAGCAAGAGTATGAAAAAAAAAATTATTCCACGTACACACAGTCACTATTTTCTGTTTCAACCTTTTTTTTAATGTGGCTCGAGTTGGAAAGGCTGCTGCATGTTAGGCAATCCGCATGTGAAAATTTTATTTTCCTTAATCGATGATCAGATATATTTATAGTACATTATATAAAACGAGGAAAATCAGAATTATATTATATGCTAGTTACCATCTCCAAACTATTTAAAAAATGAGCAATAAATATAGCAAAACAATGTTCACCCCAACATTAAGTAGACATTGACTAGTTGAAAACTTGTGATTAAAGTGTTGACACAGTTGGTGATGTGAGACCAGGAATTGGATTTTAGAAAATTAATAAAATTTGTTAAAATAATGACAATACAATCTTAATAATTCTCACAATTGAAGCTTCCAAGAGATACTAGATTTCAACTACGCTCAGGCAAGTTATTACCGCTAAATTAGCAAGATCTATAAAATAACGACAACAATAAATAGTAAAGCAAATGAAAAGCCAACGAGAATCCGGCGGTTAACAAAGCGATTGTCTCACCTTGAGGCTACGCTCATTTGTCTACTTCTAGGGTTGGCGGGAGAAGAAGAACCACACAAGAGATGAAACCACTCCGAGAGCGACGGTGCCAGTGATCCGTAGAGAAGGAGAGGAAGGCGTAAGATGTAGAGGAGGCGCGGAAAATCGTCCGTCGATGGTCCACTCGTAGTCCGGACGTTGTCTATCAATGACTCGGATGAGGCTCGGGAGGATCCGATCCAAGTAATCTCCCACGGTGTCTTCGTCGGATTCAAATCCCATGTCAAAGAACGGCGATCGTAGTACGTTGAAGTTACCTTGGGCATCGAACACAAGCCCCCATTCTAACTCGGGATCCGCCATGCGACATGAAGGTGAGAATGGGTGGTCGCCGCAAGAGGCTCTCCAATGAGAGGGAGAGAGGGGCGGCGGATTGGAGAGGGGATGGGAGGCCGGCGGTAGATCTAGGGTGAGAGGGGAGGGTTTAAAACTGAAATTATTTTCAGTTTTAGTAAAATTGGAGGGAAATTATTTTGCACTTAATTTGTGATTTCAAATCTCATGAAGGAATTAAATGCCTAATTATTGGGGGACCAAGAGAGGGGACCGGCGGCATTGCTAGAGAGAGAGGGAATTGGGGAGAGAGGGAGAGGAGTTTCCAAATTAGAATGATGACTAGGAAAATCTTCTTCTCATGAATCCAATTTCATTTAATGTGAAATTGAATTCAAAATTCAAAAACTTTCCTAAAATAGAATTTCCGAATTTGGAAAGAAATTGAAATTTGAAATTCAAATTTCAATGAGGGTTTATGAGAGGGAGGCGTGGTGGGAGGATGGAGGTGGGGAGGAGCCGGCGGCAAGGTGGCCGGCCAGTGGGGGTTGGGGGGCCGACGGGTGGGGATCTCAAGGGGACGGCAAATGTGGAAGGGGGTCGGCTTCTTCCAACTTGTTGGTGTGGATGGTGGTGTTTGTGGATGAGGAGAAGATCTATGGATGCAAATACTAAGAGAACTCACAAAGAGATCTCATGTGAAGAACTCACCAAGAGATCTTCTTGAACTCACAAAGAGAACAAATAGTAGAAAATTTTCATTCATCAATAATCATAAAATACAATGACAAAACCTTTATATAGGCTACCTGGAAATGAAAAACATAAAGATGATATTGCCCATGGGCTCCAACAAGCACTAATTCCCTCATAGGGGTACAAAAGGAAAAGCATGGAATATAAATGACATGAATAAAATAAAACATCAAAAATAAAGACTCTGAATCATGGCCGTCGATCGACGTCTCCTGCGATGGTACACGTGTCGAAATCTGATGTCTCCATCAGTTGGTGCTTGGAAGAGTATTTTCATTGGCATGGCATCAACAATGTGAATAGCCTATTACAAAGATCCTACGCCGTGGATCCATTATCAGACCAACAAACGCATGAAAATCATAGAATGAGTAAAATGCAAAATAAAGGGCCAAGTTTTTCAAACTTTTGGGCATAAAAAAGAAAACATAGTTCCAAACTGAAGAAAACAATAGGTACTGTTCAAGGCTACTTATATAATAGTTCCACATGTTGATAATACTTGAAAGGGGAGTTTTCAGTATCTGTATTACACGATTATCTTTATGCTTGATTTCATACTCAACTTCGTGGTTTTGCTTGAGCACTGAAACCAATCTTGATGTATGACCTTTAGGTTTCTTGTTTGATAAATACTCTGGACATTATATGTGATGCACGCTTTTCTGATAATTTTTTTTTCATGCTCTAGACTTATTTTAAAAATAAATATCAGTTTCCTCTTTTTCAAATTCAAATTCTACTGTGTTATGTACACATTTCTAAAACTTTGTGTCTGTCACACCCCATTTTGACCCCCTTATAATCAACTTGGAGTATAACTGAGAAGGAAAATATAAATATGTCCCTTCTTACTGACACCTATTATGAACTACTTCCATCAAAATTTGATGAGTAAAATGTAATATATTTAAACTCTCATAATATGTCAAGCTTTATACTTAACAACTGGAAGCATGTAATATACCTCAATTAAACTTTAAATATAATGCACGTCTCAAAAGAAATACAAAGCCTTACTAAAACTTTTTTTTTAATAAATTCTATTAACATACCCAAAAAGCCTATGTACAACCTCCACTTAGACTTTTATATACACCTAAAACATATGTAAACCAAAAAGAACAATCACTCCTTTTCGCCTAATGCCCTGCTAGCACCTTCCCCTTTCCTGCAGTACAAATACTGCTAATGAGCTAGGGCTCAATGAAATACACAAGCAATGTATTAGAAATAAAAATAACATTTATTTTGACAATTAATTTAAAACACATTGAAATTATATGTTGATCATAAAAAATACATAACATCACTTTCTATCTTATTTAATATTCAATACCATTATACAAATCATATGATGGCTATAGATTTTTACACCCTTCCAGCTTTCTAATTCAAGGTTGGGTCTGAATTCCCAACTTTTAGAATTGAAACTACTTTCTCATTCAAGGTTGTGTCCGAAATTCCAACTTTTAGAATTTAGAGAGTATAAGCTTACCTTATCAAGTCTTTCGTCTTTACCTGTGCGGCTCTATCCCTCATATATGACTTATTTTATTTTTCTACTCTCTTCCATTTTCATGTCCATAATCAAAATCATACAGTACTAATGTAATTACTACTACTTAGTGACTCAACAATTCATATATATGAATAAAGTGAAATAAATTAAAATAATACTATCATAAACATAACAAATATGAATTTGCAAATGCATAAAATTTTACTATTTTCTATTCATCGTTTTGGTATCTCACCTCACTAGAAAATGATTCTCTTAGATCCTGTTTTCTTTTCCTCTTGTACACCACCTCTATCAAACTTCTCCTCATCCAATCTACTCCTTCACTTAGCTATCTTCCCCCTTTCCTTAGTTATCTACTAATTTCAGCATTCCTTCAATTTTTTTCTTACTGATTTCAACCAACCAGAACCGACGGAAATATGAATTTAGCAAGCATCCTTTAGCAACTTAATTTCAACACTATAGATTTTAGCACTTGATAATTCTCAGCAATGAATATGCTAGCAAATATTGATTTAAGAAATGTAAATTTTTGTAATACTACAACCTTTAATTAAATTTTCTGTCTTACCTACACCTTAATTTTCTATCTTATTATTTTCTCCCCAGCAGCTAAAAGGTGTGCACTTAGCCATAGCTTGTAGCTCCCTCTCTTTGGATAGCTCACGAAATGCTTCAAACTCTTGGCATGTTTTAGAATCCAAGGCCAGCGAATCGGGTTGTGAAGAATAAATGGCTTAAGTCATTATATTAGCCAGGCATTCCACTACAGTTATAATATTATAATTCCTATTTGCACTAAACATATCTCAGTCACAGGATTCCCACTCACATTCATCCTCCAATGCATGTAACTTTTAGTGGAAAGGCTACTGAAACATTAATAAGAAAAATGATGTAATTATTAATTGATTACTTATTAATTAGTTAAATACTCAAAATTCAAGGTAGAATTAAATGAAAATAAATTAACATTTATAGAAAATTTATACTTACATTTATTTGGAATATTTTGAGTATTATAGTGTCAATAATGTCAACCTTGCTCCAAAGTTTTAATGGTCAAGCTACTTGAAAGTGAGCTTAATGAATCATTCAATTAAAGCTAGTCGCTCAAGGCCAAGTGCTTGGAGTATAATAGCAACAATTTTGATTTTAGTATTTAAGAAATTTGCCACTTTCAGCACCTTAAAGTGGTTGGTGAGGAAAATGATAACGATCCAATCAAGATTTTTTGATTCCATCATCCCATGTTATTATGGTCCTGATGCACTTGATTAGCTGAGATGGTAACCCAACTTGACCGAATAATTCTTTTCATAAGCCATGGGCTGTCTTCCAAGGGGACCACCTTGTAGACCTAGGGTTGTTTGTTTAAGGGAATAATCTTGAAGTCGACCTTAGCTTGCAAAGGACTTTATACCCGATCAAGTGCACTCTATAATTCACCACACATGGATTTGGCTCTATTGGGAAACCTATGGGCTCTAACTATAACCATAATTTAATGATATCATTTTGTAGTAAAACCATACAAACAACCCAAGTCATAAGTGCTATTTAATGGCATCACTTAGTGATTAAACCATCCGATTAGAGGACATATGCCACCTCTTTATTGGTGAGAGATCTTTAGACAGTGATCATAACGATGCACTTCATATGACATTGGTTCTTTGTGAGCCGAGGTCAA